TGGAGTTCATTATAGGAAGTGGAGATATTCCTATGTAATCGTTCTGAGAGTACGGGGAAATTAAAACGGTCGGTTAGGAGAAGAGAGATGAATTTATTATCATTATAATTATAAAATATCGTGGAACTTGGACCCGGTACACTGTACACGAAATGCGTGGCCCTTTAGGTTTGAATCTGGATGAGTCTGGACGGTGTCGTGCGATCACCCGTCCGCCCAATTTCCAAGGTTCCTTGTCGGAAATAGATCTCCGAATCCAATTGGCACTGACTTGCTAGGAGTGATGAGACAGTTGCTTGTAGCTCTTGTCGTCACGAGATTCTACCGGTCGCATCACCATCGGATGGAGGGTGGGTGGGGCCCCATGGGAGATCCCGGCTTCAGATGCCAAACATCTTCAGCATCGGTGAGATCTGGCGGTTTTCCCAAGGGCTTTCCATTTCCGTTTCGCTCGAAAGGATGATGGTGTCCTTCTTTTGGACTTTGGATATACCCCTTTTGCGGGGAAATTCTGCACGGCAGAGTGGTGTCGGGATGATTTCATCTGGAAGAAAAACGAACATGATGCGGCCATCTCAGACCACATCCTCTGTAGCTTTTCAAGACGTCATGGAACGTCGGCGTGACTGGGTGGGGGCGCCGCCGCCCAGCGGCTGGCGCATCTCATGCGAGCAATTCCAGGCAGTCCAGGCCAGTGATGACCGGTAGCGCTGCTCCTCACGACTGAGCCGGAGTTGTTTTCGGGCAAAGCTGGAGGGTTTAATAGCAATAGTGCAGGCGGTAGTTGAACGCTCGTAGACTGGGGCCGAGGACTTGGTCAATGGAGGGGTGCAGGCCGGGCTGTCGAGAATAATACGCAGCTCGTGACACTGGCGGACCAGCTGCTGCACACCTTCCGTCAAGCGCGAAGCGCGCTCCTCGATCTCGGGCCAGAAAGAATCGCCCCAGAAAGGATCCTCGCATACGGCGGTCTCGAGGGCCGAGAGCCAGCAGCCAAACCCGGAACGAGGTCCGGCGAGTTGTGCGGCCACCGTCACAAAGCGAATTGTCGGTTCGGAGTTGAGAACGCGGAGGACGATGCAGGCCGGGCAGCGCGCGGTCAAATACCAGTCGTGCTCTTCGGTGAGGATGCAGTTGAGCCAAGCAAAGGCACTGCGCGCCTCGCCCCGGAACGCCCGCTCAGGCTCGGCGCCCTTTTTGCTGGGCAGGGCACGAGCCGCGACGCGGTCGGCCTGGTGGTTGATCAGGAAGAGTGGGACGAGGAGAGTATGGATGATGTCGCGGTGCAGGCGGAAGGCGTCCTGCTCGGCGGATGTACACTCGTGGCGATGGCCGGGGCAGAAGCTAGGCCCTTCCATGCCGCAGTCCTGGCGGCGCAGCTGTTCGCGCATGGCACGGAAGGCTTCATTGCGTTCCAGGCCGAGCTGGTCGTGCAGCGAAATTCGAAACGGGGAGGCGGTCTCGGTCGACATTGTGATATATAAGAATCTAAGGCGTAATTGAAGAAACCATGCCGTTGAAAGCCGTTGAAGAGATGGCAAAGGCCGAAGTAGAAAATGAGCTCGTGTGGGGGTGGCCGGATGCGGACTTATAACCAAGAAGCCCCCTACGGAAACGTCATGAGATGGGGGATTGCAGATCGCACAGGGCCTCCGGCGTCCAGGGTAGACGCAGTTGATCGCAATGGACCCAGCTCCACTGCTGACGAACGTAACTCGGTAACCCCCAATTATTGGCGGACCTGCTCGGAATGGATGGGGACCGGTGGGGGCCAACGAGAGTCTGGACCGCACAAGATGACTTTTTGGCTCGGTGGCACCCCAGTGTCTTATTTCTTTCCCTGGCTATAGATAGATTCGGTCGTCGTGTGTGGTGGCCATAGATAAGTTGGCGCCTCACTGACCAGGGTGTCCGCAAAAGGGTCAACCACTACGAGTCGCTTCTATAGGTCCTAGCTCTTGGGTCTTGGAAGTCCCCCTATCGAGCATCTCGACTGGCCGGATAGGATTCCTCTACGGTCACCGTTGCACGACACTTCCGATCAGCGTAGCGGCCCAAGTTCGCCGTGCCCAAGACCTAGACCACGATAACGTCGGTCTATTTGGCCGCTGATCGGGGGAAAATCCAGAAGCTTTCGAGCCCTGGCCCGGTGAAGGTGGAAGAGGGGGGGACGATTAACTCTGAGTGGAGGTGGATTCAAAAGGGGGCTCCATTCTGAACAATGGAAGGGGAAAGTGATTGACAGGGTTTCCTCTCCCCCGATGTGTTGTCCGACCGGGTGACCCCCATGTGTCCATCAAAGGACTCGTCATGCATTCTCGAGTCTCCTCAAATCTCGACAGAGGTAAATAGAGGGGGGAGTATATACGTATATACATCGAGGTGAAAAGTGGATCTCGCGATGGGACGAGTACGCCGGACATGTACCTGTTGAATGCTACTGTAGCGGTGGACCTCTTTCGGCAGACTCCGGGCTCGCTTCAGAAGGCGGGAAAAAGTCGTGCGATCGTCTTTCGTGATCAACATGGAAACTACTGTATCAAATCTCTAATTTCCAGTTTCCAGTTTCCAGATTTCTAGTTTTACAATTTTTCGAGATCAACCCACGTTTTCAGATGTCCGGACTTGCACGTTTCGCGTCATCGTGGAGTTCGGTTCAGTGGGCGAACACCCGGTACTTTTAGGGCCCTACACTTTCCCGCCTCGACGATCTCGACGATTGGAGTTCTACTCTCTATTCAATCCCACTGTATTTCCACTTGGAATGTTTTAATCCCAATCACTTGGCACGAACCCCCAACTACAAACCACCTCACTGTCTCCCGGTCTCCCTCTCTCCCTCTCTCCCTCTCTCCCTCTCTCCATCTTTCTCCAGCTCCCTCGACTGTTATAACCACCACCCCAACCCCTGGCATGTTTCGCATACGCATGTCTCGCGGGCACTAGGCCCAGAAGGACACTGGCGCTAGAGCCTGCAATCTGCGAAAACCAAGGTCCAAAATGCCATTCCCTGTTTCCTACCGTAGAAAATATTTTCTTTGTGTTCTTTTCTCCGGGAGTGTTGTGTCTCGTTCTTTCTGAATTCACCATTCACGCCTGTCTAAGACCTGAGACTCGTTCGTTTGTCCAGGACTAGATCTTCTGTCTTTTCGTCCCAAGAATTCTCCGGAATTCCCCAGTCTCCGTGATTGGCTCTTGTCTTACTTTTACAGAGATACTCTCGGTGAACTTCCAAGTATACCATGTTTTCTTCGTTCGTCCTTTCGGCGCCGCTGCTGCTGGCCGGCTTGCAGGCCGTCACTGTGGGCGCGGTCCCGACCATCTCGGCTGTCGGATCCAAGTTCTTCTACGAGAATGGCACACAGTACTACATTAAGGGTACGTTTTGGGACCTGCCAAGCATCTCGTATCGACTTGCCTAACACTACTCAGGTATTGCCTACCAGCTCACCCCCGATGACCCCCTGGTCAACACCGCACAATGCGAGCGCGACATTGTTCGCATGTCTGAGCTGGGCACCAATGCCGTCCGGGTGTACCACGTGGATGCCAATGCGGACCACAAGGGCTGCATGACGGCTCTGGCAGATGCTGGGATCTACGTGTTTGTCGATCTCGACACTTTCACCACCCAGATCGAGCAGGTAAGGAGTGTGGGACCCGATCGTCGGAACCTGAACTGACAGCCGGTGACAGACTTCGCCGCACTGGAACGAGACCCAATTCACTCGTTTCAAGGAAGTTCTCGATGAGTTCCAGAACTACGATAACACCGCCGGTGTCTTTGTCGGCAATGAGGTGCTCACCACCTCCAATGGCTCCATTGCTGCCCCATACGTTCTTGCCGCTGCTAGGGACATCAAGGCGTACCGGGACTCCAAGGGCTATCGCGAAATCCCCGTTGGTTACTCCGCTGCTGATATCTCTGAGCTCCGGCCCATGCTCCAAAATTACCTGGCCTGCTCCAGCAACTCTTCCGAACGCCTGGACTTTTACTCGCTGAACGCCTACGAGTGGTGCGGTGAGTCCAGCTACTCCGTGTCCGGCTACAATGAGCTCCAGAAGAACGCGACTGGCTACCCCATTCCGATCTTCTTCTCCGAGACAGGTTGCAACACCCCGGCGCCCCGTACTTTTGACGACCAGGCTGTTATTCTGGGCAGTGAAATGGAGGGCACCTGGTCCGGTGCCATCATCTACGAGTGGATCGAGGAGACCAACGACTACGGTCTGATCAGCTACGGCCCTTCTGTGAGCAACGCCGCTGCCACTAATACCCTGGTTGAGGACGGTTACACCCGCCAGGGAACCCCTACCCCCATCTCACCTGATTTCACCAACCTCAAGACTCACTGGGCTACTCTGAACCCCACCGGTGTCGTTCTTTCCGACTACACTAAGAGTACCTCGACCATCACCGTTCCTTCGTGCCCCAAGTCGACCTCCGGCGGCTGGGCTGTGGACGCAAGCTCCCCCCTTCCTACTCTGGGACAGACTTACAAGAAGGGCGACGACTCTTACTCCGCCACGGGAACTACTGGCTCTGCGGGCTCTGCTGAATCTACTGGCACTTCCACTGGCACTTCCACTGGCAAGAGCAACGCCGGAAACGCGATGATGGTTGCTGGATCGGCCACCGAGCGTCTCCTTGCCGGCTCCATGGTTCTCACCACCCTCCTGGGCGCCGTCGCCTTCTGGCTGTGAGAATGACTTCAGAACTTGCCATTGGCATCTATCTGAGGTATTGTATTGATATTGATATGCATGATTGTCACTGTAGCCTATAGACGAATTCGAGCTACTGAGTCTTGCAGCGTGATGCATGCACCTGGGCCCTGATATTACCAGACTCCGTGATCGCGGTATACATAAACGACATGGTTATTAGTCCTATGTGAATTTTTAATAAATCGTCCAATCATTCAAACATTCACCCAATCCGTATCATACATCGTATACACGACCATAACCACCAGACAACATCGAAAGACGAAGATCCGCTAATCACGAACTGACAATCCCTCAATCCCACTCAAATGAAGATCCAAGTTCGGCAGCGACAACTGAGGAGACACTTGATCCACGGGGATGATCATCGACTCGGCATCACTCTCCTTATCCTCCTCCGTCTCACTATCACTCCCACCCGCAGAGAACCCAAAATCAAATTCCGATACCGAACTCGACGAAAGAATCGTCTCCGCCTTATTCTTCCTAAGCTCCTCCAACCGCTCCCTCTCCGCCTCCCTCACCCTCTCCTTCTTAGCCTCCCTCTCCTCCTCCCTTTTCCTTCTCGCCTCCTCCTTCTCCGGATTGACACAATGCAACGGAACCTCCTCACCGTGTAACATCGGAATCTCCCGAATAGCATTCGCAAAACACTTCTCTACCCGCCGCGCATTGGGTCTCTTCTCCGGTTCTGGGGCTAGCATCGCCCGTAGAACAATGAGCATGCGCGGAATAGCGTAGAAGTATCTATCACTGCCTCGATCGCGACGACATCGTTTCAGTGCGTCGCCTTCTAGGAGCGCAATCCATGATTGCACTTGTACTGAATTCCGCGAGAGATGGAATGAGGCATCTGCCATTCCGCCGCCGCGTCCTGCAGACCGGTTTCGGGCGGATCGGTGCGAGGTGAAGGATGATTGGGAGCGTTTGCACATGTGTGTTAGGATGTCGAGGATGATGGCTGCAAGGGAGAAGAGATCCGAGGGCGTGGAGTTGTCTGATTGGCGAGACTTCCAAGTATTGAGGACTGTTGGGTTTGAAGATGACGAGGCGGGGGGAGTCATTGAGGAGGCTGATGAGCCGGAGGATGAAGAGTAGGCTGAGGAGAGGGATGGGGTTGAGAGCATTTTTCTGGGCTTTTTCCAGATAGAGAGGCGTTGTTGTTTTGCCGAGTCTACTTCGCTTTGGCCTGATGAGGCAGTTGAGGATGAGGATGATGAAAAGGCGAATGAGAAGCGGGATGGTGAGCCCGGGAGGCCAATGCGGATTACGGTGCCCTTTGAGGCGGATGAGGCTGCGGACTCTGGGCGTGAGAAGTCTGGGGATGTTGGGGAGTTTTCGCTGAGAGGGGAGAGGCCTTTTTCGGGCTTTCTTCTTCGTGCTGTACGACCTCCTGAGGGAAGCATTGTACGGCTTGGTGCTGCGGCTGGTTGGACGGGGGCCGCGATGCGGACCCAGCGTTCTGGTGCGGAGTAGTTGTATGACTCGAGATCGTTGAGCTTTGGTGGTGCTAGGAGAGAATCTAGGGCTTGGAATTGGCCGAGGTAGATATTAAATTCGGGGTCAATAAGGATGTTGGATGGTCGGATAGCGGCGTGTGCGTAGCCGCGAGAATGTAGCCAGGATAATGCTGATACTAGGCAGTGTGGCCAGGTGATCAATGTTTGCCGGCGCTCTTCTTTGGCTAGGCGTTTGAAGCTCGGTGGCTCATCTGTCACGAAGCTGTGCAGAGAGCGATCGGTCTCGGCGCCGGTAAAGAGCGCACATATAGTGTCGTCCACGAAGTATGAGGCATAAAGAGAGACGAGGTGGCGATGTGCTAGCCTCCGGAGCTTCTTGACCTCGGCCAGGACTTCTTCAGAGGAAAAGAAATGGGGTGCTCCACCAACTTGGACCTGCGTACGCATAAACATACGAGACACGGATCCGGCGAGGATGACCTTGTCGACCGTATCATCCCGACCCTGAACTCCACCATTGGTTATGGACCGCACAATTTCCACGGGCACACCCTCGTTCCCAGTATATGTGACATGCTCACCCTCGGTAATTCCCCGCACCAAGAAGCGCCATTGTGTTTGGAAGAATCGAGAATCGAGAGCAGCGTCATTGCCATTGGGAGACAAGTTCAGCATATCAATATGCGGCTCGGCGAACGGGAGATCGTCATCGTCGCGGGATTCATCGACGAGGGCGAAGATGCGATCGGGAATAGCAATGGCATCGAGAATGAGAAATAGACGACCGGCCTTGAGCAAAATCCATTCCATGTAGGTCTCACTGCTCAACCCTTCCCCCCATTCGGGGAGATCGAACAATTTCGGAACATGCTCGGGACGAAGCCGGCTGACGATGAACTTTGTGTCCAGAGTGGCCTTGATTCTCTCTTCGGGCCACCACACAGAGGTGTGTTCATGGTGTTGGGCCATCATGTACCTGGGACAATCCCAGAGCTTCCAGGGAGAATCGGGAGGTGGCGGTTATATGGAAGCCACCTGGCTTGGACGTGCCAGTCCATGTCATAACGGTTAACTTTGTTCATTGTGGTAGCTGGCCTGTGAGTGGCGGAGGCGATGCTTATCTTGATCTCCGCAAGGGGAGGCTGAAGAGCCAGTCGCTAGTCCAGAGAACCATGGAGTTTTGGGGAGGTCAGTACTGTGGCTCAAACCTTGCCATGCAAGCTCATTGAGAATAATTAAAATGAGACCCAATTAGTCCAAACGAACCCGGACTAAGGCAGAACAACCCAAATCGGCAATGAGCCGAAAGGGGAGATAATATGCATGGTTGGCGGTGCAGCCAATCCCGGGCCCCGGACTTATCAGGGCGCAGTTCTCATATGCCGAGATAAGCCTTGATCTTCCGACGGTGTTTATAACAGTGTGACAATGTGACACTTCTGACACTCTGATCGTGAGACGCTATTGAATACATCTGGCAAGGGAGACCCTCGATAATTGAGACGCCAGAGCTCCCGCTAACTCCAACTGTTCATGCAAGTGAAGATCGTCAGTGGAGTAGACCTACTGTAGGTCCCGTTCCTGTGCGGACCAAGTCCTGGTCCGAGAACAATAAAGGTGGAACGAGCCACAGATACACACTTGGCCTTGGTAGACCCATTCTCGGTTCCCCGGTGGCTCTCCGGCGTCTCCACGCCGCGGTCCCGCTGGCGCTTCTTGTTCCTGACCTTCGCACGCGACCATCTATAAGTCCGAGGGTCTCCCGTCGTACCACTCTCCTGCTAGCATGTTGGCACGCGGTATGCAGATTAAAGGGGCCCATCCAGATCACGTCTGCCGTCGCATATAGATTGGCCAATTTGCTTCTTCTGCGCGCTGAATTACACACACGTCGGCTCTGTGGCTCTAGAACCATCGATAGCTTTGGGCCTGGAAGAAAGCGCTAGTCTAGTTGAAGCAACTATGCCTTCTAAGGTTTGAGTCCGTTTAACCGATGTCTGGGCTCCCGGGATGGGTATCTGATACCGAGACCGCGACGGACGAGTTGCCCGAATCTCTACTTGTGATCCGCTTGCGGACGTACAAGTGTCAATAATTCCCGAGAGACTTGCATCTAGAGGGATGAAGACCCTAGTCGGGGCTCAAAAATGAGAAGAAGAATGGAGTCATACAGGTAAAGTGGCCGACCAGGAAGCCAATGTGGAATGCTAGGACAGGTTTGGAAACCACTGACGAGGCAAGGCTGAAAAGCACACGTAGCCTTTCCAATGACTTGTTTTTCAAGATAACAATTTGCCTTGGGTTATCGTTGTCCAGATTAGTCGGACGGAGAGCTCCGTAGGTGCTCAGGGATGTTACTGACAACACCCGCTTAACTCGGGCCGCTGAAAATGATGTAGGGCGTCAACTGCAGATCATCGATCTACAATCTACCGGGGGGGCCAAGCCAAAGTACGTATTGACAGATCGTATCAGGTCTCAAATTCACAAGCCAGTGAAGATAGGAGGAAGAAGCAAATAAAGGGGACGGATGATTCGGTGTCCTTGCAACGGATGCGCCCCACGGTCAGTGTTCGTAGAAGATTTCATGGAGAGCCAATCGATGGAAAGAACTTGTCATTCCTCGTGCCAAGTGGGCCTTGGACGGTACAGCAGACCGGCTCTCCTACCCCACAGCTCAAGTTGCCTTCGGTGCGGGGCCTAGGTCGCTTCCGAGGGCACTTTGTCTTCTCCAACTTTCTTCAATACTCCATGCTTACCCATGTATGAGCGACAACGAGTCTGGCGTGCTTGTCAGGCATGTCGTCGCAAAAAGATCAAATGCGACGGAGAGAATCCGTGCCTGAGCTGTACTCGCATCAAAGCCGAGTGCGTCTATGTTGAACCTCATGGGAACATGAGGTTAGTGGATCCACAGTGAGTGCTTTCTACAGGGATACTAACTATCATCCTTGTTCAAGGGTCTATCGTGTCGAATAACAAGACCGCTGACCCTCCTCTAGATATGTTGTCAAACTCGAGAATCGCATCGCAGTGATGGAGAAGCAATTGCGACAGCAATCATCAGTCGGGGAATACAGAGAGCCCGTTCTATCATCGGAACACCCCGAGGCACCCCCAGCCGAAGTGCATGGCGATATCAACTGCTCTAGTTGGTCGCCGGTGCCCGCTCCCGATGGTGCACTATCCGAGCCGCCAGACGCTTTCCGAGCACCTTCAACGGATGCTGCATCTCAGACAGCAGAATCAATACCAATATGTCAACCTCCAGTGACAGATGATAACACTAACGAGGTGCTATATGCGGTAATCTTCCACGGCCTTGATAGTAACGATGAACAAAACATCTCCGGGACGGAGCCTTCTACGCTCGACGTAACTCGATTCGAAGAACCGATATTGCTCGCTCTGATCGAGATTTTCTATGCCTCAATCTATCCTATTTTCCCTATCATTCATCGTCGCAGCTTCCAACTTCAATATGACCGTTGGATGGCCGCGCGCAAAGATGGCAGAGGCACCGGCAAAGACGAGACTGAGTTCTCGTTTCTCTTTTATGCGCTTCTCGCCGTTGCCGCATCGATCATTCCAGAAGAGCACATGATCTTTAATCAACCGGAAATGGAGGTATACAAACGGGTAGATCTGGCAGATCTGCTTTTCTCACACGCGACTTCTATATCTCCCGGGCTTCAATACCAGCAAAATGTGACTTCTGCGATCAACGTTGTTATCGCGCAAGGTTTACTTAGTCTCTTTCTGACTGAAAAAGGCACCGTGAATGATGCTTGGGTCACTGCTGGTCATGCGATACGCCTATATCAAGGACTGGATGTCGAGGATAACATGGATGCCGCAACGAATGCGCACGATATGTCGTGCGTCCACAGCAATATTTGGTGGTGCCTATATATTCTAGACCGCTCTCTTTCAACCGCATTATCGAAGCCATTGGCTATTGACGATACCGAAAGCGATATCGACTCATATGAAGACGAGGGTGCCACAACGTCCACGCTGGTGACAAAGACGGACCCGTGGTTCTCAATCATTGCGGAATTTCATATCACCATGGGCCGCATCTATAAGTCTGTCCGATGCATTCGCAAGTCGCAAACGTCAAATAACGCCAAACTAAAAGACACGCTACGATCGTATGTGAAAAAACATGATGCAGAGCTTGAAAAGTACTATACCAAACAGGTACTACCCAAGATCGATGCACCTAGTCAGACAAGGGGCCCTTTGATGCTGCAAACAATTGCGGTCTCTTCTTACTACATTGGGCTTGTCCTGCTTTATCGCACATTCATTGAGCGATTCAGTATCGCCGAGCCAGATATGTTTCTTCGATGTGCCGAAGCAGCATCCAACTGCATCAAAGCCACCCCGCAAGTACTTGCCACCGTTCCTGCTAGTCATTTCGTCATTCAACAGAGCCGTGCAATCTACGCCAGCGCCAAAGTTCTGTTGTATTGTATGCGGTTGGCTCGGAACCCGACCTTCACCAGCAAGGCGTGGCCGGACGTACAGAATGGCCTCGACATGTTACAAAACATCAAGATCAAATGGCCTGAAATCAAGAAATATCAGCTTTTGACTGAAGAAGATATGCAGATGACACAGATGGACCTTCAAAAGCATGACTTGTTCCAAAGGACATTCGATCACTACGGACAGGAGGACCACTACCAGGAGGTTGAATGCCAATCAAAGCGACGCAAGGTAACCCGGGACATCTACCTCCCTCAGATTTCTGATGGTCCTTTGCCTCGAGCGCGATCTGTTATGCAAGATGACTGGGATGACTCGGTGGACCAGATGATCGTTCCTTATGATTCTTTTCTCTCAGACTTTGTTCCTCAGTCTACTACATCGGAGGATCCTAGCGAGAATTTCTTCGGAGACGCGATGTTGATGTCTTCCATTGATCATTTCTTCTTAAATCACGAGCAATAGCGACTTTGAGGGTTTATCATGGTCAGATACAATTCTAATGAGACTCCGATTTGATATTGTTCTTTACTCATAGACGTAGTCAATCTCAATACGGGGGTGCAATGTGTCCACACGCAGTACATCTCCGCCTATCTTCATTCTCAATCCACTCATTAACCACCTGCTTAAGCTGCACCTCGATGTCTTCGCAATAAAACGACTCCTCTCGTATGATTGTTGGGATACCCCGATGAGCTTCTTGGTTTTCACAGTACCATCGTATGCGATCAATCATCTGTGGGGGTCGAGTACACTCCATGACCAAGCCAATCGTGTCTCCATACCTTCTTGGAGAGTGAGGTGTATTTCCAGGAACGACAAATGTTTCTCCTTCTCGAATGATGACGTCTCGGAAGGTGTCATTTTCGACGATTTTGAGGAGCATGTCGCCTTTGATTTGGTAGAACCATTCCTATATTATAGGGTTAGTTTGAGGGAGACGCATGATCAAGTCCCAAAAGTAATGAATACCTCTGTTTCATTAACTGCATGTTTCGTGATTTAGTGCCATTCACAAACATATCTCACACTTCATTTAGGAGTGAGCACTCACTGTGATAATCATTCCTCGTATTCGGCCCACCAACAGCCATCAAAATAAAGTCTTTGCCCGAGTACAGACATTTATTGTTAACTGGTGGTTCCAGGCTGTCGGCATTCGCAGCAAGCCACGAGGACAGGGCGATGGGTCCCGGGATAGAGGAAGTCGAAGGAGTCTCCATTGTGCAGTACCGAGGCAAAGCGTTGATCCGGGAACAATGACATCTACCACAAAGACGGTCTTAAATGGGGCATTCCAATTCAATCACGGCATTACCCGCGTCAGCTCTGAATTGGTAATCTGTGTGGTGAGATACATTCTTGGCAAGGAGCCAGCCGACCCGCAACGCCATCCGATTGCTCGGTCGGATGCATCCGAAGCACTATGGCGAAACCAGGGAGGAAGACATGAATTCTCCCTGAATTGGGATTGTATCTGTATCTCAGATATGGTATCTAAGCGGCCTGTCGGAACTAATAATGCAACCCAGGGAATGGAGTATTCAATCAAGTTCACCTTATCTAGACACAAGATTACACCAAGCTACGACGATACAAAATGACAGTCAACTCGTTTTGCTGCTCTTGTGCACCAGACACCACACCGAACGACCATAATGGATCCCAGGGTACTTTTCGAATTGACATGCATACTCACATTATGCCACCATCTTTACCCGATTTCTCGAAATCCCATGGATCGCCAACCGACAAAACGGAATCTTGGATGACTCTAAGACCAAACAAATCATCAAGGGAAGAGTCAAATGGGCATAATGGGACAACATCCAACAAAGTCGACATGTTTGTTGGCGACAAGTTCTTTCGAACGGTGGAACCCAACTGCTTTGATCCAGAAGTACGCATGAAAGAAATGGATGCAACCGGAGTTGATATCCAAGTCATAAGCACAGTGCCCATTCTATTCTCATATGACAAACCAATCGAGCCCACGACTGCATTAGCTCGTTACTTGAACGACCACATATCCTCCGTCTGTCATGAATATCCACGTCGTTTTATCGGCCTAGCGACTGTCCCCTTGCAAAATATACCGAGCTCGGTGAATGAACTGCGACGCGCCAAGTTGGAATTGGGGCTGACAGGCGTCGAGATCGGCACCGAAATAAACGGTCGCAGCTTAGATCACCCCTCCTTCGAGCCATTCTGGGCTGCATGTGAGGACTTGGATGTTCCGATATTCGTCCACCCCCTAGGATACGAGCTTGAACGCGAGAATAAAGCTCGGTGGGGAAGCTACTGGTCTGCATGGCTGATCGGAATGTATGTATACTATTTCTACAGTGACTTCGATGATGCTAATTATATTCCCAGGCCCAGCGAGACCGCACTTGCAATGCACGCCCTACTCTCATCTGGTGTCCTCGTCCGCCATCCAAAGCTCCGCTTTTGCTTCGCTCACGCAGGTGGAGCCTATCTCCCTCTTCTCGGACGAATCCAGCATGGGTACGATTGCCGACCGGATCTAGTGGCACACAGTTCCGAGGGAGTGTCTCCACAGAGCTATATCGAGTCGCATCAGCACAATATCTGGATTGACAGCTTGGTGCATGACCCGGACCTGCTTCAGCTTATCTGCAAGAAGATTGGACCGGAGCGGATAGTCATGGGCAGTGACTATCCTTTTCCGCTTGGTGAAATGCCGGTTCCTGGAGAGATGTTGGCTAGTAACAAAGAGGTTGAAGAGCTGTTTTCGAAGGAGACGAGGGCGCGTATGCTTGCTGGGAACGCGATTGAGTTTCTGGGATTACATGATATGTTCATAGAGCATACGTTTTAGCATGACTATGTAGTCGAATGGACCCCACACGCCAAGGAAAGTAGCTTGTCTGTAGAAGAAATGAAGTCCATGGGTAATTTTGAGCCATGGTGCCTATCGGTGGCCGCTCGAGGGTCGAATCGGATGGCTATCCGCTAACAATGAGTGCCGCCGGTGGAGAGGGGCATTAAACCCAGAAATAACATGTACTAGAAAGTGCCGAATGCCGCTCCTAAAAGCAATCTCGATACCAAATTCCTTCTTCAGATCTTCTCGTTAACTTCTGGCTCAACATGAAAACCATTTCTACCTTATGGGAGCTCGACACTACCGAACGCGCCAACAACTACTTGACCAACAATGCGGGCAGCTCATTCTGCGTCCAGAACTTCATCGATAATGAATTTACGGAAAATACCCAGACGGAAGATTGGATTGACACGTTCAACCCAAGTACCGGCGAGGTTCTAGCTCGGATTCATCGCAGTGCGGCATCCGACGTGAACCGCGCAGTGGATGCGGCTTCGAAAGCATTCCCGTCTTGGTCCCGAACCACCAGGCAAGAAAGAGCAGATATGCTGCTGCGGATTGCAAGTATTCTGGACGAAAAGAAAGAACTTTTTGCAGTTTGGGAGAGCATTGACCAAGGGAAAACGCTTGCTAGGGCTAGAGTTGAAGTTGATCGTGCGATTGCAAATTTCCGGTATGTGTTTCTCTACTTCTATCACTTGCACAACATTGAGACCTCCAAAGATACTTTGCGACATACATTCTCCATGAGGAAGGCGCCGTTCGGTTTGTCGATGGCCCAGCATCCACTCTGACATACGAACATCGATCACCTGTAGGAGTATTTGCACTGATCTCGCCATGGAATATGCCTCTTTACCTCCTGACATGGAAGATTGCACCTTGTCTTGCATTTGGATGTACAGGTGTGGCAAAGCCAAGTGAAGTTACCAGCATCACTGCATTCTGTACGTGATAATCTGGGACCTCTTGACTGGGATAGCCTGTTGACCCCGAAAAGTGCTAGGCGAAGTATTCAGACAAGCAACACTGCCTCCTGGTGTGATGAACATCATTTTTGGTGATGGATCAGGTGCCGGCTCAACCCTTGTCAAGTCACCCTATGTCCGAGGTGTCTCATTCACAGGCGGCACCAGCACTGGTATCCGCATTCGTCATGACACAGTAGCCGATATTGGCAAGCACCTCTCTTTGGAACTTGGTGGAAAAAACCCTACGTTGATATTCGACGATGTCGACCTGGCCAAGGCAGTAGCTTTGGCTGCTCAAGCATCTTTTGAAAACAGCGGTCAGATATGTCTGTGTGGCTCACGGATCTATGTCCACCGTGATATCTACGAAAGATTTCTACCTGCGTTTGCTGAATACGTCCATAAAAACTACCGTTGCGGGGAGACCATTGGGCCGGTCGTCTCGCGAGAGCACTACTCAAAAGTTCGATCCTATCTGCGCCTGGCTCAAGATGAGAAGGCGCACTTTCATACTGGTGAAGTCCCCGATGAGGACCCCCATAATGGCTACTGGATCAAGCCGACAGTGCTGAGTGGTGTCTGCACTGACAGTCGGGTCATGCGCGAAGAGATATTTGGACCTGTCGTCACCGTGTCTCCCTTCGACACGGAGAAAGAGGCTATTGAACTCGCAAATGACAACCCAAATGGACTGGCCAGTGTTCTCATGACCACTGATATATCACGGATGCGCCGAGTTGGAGAACAGATTGAGGCCGGCCTAGTATGGGTGAACTGCTGGTTGGTGCGCGAGCTCGGGACGGCTTTCGGGGGTATGAAGGCGTCTGGCATCGGTCGAGAAGGAGGTGCCCAGAGTCGCGATGTTTTTACCAATTTGCGGACTCTCCATGTACGATAGTGTAACTCAGTCTTGAATTCTACATTAGCAGACGTGCCTTAACAATTACCGAGATTTCGAATTAGTCATGAGCTGTGATGTCGGATCGCGGCCCGGTCGGATCTATCCGAAGCTTTGGCAGCCATGAAGTTATGGGCCATTTCTGCTACATTCCTCTGTTTTAACCAGGGTGTCTTTCAAAAACTGCGAAAAGGTCCTCGATCAAGGGGAAAAAACGTCTATGTCATGACTTAGTTACACCCTCTCACTGAGACATCCTTTCTCTTGACGACGCACATATTTCAACCCCACCCTCCATCAGTATCTCGGCTTCCAAAAGAGGGCTCAATCATTAATAAATGTGCAACCCGATCAAGACTCTACCAAGAAAAATGGCCCCAAGTGTTCCATATTTCCGACCTGCCACCGACGCCCAAGGGCTTGCCAACTACCCACACGCGCGGATAGTGAACCATGGCAAAAGCCATTACATCTACGTCTCTGGAACATCGTCCCGCCGCGGCGACGGCAGCTTTGTCGGAGCGACCCGCTCAGAAAAGGGCGACCTGAGCCTCAACATCAGGGACCAGAGTGCCGCTGTTCTAGACAACATCCGCAAGATCATCGAAGAGGCCTCAGCGGGACAGGCGGGCATGCACAATGTGGTAGACGCCACTGTCTTCTTGGTGGATATGCAGAGGGATTACAAGGATATGAATGAGGAATGGAATATAATCTGGCCTGATCGCCAGACAGCACCGGCACGAACAACGGTTGAAGTGCGGGCTTTGCCACGGGAGGAGATTCTCGTGGAAATCAAGTGCACCGCCTACTACGAATCCACTTAGACACCCAAGAGCTACACCGAGGAGCTACACCAAGGATCGCGATGATGGTGGAATGTTACTTGAAGATCAGGCCACGCCAGTAACGACGCAACCAGTTAGGCTCCATCAGATTAATAAAACTCTGATTAATTAATGCGGCCGATAGAGACATTCGATTCATGGCCTTTTTGGAAATCTTTCTTGATATCTCTTTGATAATATTTTTTACCCTTCATTGAACTTATTCTCCAGTCTATCTTCCTCAATGGCTTTGTGCGTCTAGGGATTAGTAACTCCTTCTTCCACCCCTAAAATGGATTTTCAGGCCATATAGATACCTCCGTTCGCTGACTTCAAGTGTTTGCTTTATTTCGTTAGACTTTGTCTCTTAAAAAGTGTCCCGGCATCTCTCAATCCCAAAGGTATCATTATGATTGTTCTTAATGTGGGACTTGTGCCCGGTTTCTTTCCTGGCTTCCTCTTTTCTATACCCCATTGGTCTGATCGATTCGGTCATACTCGACATCTCTTCGATTTTCGCTTCTACTTCTCAGTAATGCCATCAGCTCAACCAATCGAAATAGTTAGGTGGGGTGGTATGTTACTACATGGCCTCTAAAGGGTGGTACTTGCCAGATATTACTTTTAGAAGAAAGCTCTCTATGCTTTTTAACACCTCTTCTAGATGTGTAATTGTTTAATACTCTTCCTGATTCTTCTGTTAGACCTTTATCAAAGCTAAAACAGTTGTTCCATTCTCTAGTATAGAATATGTCAGGCTACCGTAGGCTATCTCTAAACCGAATCTTAGTGTACGATATATCATACACGGTTATTGATTTCCTACATAAGAAAAATCACCGCTCGGTAAGTCAAGAGCCTCTTTCTCTCGGACTGAACTCAAACCTGGCATCCAAACTTCCGCGTCCTACGACTTCTGACTATGCTAATATTGGGCCATCAAAGTGCTGAAATGTGATTCACAGACCTTCGCCTCGACTGGTTGGTCAGCGGCCAAATGACTGTCTTAGAGTGCAAAGCCATTCGGACCAGGATGGAACAGGTCGATTATTTCATCTAGGTTAAACGCTCTACGGACCAAGTACCGATGTCATGGAGGCCCATACCGTGGCGGGGCTAAGCAGCCTGATCTCATCTTCTATCCGATCGATCAGAATAAGTAGAGGATACACTGAGTCAAATTTCCTGTTATAATGTCTGTGAAGATAACAGTAACAAATTAGTAAGAATAGGGCAGACTAGGTAGAGAGGTCATTTATAAAACCCTTTGTCTAAATTCACCAAGAAGGCTGCTGCTCCCACCGAGGACCGTGCATAAGGGTCCAGAGCAATGTAACGTTCTACAGAAAAGTCCTTCTCACAAACCCCACATATGACCAGAATATAATCCCTAGGCGACATTGTAAGAAACCAAGAATGCGTCAACCTGACGTTGCGCCCGACTTATTCGTGGATATTTTTAGCGCCGAGCTTACAACACCGCGATCGTGCGACATAACAAAGAACCCGGGCGGCTACCTAGGAACTTGGCCATTCACAGGCAAATGGCAAGTCACTCCGAGCATGAAACAGATTCACCAAGCGAAGGGGCTTGATGGTGTTATTCGGGGTCTCTGGACTAAGCCTGTCCGCCTGTCAAAATTACTTGGCATAATCAAGACCAAACGCCGTTCAGGTACCGACGCCACCAGGGGCGTTCGACTCATGAAGCTACCTCGCTATGTCTGAATGAGAATGGCACCTGTTCTAGCTCTGTGTTCGGAAGGGTGGAAGATACCCCTCTCCATATCTCACACAGAGCCGCTGGCCGTTTGCTGGCAGGACTTGACATTGGGGCATGGTGGATGCTGGTTGGGCCGTTTGAAAGTGGTCTAGCGCTAAGGGTCTCGCCTTTGAGGAAAATCAAATGCATAATCGAGCTTGGGCATAACCATAAAAAGCACCAAGCTACAGCCGCTTGTACACTGGGGGACCGATGGTCTGACCTGTCACCGACAGCTGAGACTCAGGGCGCAACGCCGCCAGAGCTTCTCCCGCACATCCGTTCTGCAAAAAGAGTGCTTCGTCACCAAATCCTGAGGCAACTCCGTTCATCTGTTCGAAGTATATTGTTTTTGTATTCATGCAGTCAAAGGGGGTGGGGGACACTCACAGTGGAACGTGAAAGATGCCTCACACAATCAAGTCACAATGGCATCTCAATCCAAGCTAGGCAACAATGCCCTGATGCTTGCGAGACAATGCTCGCTCTTCTTCAGAGCCTCCAATTCAGTTGATCGACCTCATCCCATGCATCGCTGCCGATCTGGCGCTTCAAGCCTGACGAACCCTGTGCCGGGGCTATTTTGGTACCCCCACCAGCCACGCTGATTGGACGGGGTGTAGTCGCCGCAGCGGGGCCCATCTTCGGTGCCAAAGTGGAGTTCAGTTAACCGCTGTATAGAGACCCAGTTCCTGATCCAGCATGGTTCCTGCAGCATCGACCAAGTTACCGGTGAAGGAGGGAGACTAAAGTCCTAACTGGGGTGGTCCTCGTTTCAAGTTCGATGCCTGGGCCATCCTGATTGGCGACTGCAAGTCTTTATCCCCAGAATGTCTTACTAGTTACTATTCACAGAACAGGTGGACATTGTCAATAGCTGCAGAGACAGGGATGATAGGTAGCAATCAGGTGGGACCCCTTTGTTGAGGTTCGATTCCGTTTAAGAAGCCAGTTCCCTGGTTGTAGGCTCCCGAGCTTCAATTTCTATATTTTGCCCTTTGTTTGTTTTCCTTTCTTTACTTCACTCGACCCTCTTTTTTCCTTCCCATACTCGCTTCTTTTCGTCGCTTCTCTTCATTTTTCTTTTTACACTCGTTCTAGGATCTTCCTATCCTGTTAGCTTTCTGCTTCATTTGACTCTGCCCTACAGGGCCCGTTGTTGTTGCTGGTCTTCAACAATCGCAAAAGAATTTGCGTTTATCATTCAATCTTGATCCTTATTCTACTTGTGTCGCTGTGTCGCTCGTTGACATTTTCCATGATGAAGAGTGTTATCTCTATTGCGTTCGCTACTTTGCTGGCCGTCGGCCAGGCTTCGGTATGTTGATGCGTTTGTCCATGGTCGATATCAACAGGACGTATGCTAACATCCCATGTTTATATTTAGTCGTGGGGCTCGAACGAGTCCTATTCAGTCCCGGAAATCGCCAACAATAAGTGTAATGACGACCAGGAGAAGGGATTTACCTGGTCTGGTCTGGCTACCGGCTCTTTCGACCAGTATGGCGGCATGAAATTTTCCGAATTTACCTGCAGCAACACTTTTGGTGGCAAAGCTGTAAGTCTTGATGTTTACCGGTTGACATTATACACGGCACTTCTATGCGAGTGTCATTTTCGAAAACCACTGTTTTGCTTTTTGGTGGTCGTGTTGTTTTGTTTTGTTGACGTTGTTGGTTGATCTATACTGATTATACCTATAGGACAAATGTATCACTGCTACTGCTACCAAGAGTGCTAGCTCCGGTGATAGCTCGTCCGCACCTTCATTTTCTACGGGCAGTGATGCCAACGACTTCTCCGTTGCTAATATTAAGATCTCGACCTCCAAGGGAACCGACATGCTGGTCATCTACAACATGCCCAATGGCCAAAAGTGCCACGGGACTGCTTCCGTCTCCACTGCTGTTACTACCATTACTAATGACCAGTGTGGTGGTGCTGAGTCTGTTCAATTCGCTCTGCCCAATGGCAGCAAGGACGCCAGCATCGATTTCGCAATCTACAGTATTGACTTTGACTGCACATCGGGCACTACCAGCTCTGCATCGGCCCAGAGCACTGCTTCCATTTCGGCCCGTGGCGTTCTTCCTCGCAACTTCGAAAGCTCGTCCATTCCATATGTTCCTCCTACCACGTCTGATTCGTCACTCCAGTCTACCTCGAGCAGTCTTCTCGTTGTGATCCCCGAGTCTTCGGACTCGTCGTCCTCGACAACCTCGAGCTCTGCCGTCCCGGTGGTTCCCGAGTCTAGTTCGCCTGCATCTGCCTCTCCGAGCTCTTCTTTGCCATTAATAGTTCCGGTTTTGCAGAGCTCAGTCCCATCTGGTACCTCAACGTCTTCGGCGCCCATCATTCCAGCGGTCTCTACCTCTTCACCGGTTGCGGGCAAAAACTCTCCTGCTGCGAGTGCTTCAGCTAGCTGGACCACTTCCACCGTTTACACGACTGAGGAGATTACCATCACAAGTTGTGCCGCCACTATCACGGACTGCCCTGCGGACTCAACCAAAGTGGTCACCTCTACCAGAGCTATCTCAACCACGGTATGTCCTGTGACGGAGAGCGAGTCTACCCCCCTGCCCAGTCGACCCCTGCTCCTGGCTCGAGCAGTGCATCCCCTGCATTATCTCCCACAGGCTCGTCTGCTGTTCCCTCGGCTTCTTCTCCCTCTGGATTGGTCTCGACATCGGCTGGCTCGTTAATTCCATCTGGATCATCGCCTGTCAGTGGATCGTCAGTTCCTTCTGGCTCATCGCCTGCCAGTGGATCCACACCCCCTTCGGTCAGTTCCAGTGTCCAATGGACCACATCAACTGTGTGGACGACTGAGGAGTTTACTATCACAAGTTGTGCCGCCACGATCACAAACTGCCCCGCGGACTCCACCAAAGTAGTCACATCCACCAGAGCTATCTCAACTACAGTCTGCCCTGTGACTCAGACTGGCTCAGCTACCCAGTCTTCTGCTGCCCAGTCCACCCCTCTGCAGACTTCCTCACTTGATGTGAGTGGTAGCTTGCCTGCCAGCTCGCCCGTGAGCACATCTAGCTCCTCTGGCGCTACCGCATCTGCTGGCTCTTCCGGATCCTCGCCGGTTACTGGAACTATAACATCCTCGGCCAGTGCTTCCTCTTTCACGACCTCAACTGTTTTCACGACCAGCGAGTTCACTGTTACTAGTTGTGCAGCAACCATCACAGATTGTCCTGCGGACTCGACCAAGGTAGTTACCTCTACCATCGCTCTGTACACCACAGTGTGCCCTGTGACTGCAACGGAGACCTTTGCCAGTCAGACTTCTTCTGCTGAGTCGTCTGTGGTGCCATCCACTCAATCTAGCCCTAGCAGTAGCTTGCCTGCATCTTCCTCCGCTATTCCTTCGGGCTCTTCCCCAGTCACTGGCTCCGCCAGTTCATCTGCTGCTGAGACTACCCCTGCTGGCCATACTTCCCCTGTCAGTCCATCCGCTGGTCCTTCGGCGTCTTCTTCCACTGGATCAGTCTCGACTTCTGCTGGGTCGTCAATCCCTTATGGTTCATCCTCCGTCACTGGATCCATCACATCTACAAGCGTTTCTCAGTGGACTACATCCACGATCTATACGACTAGCGAGATTACAATTACTAGCTGCGCCGCCACTATTACGGACTGTCCGGCCGACTCTACCAGGGTGGTCACTTCTACTATTGCTATCCAGACTACTGTTTGCCCAGTCACCGAGACTACTTCGTCTGAGTCGACTTCGGCACCGTCAGTTGGAGCCAGCCCCAGTGGAAGCTTGCCTGCGACTTCTTCTGCCGTTCCCTCAGGCTCGTCGCCGGTCACCGGCTCCGTTAGTTCATCTGCTGGTGGGACTACCCCGGCTGGTGAGACTTCTCCTGCCGTATCAACCCCTGCTGGCCCCAGTGGCTCTTCTCCGGTCTCTGGTTCCATCACATCATCTGCTAGTGTGTCAAAGTGGACCACATCTACTATCTACACGACTAGTGAGGTGACTGTTACCAGATGCGCTTCTACCGTGACGAACTGCCCCGCGGACTCTACCACAGTGTACACTTCTACCATCCCTGTTAGGACGACCATCTGTCCTGTAACTGAGACGACCGTGGGTGAGACATCTCCTGCTGGCAAGTCTACTACTGCGACCCAGACTATTTCGGTTGGTCAGACAACCCCTGTTGAATCAGGCTCTGCTACATCGACCCCGGCTGAGTCTAGCCCTGCCGAATCAAGCCCCGTCGCGTCGACTTCTGTCGGCCCCTCAGGTTCTTCACCGGTCACTGGTACCATCACGTCTTCTGCAAGTGTTTCGCAGTGGACTACATCCACGATCTATTCGACCAGCGAAATCACCATCACCAGCTGTGCCCCGACGGTTACTAACTGCCCGGCCGACTCTACCACGGTGGTCACCTCCACTATTGCTATCCGAACTACCGTGTGTCCTGTCACGGAGACCACATCAGCTGGAGAAACCTCTACTGCTGCTCAGACATCTCCAGTTGTTCACACTTCTTCCGTCACTGTGACTTCCCCCGCTGCTGAAACTTCCACGGCCATAGTAACTACCCCGGAAGGGACATCTGTTGTTCCCAGTGGCTCTTCTCCGGTTACCGCGAGCTCTTCAGTTCCAGCTGGTGGCAGTTCGTCGGTGCCTTCAGTACCGCAAGAATCGACAGTCACTGAAATCACCTACACCACCACGACTGTGTGCCCGGTCACTGCCACTATTAGCTCGGGATCGTCATACTATGTCACTACTTCTACCACCTTGTCAACCATCGTTGTGACCTCGGCCTCAACTATCCCAGTTATTGCGACTACTTCCGTTGTCAAGACAACTGTTGCTGAAACTAGCACTGCATCTATAACTGGTCCTTCTGATGTTAGCCCTGTCTCTACAGCCGTACCCAGTGATTCGACTACCACCATAGTGACTTATACTACCGTGACTACATGCCCTGTTACGAACACGATCACTACGGGTGGATCCACTGTTCTTGTGCCTACCACGACTGTTTCCACCATTGTTGTGACCACGGCCTCTACTATCCCAGTTGTTGCTACTACTTCTGTCATCGAGACAACTGCTGCTGAGACTAGCCCTACACCCACGGCCGGTCCTTCTGGTGTCAGCCCTGGATCTAGTACTGCCCCAGAGGAATCTAGCACGACCGTTGTGGTTTACACCACTGTCACTACCTGCCCTGTGACCAACACTGTCACTAGCGGTGGATCTACTATCCTTGTCCCCACTACTACCGTTTCCACTATTGTTCTAACTTCCACTTCCGTCATTTGCACCAAGTGTTCAGCTGGTGTTACTACTTCTGCACCTAGCATCGCCGAGACAACTTTTGTTAAGACTACCGTTGCTGAAAGCAGCCCTGTACCTACAGCTGGCCCCTCCGGTGTCAGTCCAGAGTCTACAATCACTCCCGAGGATTCTAGCACAACCATTATGGTCTACACAACTGTTACTACCTGCCCTGTGACCAACACTGTTACTTCCGGTGGATCTACTATCCTTGTTCCTACCTCCACTGTTTCAACTGTCGTTCTCACCTCCACCTCTGTTATTTGCACCAAATGCTCAGCCGGCGCGACTGGTGTTCCCGAGACCATTACCGTCACCGGTGGCACCGGCACCGTGGCCACCTCGAGCCCTGCTCCATCCTCTCCTTGCCCCAGCACCGTCCCTCAATGCATCAACACCTGGCTCAGCGTGGTACCAAAGTGCAAAGACAACAGCGATTCAAAGTGTTACTGCCCCAACAAAGAGTTCACCGAAAAGGTCATCTCCTGTATCGATGCATGGGGAACATCCAAGTCCGAGATCACGGCCGCACTATCCTACTTCACTGGGATTTGTGCAGCTTGGGTCCCCCAGAACCCCGGCATCGTAACTGCCATTCCTTCAACCATCACCTTGGTCCCGACAGTCTCCGTCAGCGGCAGCGCCGGTCTTGCAACCGTGAGCGTGACCTCCGAACCCAAGCTGCCCTGCACAACCATCACCTACTCAACATACACAGTCACCGTGCCGCAGGTCAGCTTCGTAACCTCGACACTCACGGGCTCATCCTACACCACCCCAACAGTCGGGCTAGTGCCAGCCGGCCCCAGCAGCGCTCGACCCTCCTGGACAGGCCGGATCCCAGTCCCACACGCCTCCTCCTCAAGAATAGCAACCTCCTCCAGCATCTCTTACGCGGCCGCGAAAGCCACCCCCACGCCAGTCTGGAACGCAGCCCCGAGCGTGTCAACCTCATGGGGCATGATGCTAGGCTTCCTAGCAACGCTCATTGGGCTTGTCATCTAGAAAGGATGACAGCATTCGCGCGGACTGAAGCTGCTTTGCTTTTTCCTTGATTCCCTATGTACTTTTTCTTTTTTACTCGTCTATGGTTTTCTTTTTTTCCCTTTTCCTTCATGGTTTGTGGCTGCTCCCCACGGGTGTATTTGAGCGCTGAATAAGATTGTGCCTGAACGGACTGGTTCTTTGCTTCGTGGTTGTACTTTAATTTCCGCTTAATTGAATGCCATAGACATCGTGTTCACACATTATTTGGATTTCATGTCAAGCTCAAACCTGAAAAACTTTATACTAGATGACTTGTAAAAATTAGAACCTTTTAGATATGTGTTTTAGGAATTCACGAAGAAGACAGCGATATAAAACGATACTTTAAAAGAAACCAACTGAAGAGTTTACAAGCTACTGGGAAGGAATTGATATTGTGATAATTTTTTGGAAGTGACTAATGGTGAACACATCGTACAATGTAGAAGAGAAAAAAAAAGAAATGATCCGCCAGGTGACTTTTCAGAAATCGAAGAAGAAAAAAAAAAAAAAGCCATAGAAAGCAGAAAGATCTCACATCTACATCAACAGATATAGCAAGGAGAGCCCGTACTTCCCGGGCCAAGTCTGCCAGCGACTTTCAAATCATTGAAACTGCGTCCGTGTGTATCATGCTCTTTGTAAATCCAAACTTCATAGAATCGTAACGGGCTGGTGACGAACGGTAACCAGCGGGGCTCGTCAGAGCGAAGGTATGCGAATTACCTTAGAAGGGGAGTTGGGTGCGACGCTGAGCATCCATGAGCTTGCGTCGAACTGCCTCGCCGCCCGCGTAGCCGCTGGCCTTGCGCTTCCGGGTGGGAGTGCGCTGATCCGCGTGCTTGGCGTGTCGGAAGACACTGGCTGGTCGCGAGGGGGAGTTGGCGGGCATGAATTCGCGGTGTTGAGGGAGGCGGAGGAGGGCCTGGTACCGGTTATGGTTGCGACGGAATGCGGTGACGATGCCCTTGTCCAGGTGATTCAGGAAGCTCTCAGCGGGGTTGCTGGCCGGCTGTGACTCGTTGCGGGTCGGGGTGTGAGAGCCTATGGTTTGGCGCATGGAGCTGGGGTTGGCCATGGGGGAGATGAGTGCTTCGTCGTCGAAGGGCTTGTCCATGTCTTCTTCCTCGTCTGAGGAGCCGTTGCCAAAGTCGATGAAGTCGTCGACGTTGAGAGCGGACTCCGGGTCATCTTCATCATCGTCCTCGTAGGAGCTGTCGATGGCGAAGTCTTGCGAGGGGTAGAAGGCTTCAGGGGGGCCCATGACCTGGCCACCCGGTGTTAGATCGTTGCCGAGGGCAGTCATCATCAGGTTGGCGCTGGAGGCCAGCATCGGGCTGAAGTCCATTTGGTTGGGGGATGCGAGAGCATCGGTGTCGCTCTCATCGACCAGGTGAAGGGTAGTCTGACGAGGGCTGTTGTTGGCAGTGCCTGCCATGCTGTTGGCGGTAGAGTCGAGCCAATCGTGACGGGAGGAGGCGTATGCAGGAATGATGACAAGATGCTTGCCCGAGCAGTCAACTATCGCTACGGGCTTGTACGGATCGGCCTTGAAGGTACCCATGATTGGGCCCCGTCGGCGTGGGACAGGGTCGGACTTGTCATCGCCGACAGCGGCCAGGGAGTCGGTGGAGTCACGGCGAAGAAGAGAGCGGGGGTGGGTGATGGTAGCGGGAGGGGGAAGATCTTCATCAGTGGTATCACCATCGTCGGCTGGAATTGGATTAGCAAAGAAATCAAAGAAGCATGTCCAGGCAGCCAGCATACTCTCATATCCGCTCAGGCTACCCTCGGAGGTTCCGTCGGATTCAACATGGTAGATATTTCCGTGACCGTAATCAGTATCGGCAAATATCTCTTCAGACTGGCGGCGATGGCTACGGTGGTGGTCGTGGTTGTCGTTCTCGATCATGCGACGCAGCTGAGGGTCCAGTGAATCCTGCTGGAGGAAATCACCGGAGATCTCATCTTCTGTGTGAGATTCACTGTCGGATGAAGAATCCGAGCGCTCTTCAAAGTGGACTCGGCGAGCCACGGGGGTTTCAACAGCTTCAGAAGCTATGTCTGTTTCGCCGAAAGTTTCCATGGCACTATACAGATGTTCTTCGTCGAAGAAGGATGCAGCCGGGAGGAACATGGAGTCCCCAAAGCCAGTGGTGGCATTCCACTGTTCGTTCGCTTCATATGAAGGGAGGACGCGCTGGTGATTCTCAGACTCTAGAATCATCATCTCTTCCATTTTTTCAACGTCCTGCTCCTCGTCCTCTGCATCAGTAATGTAGTCCACAGCAGCATAGACATCATCTGAGCTCTCTTCGGAGTCACTGTTATTACTGCTGAAACCACCATCCCAGTCGTCGTCGTCAGAGATCCGTCTTTTCTTGTTCACGGCAGGCTGACGCCCCGTCTTACGACCCTTGTTCTGACGACGATTGTAAGACGGGGCCTTGGCCAACGGCCTATCTTCCTCGTCATCTGCATCGTCGTCGTCTGATCCATCAGCCTCGTCGCTCAAGTCGTCCAAGGAGGAGACTGATGAGACGCTCGAGACTGATGATGATGAGGCCCGACGCTTTCGCTCGGTACCGGATCGGGCCTTCTTTGGCTGACCCTTTGGGGACATGAGGTGTCGACGGAGGTTTTCCGGGGTGACTGCCCGGTGGCTGCTCTTAGCAGAAGCCTTGGGGGCCCGCTTGGAGGAATATGGGCTCGTTTGAGACATTGTGTAGATATTGTAAACTTTTTGGAGGGTATGCTTTTTTCAGCGGTGAAAACTTAGTTCTGGTGGTTCTCAGATATGTCGATTGAGGTAGATAGGATAGGTGGCGGGGCTCGATCTCTCTCCGTAGCGTTTTTTAAGAGGCCAAGGTAGGTTTCGATATGTTATGAGTAAGATTCGAGTGAGTGTCGTGAGGGAGGATGTTGGAGAGGGGAGGTGATCGAGGAGGGGGAAAAGATCCGGGGAATTTTTTTCGTAACCGGGCGAAGCACCTCGAGTCCAGTAGGGACGTAAAAGTGCTCTTTCAGTGACTGTATTGGGGGGGCAATTCCGACGCTTTGGAGCGGCCGTCGAAAGAGTAGAATATCGTCGAGTGGAATTGAAGTCGGAGCTGCTGGACTGGGGAGCCGGCAGATTCAGGCTCCCCAGCGGGGGATTTACAGCTCAACGGCAGCCATTTGGCAAGAATTCTCGACGGTATTGGATAGGTTAACAGTTTGGGTAAGAAAATAAATACCGGAGTTGGCACAAAGAAAGGTTGGATAGGGAAGAAGAAAGTCGAGAAGGGATAAGCCGATAAAAGTAGAGCGTCACTGGATTTTTCCAGTGGAGCCGGTGATTGGCCACTTGGCCGCCTCACGTTATTCGTTGGCGGCAGTTCACCGCATCTTTTCCGTTCTTTTTTATTATTTCTATTTTTCTGATTGACTCGCCTGTATAGCTACCTAGCTAGTTGGGCTTCGGGTCTAGGTGACTCACTACTCCTTCGCTAGGTCCAGGGCTGGCCTCCCTGATCCCCCTAGGTCTCTAGGTCTCTAGGTCCCTAGGTCCCTCGATGACTCCCTGCCTCGGTACAAGCCATGACTCCCTTGAGGCTAGGCTACGTAGCAATCCATAATAAAAGAGGAGAAAAAGAAAAATTGGACACTATTAGCCAGGACTGGCCAAGCGCGTGCTTAGTCCGACAATCCTGCGGGTCCAGGCTTGTCCCGCTGCTGGAACGGCATGTGAGGAAATGGCCCTTTGGATGTCAAACTAGGCGTCTTGCCCAGAGCAGCGGCTGTCCCGTGCGGGCTTGCAGGTCGAGTGCATGGTGATTCATCGCGCGATCAATGGCACACTGGCGATGAATCATATTGTTTCGTGAGTTCAAGCCGGTTTGATTGGTCGGGTCTGAATATCCCGTCCATCTTTTCTGCCGCGGTGGCAACTCGGGACTCTCCATTCCGGGCCCAATTTACGTTTTTTCTTTTTTTTTTTTTGCTTAGCTTTCTCCGATCTGCCCGGGAACCTGCAGTCCCCCTCATCGAAAACAAAGGAGGGGGGTTGAAAAGAGGCGGTAAGTAGGAACAACCTGAACAGGGACAGGGACTACGTTGATCCTGCGGGATGCATGAGATAGATCGCATCCATCTTATCTCCCTAGACTTGGCCTCAGGCTGAGGCTTAAGGCCTTTGACGGCCGGCAAGGGATAAATCAGAAACCATGACCCCTCCTCTCTCCAACTCTCGTGCCTGCAAGATCATCTCCGCCCCGCATGTGGGTCACGATTTGTATCCTCCAATCATGTGCCAATATGCTCCCCGAGAAAGGTTTGCGGCGCTAACCTATTTTTACTATTTGAAGATTGGTCTTATTTGGCACCACGTGAGAGTAGTGGGTTTGGTTTGATTTGATCCATAGAGTCAATGATTCATACGAGTAAAAGGGCAAAGATCCAAGGCCAAAAGGTAAATGGTAAATTTCAAATGGTTGACATAGGGGGCGGTGTGGCGCATTGTTGGCGTCTACAGTCCAGCCTCGTCCGTACCCCTCATTCAAGGCAGCCTGGTAAGCCAAATGTAGGTACACCGTATATGGACATCACGAACCCGATCAAATAACCTAGATCATGGGAAGCTTGACGGACCTTTATCATTTTATCCTTCGCGATATCGCTTTCACCTCGAAGCCCAGTGTTCCTCCTATAAGTGCAAAGTCCATCGAGCTCCGGCTCCCACCAGAACTATGGACGATCATACTGGAGAATGTAAGCTGCACGCTTTCCCAATGCTATCTAGACTAATTTGAATCGCTCCAGCTGCAACGTATCGACCCGCAAGCTCTTGGAGCCGCCGGTCTCTCCTGCCGAGGCTTGCGCCGACTGGTCCTGCCTTTGCAGATGCGCTCGGTCATTTTGAACTATTTTGGAGCCGAAGACGCAGTCATTATTGAAGGTCTCTACAACACTCATACTGCACACCAGACGCGATGTATTGTTAAGAGCGGCAATGAAATTATCGAGCATCCACGAGTTCTATTCATTCGGAGGTTCCGACCGGATGACCGGCTCAAAGCGAAGGATACCCTCCAAGAAGCCATTAAGCGTGCCCAGAATCTGAGAGTCCTCAAGTAGGTCATTCGTATCCTTATTTTGTAACGAGGGTATACTGAAAACCCGTCTAGAACTGGAATCTGGTCGGTCGCAAATAGCCTGATCAAATCTCTTGAGGAAAACCGACCACAAGCACGTCTTGTTATTGAAAGCGAGTATCTTCCAACCAACATCCTCGAGCTACAAGGACTGACCCACTCTTCGTGTCTGTCATCCCTGTCTTGTGCATCCCCATTCACTGAGCATGGGAGCGAAACCCTCATACAAGCATACGCCTTGTTGATAGACATTATTTGCACGTCTGTGAATTTGAAAATCTTGCGTCTAGAGAATTACTCCTCAGATCGATTCCCTGAAAGGTGGCCAAGACTCAGTCCTCGATTCGGAGACCGCTTTCCTAATATCAAACACCTCCACCTGAGCGGACACTTCGCAGTCGAAACGCCAAAGTCCTCATATTGGGCCGACGCCATTCAATGGGAGTCCTTGCAGAGCTTAACACTTGGAAACGAAGCAATCAACCCATTTCTGGAGCTCGCTACAGGCCGCATATCTCATCTGGAGTCCTTCGGATTGTTCTGGGATTCATGGCACGCCAGTGAATATTTTGCTCCGGTCAAAGACTTGATTTTGGGATTTGTGACGAGCTTAACGGAGCTATCTAGTTTTGCCACTTCGAACATCACGAAACAGCTGTTATTTCAGATATGCGAACACCACAAGCAACATCTCCGAAGCTTGGCTGTTCATCGTGTTGTGGATGGTCGAAATGACTACTGGACAACAGGTACCTTTGGCTACCACTTTAATGACACCTTACCTTTACTCTTTGGACAAACAATCTATGGCCTCCCGCCTCTGCTACAAGACCTTGAGAATTTCGAGGTCACCGTGGTGTGGAACGGACAATGGGTGAGTCCCGAAGAACTACAAAGCATAGTTCTGCATCAACTAATAGTCTACTAGCCCGAACAGATGATCATCGCGGTTTCCAAATTCCCCCGCCTAAGGTCTCTGACTGTCTCTGTCCCAATGACACTATCAGGCATGCATCTCTCAGGCATGCACGCAGGGGAAGCCAACGCGCCATTCATCAGAGAGGAGACGTGTAGAGATCTATATGCCAAGTTATCAAAGGAACGAGAACGACAATTCCCTTCATATCAAGCGCGAGTTGAAAGTGGGGAGCTAACACACCTGGCCTCGTTGGATGTCGAGGTAGGTGAGTGGGACATCGTTTGCAAGCCGCAGCCCCGGTGGCCCGAGAATGCCGATAGACGGCTTTACGCGTGTCGGACGACTACATCTCGATTTACCTCTCCCGCCGAGACTATTAGAAAGCTATCGATCAATAAAGTCCGCGAACCGCATGGACCATGTCACAGGTTCAATTTGCATCGAATCGCGCTGGGTAAACTGGGCTTGGAGAACGAGGTGGAGGCATGGTGTTGAAATCTCGGGAATGGGTATCTACACTAGGAATCCAGATGATGCGGATAAACAATAACATTATGTGCAATACTATAACGCATAATTGGAATAATGACAGCCGTGATTCGTTATTATCGCTGTCCTCTCACGGCTTCCAGAATAACCTCGCCACCCATGGCTAGGGACCCGCCGTTACCCGCTTGCACCCACGAGCAATCCATGGAACGCCTTTTCTTGGGAGGCAAAAAAGTCAACAGACCAGATGTACAGCAAGTTTTGCCGAACTAAGGACAACGTGTTATGTAGCTTAGGTTCCGGGATAGGGCGCGATGTTTGAAGGCGTAGTCTCAGGTTTGGACCGACCAAAAATGGAAAGGCGGGACTTGGATCTGGTCGGGAGCGGCGCTGGGCCTGGGCGAGCACCCTCGTCAGTGGGACTCAGGGGCTCCGAAGCTGCGACAGGAGTCTCAACGGCCGAAGCTGCGGCAGGACTCTCAACGGCCGAAGCTCGGGCTTCTTCGACTCTCCTGACGCCTTCGCGAACCTCCTCGGTCGAGGCACCCTGGGGTGCTGTCGTTGTCAAGGTCTCCGTTGTACGGATCTTGCCCTGTTCGGTGTCTTCGTTGAGCTTATTGATTTCTTCCTCGGTCACGAGGCGCTCATTTTCCAGCCGGACCTCGCGGCCCCGCTTGTGGCAGTACCATAGCACGAAAAGTAGGACTAGATTATGTTAGCATGGATCCTAAATTTTGTATTTTCTGTGGCCACTTACTGAACAGGGCCAATGACCAGAGCACGTTCATGCCCAGCACAGCTGGGAAACGTGCGCGCAAGAATGCCATGATCGATCGTAGCATCCCGACAATGGCGGCTGGCTTGGAAACCAGCTCCTTCAGGCTGGGAATGTTCAGGCCGACCTTATTGGCGGCGGCTGCTGCTTTGCCCACGTTCTCCATGTTGATACCACTCTGTGCTGCGCGTTCGCCAGCCACAGCAAGCATCTCTGGAGCCAGGGTCTCAGTCCACTTCTCGGGAAGCTTCTCGATAAGCTTCTGTAGGAATCCAGGCAGCTTGGTGTAGGTATCCTGTAATTGCCGATTTCCGTTTGTCAGGAGCATCTCCAGGTCGTGGTAGGCTGTAGGAACGCCGTTGATCAGATCTTTGAAGATCAACTTGAACTTCCTCAGCAATTCTTGTGTCTCGTCGCTAACGGAGAACACGCGGTTGTTGTCCGCTGCGAGATTCAACCGCTCCAAGATATCCGTCATATCCTCCTGATCCTTTTTTGCTTGGTCGTCATTGTCGGTGGTGGATGTTGCGGTTGGAATAGGAGCAGGGCTGTGAGGTTGCGAGTCGGTTCCGGTACTCGACTTTTTATTCTATGAAAAAAGGAAATGCGTCAATATTATGAACCCGTAATCATGGTCATTCCGCGAGTTGCGCATACTTTTTCGGACTCTGTGTTCTTCTTCCAGAACATGGCGTTCCATCGTTTCTTCTTCTTTTCGGGGGCTGCCGCCGGTTCTGTCTTCGGGGTTTCCGACTCAGTCTTCTCAATATTCTCGGACTTCTCATGCGCCTTCCTCTCTTCCTCTCCGAGCTCCTTTCCAAGCTCCTCTAGCGGCGAGGTAGGAAGCGGTACGCTCAGGGCCTCTTGTGAGGTCTCGTTCAGAGCGGACGGCTGAAAGCCCTCTGCAGTAGTCTCAGTAGCTTCGGTAGGTAGGCCGCTTTGCCCAGATGGCTCGGGCGCATTCTCAGGCTGAGCAGTGAGTCGCCGCAGGTAAGCCTCCTCTTCGGCAGTTAGAACAGGGTTGGAGGGTGTCATGACCTGCGAGGATCGCCGCCGGTTCTTGATCTGATTGAAGTACTCCATGGCCATAAATGAGAGGTGGAAAATGACTTCGAAGGGTTGCAGAGGAGAAGTTGAATCTTGAAAAACAAAGGATGAAACGGGTGGGCGCGTGGGTGACAGCAAGGGGTTTGAGCGTAGACCTTGTCGATAGATCAACCTATAAAATATCAGAGCTGCAGAGAGATCAACCCTGTATTGATCGATCGCTGTGGCAAGTAGGCAAGCCACGGAAAATTATCTACTGTGTATGGGGTACCAAAGACGGAATAAGTTTGAGGCCAAGCTCAGCTTGCGATGATATCACCGGTGGGCCAACCCCACACACCCCAGCGCCACCGTGCCACCGCCACATGCACCGCCACCTTCAGATCTGCAATATCTTGTTTAATATCTACGGTCCATTGCAAGTGGTATAATCAATACTAATATAGAGGGTATGCATGTATCGATATTCGATGGAAAGCAGATTATTTTTTCAAGCCTGGTGATTTACAACGCGGCGGAGAATTCCGCACCTGAAGCCATCTTGTGACCCAACGCTCAATATTGACCAGCTACTTGCTCGTTGGCGAGCCACATCTACGTCCATCTCCCTTCTAGAGACCCAGTAGTGGTGACGTAGTAGATTGTAGTTACACTGCTTGTACTCTTTCTGGTTGCTTGGCTGAGATACTGGTCTATTCACACTATTCACACTATTCAAAATCTCCAGAACGACCCAATTATGCTGAAGGACGTGGGATTTGGCCGCATCACCCCTCAATATCAATTAAAAAAATCCGCAATTATAGGCACCATATGGCTCTAGACTTAGAATTATAGTCACGGAGTGGTCATCTCAATGGGGAATGTATACGCTAGAAGTTTGTAGCCGCGTAGAACTAGAATTCCTAGGTTTAGAACATTTCAACAATACTTTGAGCCTATCTGTGTTCGAAACCGATTGACAAGAGAAAGACAATGTACACTGTGACCCAAGTAGTAAAGCGATGACTTTTATATCCGCAATTAGCTTTCACTGTATTCCGAAGGGGATAACAAAAGAAACGCTTAGTACATCCGCGCTGGTTGGACTACTGACGGCGGAGTTTGGATTTGGAAGACTGCAATAGGCGAAGCGAACAAGAAAGGTAGAGCAACCCTCCAAAACACCAGCATGATGGACGAGCGGTGCGAGTTGATTGAAAAACTATGTGGCGTCTGTTACACCGACCCCAAAGCTTGTCCATATCTCAACCTCCCTTGGTGGAGGAGTCGGAGTTTCATGGTTCAAGGAGTGTGCTATCCCCATCTCACTGTACGCAAGACAGATGACCACTTCTAAGAGACATTTGAAACAGGCGTGTGGTCCAGTCCTTGCAAAGGCAGTCAGCCGGTTTCTTGTCGCAGTATCATCATTGATACAATCAACACTCTACTGGAATATAGTTAGAGCGAGCTAGTTTCATTATGTAATTGCCGACCGGATTAACTAACTATTCAGAGAAATGAAATGCCCTTATTGATCCTCATATTCAACAAGAGAATTGACCTCGGTCCACAAGTGCCGAATTCTCAAGTGCCGGTGGTTATTTCGATAAGTCCGATGTATAAAAAGCACGTCCAGTATGCAAGGCTTACGGGGATCCAATTACCACACGAATGTTCTCGATCGTAGTTGCAGGGACTTGTTTCATCTTGATTACAGTGAGTTCCTTGTGACCTCAACAATTGTGGGTGCTGGATTTATCAATCTCGGTGTCTGTTCAATTTGCGACAGCGGCGTTTTGAATGTTGTGCCCGAGGGCGAACACAGATAGGTGATAGATCACATCTGAGATGCGTTTCCCAAATTACCAAGTAGAAGAGCCAGCATTTCAGACATCGCTAAGAAATTTCCATGCCCTTGTTACAGAAACGTGCGCCATCTGAGATGCGTTTCCCAAATTACCAAGTAGAAGAGCCAGCATTTCAGACATCGCTAAGAAATTTCCATGCCCTTGTTACAGAAACGTGCGCCTCTCTGGTCCACTGAGTTCTCGACCGGTTGAACTTCGGAACCCTATTAAGGTCATACTTTCTGATCCATGGTTCTCGTGGGTGGCAGGTATGGGGCAAAAGTGTCTTGGGCGCTGTAACATCAAAAATTAGGACACTAGGACAACTGGACCCAAACTGCGGTATGTACTAAGCCGTTGGTCTAAAGGGAGAAACCTGCGGGATTCAAGACTCGATTTTGAGGCGGATCCATCGGGCAGGATGTTCCCCACACAGCGCGTTCTCTCGGACCGTTTGAGGGACCCCCTAGTGTCGCACCCTGAACCTAATTGGGAAGAGCTGTCCGATGAAGATCTGCTCTATGGGCGTTCCTGTGATCGGCTTCAACTTTGTTATTCTTCGACCCCGCATCTCTGGCCGCCACGGCCACGGCCCTTTGCAAGTTAGGGCACCTCGGGTCAGTTAGAGGGGTCAATGCAAGACAAATGCCGTCTGCAATTCAGCATTCCTTGTTCAATCTTATTTTTTTTCGCCGGTCATCCATGGGTTCTCAGTGGCCCTAAGTTCCCCACTCCCTGCAGATCCCGAGGCACGCGAGAACGGAGATATCCCCGAAAGTATATGCTGAAGTATCCACGCATCACAATGTTTGATTCTGAGACGAAGCTTACCGTGTTGGAAAATTGCTCCGCTTGATCCACGGCAACAGAGTATGGAGTTCCCGGCAATTTGGATGTACGTATGATTCATCAAGTCATGGGAGAAACCCATTTAAAGCAAGAGTCCTCCCCAAGAACAATTGTAAAGATAAGCCGGTCTAGTTCAATCTTTCCATTTTTACTACCTATTTTGCAAAGATGTATTTCAACAAAGCCTCTCTGCTGGCGACAGCTGCCTTGATATCCGAGGTCGCTGCCATCCCAACTCTGCAGTCGCGGGCCACTGCTGGTAGGTTCACCTCCACCCTCGCAGCTGTCAATCCGTGCTCATACTCTCTCATGTTAAGACTCCGCTGCGTTCTCCGCGCTCCAGCGTGCCGCCCAGCTTTCTTCTGCCGCGTACACCGGATGCTTTGGCACAGCTTTTGATGTCACTATCACCAAGACTATCACTGATACCTTGACCGACACCCACGTACGTTTGATTCGAGCAAGTACAAATCGACACTGAATAACGTTTACAGGGCTATGTTGGATACTCTATTTCGGAGAAGAAGATCTCTGTTGTCATGAAGGGCTCCACCAGCTGTAAGCTACTTTTCTTTTCTCTAAGTGGATGGAGTTCACTGCTGACCACTCTTAGACACCAACATAATGAACGACGTTGATACCACCCTTGTTACCCCGTCACTATCCGGTGTCACTTTCCCCTCTGGTGTGAAGATCATGAAGGGCATCAACAGTCCCTGGTCTGCGGTACACGACTCTGTAATCTCCGAGGTCAAGTCGCTGATCGCGAAATACCCCGATTACTCTTTGGAGTCAACTGGGCACTCTCTCGGTGGATCGCTCACCTACATTTCTTACGTCGCTCTTTCCCAGAATTTCCCCGACAAGGATATTACCAGCAATGCTTTGGCTGCCTTCCCCATTGGCAACGCGGCCTGGGCCAGCTTTGCCGGTGGTCTGAATGGAACCTTGAACCGGGGTAACAACGCTGCTGACGGTGTGCCTGTGAGTCTTGCTGAGCTGACCTTTTAGACAACACTTGCTGACTGAATATTCCAGAACATGTACGTGAACTTGCCGTACGACTTTGTCCACTATGGAACCGTAAGTGTTTTCCTGGATGTATTTGATCCTCCGGAGTTAGGTCTCTAACCCGTAAACAGGAGTACTACAGCTCTGGTACTGCCGCTACCTGCGTTAAGTGCTCTGGAGAGCGTGATACCTCTTGCTCCGCTGGAAATGGCATGTACGGCGTGACTGCCGGCCACTTCTACAGCTTCGGTGTGGGCTTGGGCATGGCCGGATGTTCATCGTCTCTGTTCTAATCCCATGAGCTTATGACGGCGGTTCTTGGAGAACTCATGATATTGGGCAAGACCATGTGACTGGGTCTATACTTCCTTGCAGGCGAGGAGGCCTTGTTCATTGGAATGACGGGTAGGACGTCGGGCCATTCAACATGACCGGCAGCTTGCGATCATTTGGTTATTTTCTTTTCTTGAAATCTGTATCATCTGTATGATCAATGAATTGTCGGCCTTCATCTGAACTTGTGTGACATCTCGTGACCGTAGATAAGCCCAGGCCGCAGCAGCAACGTGCATATGGCCACGCCGATCGTCGAATCACTGGCCAATGTGACACGCGGATTTAGCGCCACTCTCCGAACGCAACGGCAGTTTTCAAATGAGGCTTGTACTTCACCCTGGTGATGATATCGCCCTACATCACCTGACCCCGTATCTTAAATAGCGCGTGGCCCGCTCCCCCCGTTTTCCTCTTCACGTCTGCCAGAGTTGACAACCGCAAACGTTAGTTTTCAGTAACTCTCGAATGCAAAGCTATCATCCGGGCTAGTTTCTTGCCGTCTCTTGACGAAACGGTGGAACCATCTCGGAAGACGGCTTCCAGAACTCTCACGCCCATACTGGATCCGCAGCGTCGCTTATTCCTTCTTTTTGACCAACTCATATCACTCCTTTCTGGTATTCTAGGGGTTTCTCGTCGCTAGGTTTGGGATTTCGATATCCTCTGTCTTTTGTGGCTCTTGTCATGTTCAGACGCTCATTTTCCTCGAAGAGCCGGGCGGGCAAGACCGTCAAGGCTAGCAAGAAGAAGTACGACGAACAGGTTAAGGAGAAGATGCAGCAGAAGGTGGACGACAGAGCAGATAATCCACCCGCGGGAAGGTGGTAAAGTCATCCAGTATTTCGTTGAGCCAGACTAACGTAAGCTCAATAGTGCTCTCACCAGTCCCATTATTACTATCGTGGTGGGCCGAGAGCAGCGTCTGTTCGCCGCCCACGAGGATGTCTTGTCCATCTCGCCGTACTTTCGCGATGCTCTTAAGGAGAAGTCGGGGGAAGACGGCCCGAAGCAACTGGCTCTACCTGACGAGTCAGTGCCCGTACTATCCTATTATCTTTATCTACGGCAGTATACTCACATGAAACAGGGAACCTGAAATCCTGTCCTGCATTCTCGAGTTCTTATACAAAGGCGATTACTACCCACGCTTGCTTCACGGCAAGCGTCGAGACTCTTGGTACCTCGAGAATGCTCAGGATATTGACCACAGCGGTCGCGGCTCGAGCGAAGCGACGTTCTTCCACCCAGTTGTGGAAGGCGTTGTACTCCGAGACACTGTGGTGTACTGCTCTGCCGAGAAATACGGTCTGGAAGAATTGAAGCGCATTTGTCTTCGAAAGCAAGGCCTTCAAATCGGTATTCCAGCCGATGTGATCTTACGATCTGCTCGGTACGCGTATGACAACACTCCTGACTCGGAGTCTCGAATGCGCGCTCATTACCTTTCTCTCATCATCCGAAGTCGGAAGACTTTCAAGAGAAGCGGGACCATGCAGATGGAAATGGAGGTCGGTGGCAAGTTATTTTTTGATCTGTTTGTGGCAATGTGCAATCACATGGATGACCTCGCGGAGATCCGGTAGGATCCTTCTATCCCTACTCCTTGTCCGTGGACTCCTTTTGCAGGTTGTCCGGGCTGCTAACACAACACCCCTGCAATTTTGGACTATGAACGCTTACAACTCTGACAGCGCCAAGCGAACCCCGAGGCTGTTCTAGCCGGTCGTCCACATTGCCTTTGATTTTTCGGATCGAGCTGCACGATATTGAAATTGAACGAGGGGGCATACTGATTTTCAACCAGAATGGCTATCTGACTGCGACTTTGTATCGGTCTGTTATTTTGCTTTGACAGCAAAACAACTTCTCTTCCATCGAGGTTGGCCGCCATTTGATGGTTTAAACAAACCGCCCTATTCATTTTTAATTGATTGGAGTACGTGAATTGCGATAATCGACATCTTCACTCCTTGATGATTCGTCGAGCGTATTAGCAACTTTTTCGCCCATCTTCTGCGTTAATGCTGCGTTCTCGTTTACTTATGACAACCATGTCTCCATTCCTTGTATACCGACGCCTGTTCGTTGTTTATGATACTATTAGGCCTCTGGCCCCTTGGTGATGAGAAAAATGAAATGAGAAATTCGGCCACCTCAAAATTGTCTCTCGTAGTCGTTTCACTTCATACTATAAAGTTGTTGTCCTTCGTGGACTCGGATTCACAGTTATCTATCAACTTACAACCCACAGATGCCTTTCACTTTGCATATCCTGAGCCTCTGGCCTTGGCCATGTCCATCTCCGCACTACTCAGTGGGTTGTCAACGTGTTACATAGGCTACTTCAACCCGACTTTGATTATTGGTAGCTCTGACCGTCATTGGGACAGGACTCGTATCCACTTTACAGCCGGACTCATCTACCGCAAAGTGGATATCTTATTCTGTGTATGGTGGTGCTTAGAAAATGCAAAGAAGGCGGCGATCATTAGCCTCTTCAAGGCTTCGCAGAGCTTGTCCTAGGAGCTAGCCCCGATCTCTTGGGATAGTTTCTAGACGGCTTGATTTTATTTCATGAGCCGGTCAACCAGAAGCCCTAGGAACTCGAATTCTCTTACGCATACATAATATTCCTTCGGAAATTTTGCCAGGAAAAGGAAGTAATTTCAATTAAATGAGATATATATTAAATGAGATGTATATTTAAGCCCTCGCTCTGTCAAGAATCGTCTTTACCACTCCCCGTACATCAACAATCTGTTTAGGCAATATCGAAGAATACTGCGCTGTAGTCAATCAGCTTGCATGAAAAACTTCAAGTACACAAGTAGTATAGGTAGGGCAGAGAAGTGTAATTCAATTTGGTGCTTATCCCCCCAAAGACCTTTACTCGGGATTCACAGGGAATGTACCATGCTCTAAGTATGGATCAGGCTTTTCATCAAGCCTGATACAAGTTCCGTACACCCTCAAAGTCCGAATCAAATCGTTCCCATCCTTTTCCTGATCAGCCAGCATATCATTACAATGCAATGTATGCGGGAAGACAATTGCCTGCGACAAGACATAGGCGCCCTCCCATCCATCTTGATAGCTGCGGCTCACCGCTCGACCCAGCAGTCTCCAGAAGTACAGGCAATGTGTCTGGTGCCATTCATGTGTCGCCCAAATCTCGGCTCGCTCCCTGAGAACCACCGGGTCCTGTGCAACCAGCTCTAGGCCATCAGCATCCCCATACCAGTCAAAGTGACCAGCTTTGTGGAAGGGTGCATAGCGAGAGGTCTCTGATACGACATCGGCGGCCAGATCGGGCTCGTAGCAGGCGGGCGGAATCCAACAATATACAATCACATCAAAGATGCAGCCGTTGGCAATGGCCTCTTCATTAGTAGTGCCGCATTCAAGGGGGGAGGCCCGCAGGGGATAGCCGCACACCTGAAGGCCAGGTGGTGACTAGAGGCTTGCGATGGGGTTCATCCCCAGGATCAACACCCTTTTGATCGTGATGGGCGCTGCTTCGGGTAGCACAATGAACTACCGTCCACACAATAACTAGGATGCACACTGCGGCTGCAGACATTGAGAGATAGACACCACATCGGCGCCAAAATATGAGGATGAGGCTCCCGGTGGATCGGTGTGAGATTGCAGTGCCTAGGTATTTTTCTTCGGCTTCACGATCTCGGTCACATCCATCGGGACCTTCCGAGTCCCAAGTTAATGAGGAATCGAGGCGGCGAGAATCACGTTCATCGATCGAGCTGTTGGATGGGTCATCCGAGCCCGTCATGAGTGGATGACTGGCCTCCTCCATGGCTCCAAATTATATTATGGGGAAAGTCCAAACGTTTTTCAAAAGGTAAAGATCATATGGGTGATTTAATCAAGGTAAAGACAAACTGAACTTGGGGTTGGGGGAATTGATTGTCGCAGATATTCTGGCGTTGGTTTAAATTACACCTCCCTCGTGACTACGAAATTAAGCATGTACCTAGGTATGTATGTATGTATATTGTTTGTATGGTCTTGTAACGTAAACGTATATACCGCGCCTCGTGGAAAAGCACAGGCTGTCTTTCTTACTGCATGAGAGATGCTTAGTTCATTCCCTTCGATTACTTCATTCTTGAAGGCCAATTGCCTTGCATTATGTTACATTGCATATCCGTGATAATCGTCAAACTATGAGAAATAGAGGAAAAAGTGCCCAATTGAAGCAACCCGTCTACTCTCTGATCTAGATAAATAAACGAGGCCTCATGTGCGGGGTAGGTGCATGAAAGATGCTTAGTTCAATCCATTCGATTGCTCCATTCTTGAAGGCCAATTGCCTTGCATTATGTTACATTGCATATCCGTGATGATCGTCAAACTACGAGAGATAGGAAGAAAAGTGCCCAATTGAAGCAACTCGTCTACTCTCTGATCTAGATAAAGAAGCGAGGTCGCATGTGCGGGGTAGGTGCATGGTCGATGAGCAAGGGCTGCAAGGCGGAGGTCCGTACGGAGGGCGAGATATACATCGACATAAGCACTAATATGGGGGCGCAATTTCTTTTGAGTATTTGCTATGTTGCTATGCAAGATTTACCTAAAGAGAGTGAAGGTTCTGACCAAAAGTGATAAGCACTAAAGCATGCTAATCTTACGCAATCATGAACATCTAATAGGTGAAGCTGTCTCATGATATAGATATAACGCAAATCAAATTTAGGCAAAGGCGCGTCGTTTCGCTAACGTTGTCGTGACCGACACTCATTACGTGGCCGTCTATGGTGATAGTTCACAATATGTATGCTTTCGAAGTCTTACTTTGGATTGGGCTAATCTCTATTCCGATCTCCATGTGTGTTGGCATTGACAAGGCGCAGGCCGTGATGTGGGACAATGAACGATATAGAATGTGACTGCGCTCCAATGTAATACTGCTAGAACAAAAGTACGACCGACGCCTAGAAAATCTCCTTTCCAAGATCACCATCGTCCGGATGCTCGTCATACCATTGAAAGATCGTTTTAAATTTGTGGTTCTAGGTCGAATATATCAGCCGTGACTCGTACTAAGTACTCTCCCTCGTAGTCAAAACAACATACCATGATATGTGGTTGAAAATCGACCGGCCGTCTAATGGCTCCAAAGTCTTCTATCGGGACGGAGTTTTCATCGTGCCATTTCATGATGGCTCCAAAGTCGCGACACTTGTGATTGATGCTGAAATCTGGGAAAGCATTTTTCTGGGCATCCAGCCATGTATGCGGATAAACGTCCACATTAGCGGTGCACATCAAATTCTGTAGGAGCATATATACACAGTGGCTGACATGAAGCTGGTGGTACTCATTGTTTGTGTCGGAGTCGTCGTAGTAGTAGCCGTAGTTATCTTTTAGATGCATGCGGAGTCTGTTCAGGCAATGGATCTGATGAAAGACATCAACACGGCCGATATATGCTTCCTCGCCAAACCCGAAGGACTCAGGAAATTTTGCTGCTCTTGCGGGGTCTTTATCGTGGGCCAGAATGTACTCGCGACTGATAGGAACCGGTTTTTGACTTTCTATTCGTGCCCAAGCGGCATCGACTTCGGGGGAAGGCGGTTGGCGAAAGATCGAGACGGGTTGTTGCTCGAGGAATGTACCATTCAATCTCGTCGAGATGAGGGCGATATCAATATCGTCGAAGAGAGGTGCTATACACATTTTCAGCCAGGTTTCCTTCTTTTTCTCGAGGACTTATTGTTGGATACATGGTTCAGATGTCTGTCTGAGCAGCCAATTCCTCTGGGGGGAGACTGGGGTCGGTAATTTGTAAGAGATCATCGACATGGTAAAGAGCCACAGAGACAGGAGAAAGAATAATGCATTCAAAATCGTGCTCCAATGGGGCCATCTGCCAGGTGAACATGGCAAGGGTTCATTTGATGGTTCCTTCTCATTAAGATCGTCTGCGACATTGTTGACAGATGTATATTGCCAATGGCGAAAAATGCGAGGCATAGAAAGCATGATCAGGGAAAGTGACCGTGGATGATACAGGGGTTGTATAATACAAGTGAAAAGGAAACAAGAAAAGGAGGATGGATGTGGTGTAGGCGGCTGTTATAGGCCGCTGGAGGTACTGAGATACCTGCCTGAGCTGCTCGCTTACCCCTCTCTCTCGCCCGGGCCCGACGGCTCCAACTGCCAATAGCACTTAAAACCTGACCGGCTCTCACCTATTGTCACTCCCCCTCTTCCCTTTGCTAAATTCAATAATCATCCCTTGTCAATCATTCTTCATTCCACTCTTTTGTGCGTCATGCATCCTCAGTCCGTAGTCTCACGGGAGTTTTGGGTCTTGATGCCTTTATTTACGTTCTTCCTCTTTATATTGACTTCAACCACTTTGTTCTTTGGCATCCAGTATGGACGCTCGACTGTGATCGCCACTGTCACCTCCCAGCAATCGTGCTTCTCCCCAAACGCAACCTCAGTATCTGCAGTATGGGATGTCCACCATGTGCCCAATCCTCCACCCATGTTTACTCCCATGGTATTCCTGGACATCTCCCATAGTGGTTCATTCCAGTCAGCTGAAGATGCAGTCCGGGATCCATCCTGGCAGAAGCTATTGCCATCCGGCGGTGGGTTCCTCTTCGTCCAGGAATCGGACGGTACGGTTCAGGGCTACGGTGTCAGTATGTTCCACCAGCTTCATTGTCTATCAATGATTCGGGACATGCTTCTCGGTCAGCCTATGTCACATGCCCATGAAGCATCGGACTGGTCACAGGACAGTATGCATTGGTTGCACTGTTTGGACTATCTGGCCCAGGTTAGTGATAATTGATACCTATGTGGAATTTCTTTTTCCTCTTCTTCAGCATGAAACTTATCGGTCTTATCTACAGGGTGTCCTATGTGCGGCAGATGACACGCTGGAAAAGCCTGGCTTTACTAAAAATGTCGAAGGTAAGCTAGTCAAAGGAATTGACGGCATGAATCACACGCACCAGTGTCGAGACTGGGCTCAATTGAGGGAAGTAGTCGAGCACTCAGAAACTGTACCTAGAAAGGGTGAGCTTTTGGGGTCAATGACAGTCTTCAAGGTTCCAGGAACAGATAGCAAAGGAAAACCATGGGTGGTCAGTGAAAGCTAGATTTTATCTTAGACTTCTATCAATGCAGCCACCTGGGAGGAGTACAGAAATAAATTGTAATCTCATGTCTTGCACGTTCTCTCTGAGTGATAAACTCCATTTCTTAAGTGAGGGTGTCATTATTTGAGCGTATCTATGATAGAATACCACGGTTTCCATAGATAGTAGCCACTACAGTAATCCCAAAAAAAGGGTTGGAAAGAAGAAAAGGATTTTATAAATAGATTGATTTCAATCGATTGTTATGTTATGTCTCGGTGGGTTCAAGGCATATTTACACCATAATCATCATCATATCAAACATTATGGTCAATTTGCCCAAGTAAGCTCAGCTATGCTAGATAGTAGTCCAGTAACCTTGCTCACTCAAATTTCTCAGCGTCATAAGGAATGCCGCGTTCAAACTTCTCAGCATCATAGGGAATCCCTCGGCGTTCAAACTTCTCGGCATCATATGGTATGCCGCGCTTGGAATTCACATACAGCAACTCGTCGGGAGAGGCCTCGCGCTTGGAGTTCACATACAACAACTCGTCGGGGGAGGCCTCACGCTTGGAGTTCACATACAACAACTCGTCGGGGGAGGCCTCACGCTTGGAGTTCACATACAACAGCTCATCTGGCTTGGCTTCACGGTCAGCAATGTGGCCTAATTTGAAATGTTGTAATGATTAGCATCTGAAGTTCTCCTTAACGAGAGGAGCCGAAGAGTCATTTACCACCGTGGGGTGCCGCAATGGCGAGGCCAGAGAGGAGCCAGAAGCCTTTAAGAATGGTCTTGGGATGCATGATGAAAATGGAAGAGATAAACTTGAGTATAGATTTGAACCTGGGACAATTGAGGAACTGGCTGTACGTGAATGAGAGTTTAGATTGGTTGCTGGGACTGTCATATATATAGAGTTCTATCTTCCTCGCAAGGACTTTCTTCTGAACTTGCCCCGTGATACATTCCAGTACTCCGTGCCTGCCTCCGAAGTCGGAATCTTTGTTAGATCCCTGGAGGTATATTACAGGCTGATGCTGCCGCTAATTGACCAAAACCCTAGCTTCAATTACGTGTCCTATAGATTCATGAATTGCTCAGATCCAGCCACTTATGACATACCTCCGTCTTTCACACCCTCTTTGGACGCAGATCTCTACGATGATTTGAGTGGCACATCACAATTCGGCTTTAACCCGTAAGCAAGTGGACTCACATACATATGCTGTTACATCGCTCTTCATACTGCGTCGATCTAAACTGGATGCAGTATCCTGTACGGTTTTCATGCATTATCATACCAACAAGCATCAATGTGGATGCGTAGCTTCAGAGTGTCTGTTCTCCACTGCCAATAATCCCTTTAGTTATGATTGCCGCTTTTGCCGAAAGAAGTCCCCGGGATCACAGTATATTCCTTCACGGTATTCTCTGATAGTGAATGGTATTTTTGGAAGTCGCTGTAGAAGGCCGTGTATCAGCCATTACGGTATTTTCTTCGTACTCCTGCTCACACGCTCGTTTCTTCATGTTATATGCTCCTCGCTCAGCTTTTAATTATCCTTCCTCTTTCTCTTATGTGGTACAGATCATCAGTCAGAGAAACAAGTCCATTCTTCTCTATCAAATCTGAAGCAAAAACGCAATCCGAAAATGAGGGCTTCTATCAAATACTCTTACGGACATCTCTACTTTGTTTTTATCTCATTGCTCGTCAACTTATTCTTTCTGCTTATTCTGGGTACAACCCTTCTTCTTGGAATCGGTCGAATATCATTTCTCAGTCGTTATGCTGGGCACCTCCAAGCCAAAGCATGCGGATTCCATAGACCATACGATGCAACTTTCCCAAAGTACTACAGATATATGGATGAACTACAGCCGCCAATATTTACTATCGAGTCCATGGCGGCCATGGGCTGGGAAGAAAAGCTTCTTACACCAAACGGCGGTTTTCTTCGCGTCGAGATGGAAGACGGTCATATTCGTGGTTGGGGAGTCAGCATGATGCATCATCTGCATTGCTTGATCATGGTGCGAGATATGCTGACGGGTCGTCCCATGAATGAGGAATTTGAAACAGGGGGCGAGTTGCACTGGTCCCACTGTTTGGACTACATGGCGAATGTAGGATTCTCTTGGTGCACACATTCACTGTTCTCGTTTCTTCGTACTCATGCTGATCATCCATTGCATCTTAAAGGCCATTCTCTGTCATGCCGATGATACTCTCGAACCTCCTGGTCACGCAGAGCACTTTCTGTCTATTGAGGAAGGAGGGCTCGATGGCGAGAGCCATTCGCATCAATGCCGAAATTCCACTAAATTATTTGAGAAACTTCTCGAGGCTGAGAAAAAACCGATTAAGATTGGGGACTTGGGACCTGGTACACTCTTCTAAATATGAAATGTCCAAAATTTTGTCTACAGACATTATATAAGTCTGGTTATTCTAGAATCTGTGTTCAGAAATGAAACGTAGAAAACAGTGGGAAGAAAACTTGAAAAATTCAATGAAACGGATTGTAATTATGTTCCTGCCAATCTTGAGTGTCAGAGGTCAAACATTTCGAGGGCAAAATGTTTGCTTCCATTTCCATCCACAGCCATCTGAGACCTTTCTAAAAGTATATGCCGTAACGCTGTTCAATTGTGTATAGAACTTGGTAATGCTTTCTGGTCGATCAATTGAGGGGCATGGCGCACAATTAAGCTTTACAATGTAATCCTTGGAGCTGATCTGTCTGTTCCTAGCTGTACGCGAAGCGTCCCGTGCCCCCGCCTTCCCAAAATACTCACTCGTTCCCCCTCGTACGACATAATCTATCTGGTGCAACGTATGCACCTAGCACGTAATGAGCATGAATACTGACATAATCAACTACCAACCCCTCATTTTGGCTTCGTACAGATGAATGTGATAACTGATGCTGCAGTCACTAGGAAAATCTAACTGGTAAACAGCAAGAGATAAGAATAACTTCATCTGATACGTGGTACTTTTTGCTTTGGTTCGCAACTATGCGCTAGTGTTCTTTTTCCTACGTGTTGCCCCTTCGATTCTCCTGCTATGTCTCTCTTCTCTCTTAGAGTCATATAATGCAATCTTTGGTTGATTAAACCAAACCCCAGAGTTGCAAACTTTGTCCTTTGTTCTTACACTGCTCAATTTTGGGTCCCATCATATTTTCCCTCATCCTCACAGTCACAATCTTTTCCTTGCTCAATTCGCTCTTCTTACACATCAACCGCCATGTCCTCATCTACCAAAACCGGAATTCCATATTCCATCGTGTCTGGGAGCAAGCCATCCACCACAGATCTGAATGATCAGCACAAGCGCAATGGATATGATCTACCACCATATCAAGACAAGGAGAAGGAGATTGTTGATGAAGATGGTGATAGTGACTCCATTGCTCAACACGAATCCAGTGAGCTTCTGGAACAAGGTGGTCATAGAAAAAGACCCATCACTATTATCTCCGCATGGCGGACTCTTCTCTTTGCACCAAGCACTTACCTTATTATGAGTGGCATACTATCCGCTTTCTTGCTACTGTTTATGCTTATCGCTCTGGGAGTCGTCTTTCTTTTGTCAAGGAATCTGGAACACACTCATGGGGGAATTCGGAATGATGCTGAGGTCCCCGGTTTGGATTGGATCTCTTGGGTGAGTGGCTTTGACCTTATTGCCTGGTGTTGACATGTTAGCACTAACTAACAGAATTTAATTATATAGTGGGCAAGTCACCGAGCCAGTTTTACTTGATACTGAATAGCTGAATGGCATTTCATTGAAAGATTATTGGTTTCTCGAAGTGTATCTTATCATACTGCAATATTTTGCCCCAATTCACATTAGGTCCGCGTCTCCTAATAAGTGCTATCAATTTTCTTGAGAGGAATCGTCGCTCAGTATAGTAAATTGTTCCATTCTTCCAAGACTGCCCAGGACTGTATATAACATCTTATTACACACCTTAAAAATGATGAACATCAATATGGTAATCATCGGGAGGGGTTCTGAAGGAAACGAATGTCTGCGACGCGATATATGACGATACAAAGATAGTAGATTCAAAATTGGAGGGTATCTGAAACCAAAACAAATCTCCGTATCAACACAATCTTTCACGTGCGGGGAAGAGCTTTGGCCTTCAGTGACAGTACCCGGTGTTTAGCACATTACATTGGGCACGCGATTTTACTACATTTAAAGTTTACAAAAATGAGCCCCCTCCTGGATCCCCGAGATTTTCAGCGCACTGCTGCGGTAAGAACCCCTTCTGCATGTCAGAAACTAGTGCGCCGCTGAAGAAGTCTGTATATGCCACGTCAGCGTTCCCTTCCCCCTTCCATTTGTGCCGGACTTTATCTTCCCTGGTCATTCTGTAACATGTATTGTCATGACCAGTCATTGCTTGAGACCGTAACCGTAATAACACACGAAATTACCCAGCGTTGATTACCTATTCGGAGTCTCTACTCGAGAGCTAATTCCTTACAACATAACCATATATTCGTCTATCCAGTTCAATGAAGAGATAAAGAGGAAATTGACCATGTCTTGCTCCGAGACGAACGAAACATCCCTCCCTGATGAAGGAGAGGAAGCATTTTTCCTCCCAAAAATTGAAGCAGTGGGCTCCAAGCCCCAGTCAGTTCCGCTGTGGTCATGGCATATCAGATTTCTCATTCTGAATTGTTTGTTACTCTTCTGTTCAATCATATCCATGTCCACCACAGTGATATTGCATCAATCATACCTGAAAAAGACTGTCTCAACAGAGAGAAATAAGTTGTTGAAGCAAACCTCACACTTTTGTAAGTAATTTTCGGATAGAGACACCGCCCCTCCTGATGATCGAGAAAGATGGTTGTTAATTCATCAATCTCGCTCCATCAGCTTCAATCCTAGATCAAGTGGACATCCCGCTCAAGACCCTTCGGATAGACGGAGACTTCTTCGAACCCGATCACAATATGTCTATATTTCGCCAACTCCCTAGCCCCGAAGTTGACGCTGCGTGGCAGCACGTCTCAACTCTCGGTCAGGTTTTTCTTACCACGGAGGAGGTGATCAAGTTGGGGAAGGACCCAACCATGGCAGTTCGAGCAAATGATCAACCGGACAAACATATCGGTTTGGTTAATGGTTTTCACGAGATCCATTGCTTGAACATGTTGCGTCAAAATCTTCATCGCGATTACTACTGGCCTGAAGGGGTTGAGTCGCCTTACCAATGGATTCACGTTTATCATTGTCTTTATATCATTCTCCAATCTTTGACCTGCGACGTGAACACGGATATCGCCACCTACAACTGGGTGGAAACGAGGCAGGATCCTGTGTGGGATTTCTCGGTCAATAGAGTCTGTCGGGATTTTGATGCCTTACTAGAGTGGCACAATCGAACCACTCGCCCGATTGATGATTACTCCTTTCGCCGCATTGGAGGTGAAAAGGAGCTTCCGGTACCTGAGCAGTTGAAGCGGATTCAAGCGCATGGGCCAAGCCCCCGCGTGGGTATCAAGACAGACCCCGCCCTCCTGGGTTCTTTTGAGGCTTGGTATTGAATGAAAATACCAGAATGAGCAAATCAATTCGATCGCACAAGGTTGCGCTTGATATATATTACAGATGTGTTTACTATCATTTAGATCTGGAATCGGTTTAAAAGCATATGAGTAAAAAGGTGGCTGAAGTTTTTCCTCGGTATTACTCTTTGACTAATTACACCAGCAGAAAGCTGACAGGTAATATATAAATGTGCTTACTAACTGACCTACTTATAACTAGCTAGTTAGTGAACTGATAACGTATCCATGTCCTTTTTTAAATTGAAAAGCAATCCCCATTTCTTCCCTTCTTTATGATCTTTTACTTCTCTCCCATATCCCGCAGGCCACAAACGTGCTAGATAATGGAGCAATAGATCCATTTCTCGTCTCTTTCTCTATCTTACCCAGAAGATTCAATAAAACTCAAATATCATGGCTCATGATTCACCATTCTACCAAATTGTCGGTCATCCTGGGGAATTGCACTTTCAGCTCCAGTCCAAAACCACCCCCGAGCTGACGCTCCGTATTCCGACCAACGTCGATATTGCTGCCGTTATTGAAGTCCTTAGCAACAAATCCAATTCGGAATTTGACAAGTCCATCTCGGATGCCACGGCTGAAGAACTTCAATCCATTGCTCAGCGGTGGACGACGGTCAATGAACCGTTGACTCATATGAACTTCCTCGTTCGGCACAATGAGCAGCCGCTGGGTATCGCAGGGCTAGGTTGGATTGGTCCTGTCAACAGCAGCGATGCAGAAGATCAAGCAGAAAGAGCCGGTGCAGCAGGGGTGATGCTTCAACCCTTCGCAAGAGGCAAGGGATATGCCTATGAGGCTCTCCGTGTGGTCTTTGATTATGGATTACGCCAGTTGGGTCTGGTTGAAATTCGCTTGGGGAGCCACTCGGGAAATCTTCCCATGAAGGGCTTGATGGAGAAAAAGTTTGGATTGCAGCCGGCGGTTGGGACGGAAGAATCGGTGGATCAGTTTGGAAATAACCTCTTATGGGTTGTGAAGAGAGAGAAGTGGCTGAGTATCAACAACTAGTTTGATCTCATTGTTTGCATTTACTGGAATTCTTATTGATAAGCCAATGTACCTTTAAGCCGAGTGTGGATTCAGGGTTTGCGAATTCCGGGCTCATAACCAGTTGAATAGCCACTAGGCCAAAATACGATTCGCTGAATTTGCGTCCTTAAGCACGCACTGAGTCATGCCCGAATAGGTACTGAGCATGCCTGGGCGATCACTGAGCCTGAGCGCCCTCATAAAAGCGGCGGCAACCCAGATAAGAAAGGCCCCATCCGGCAGACTTCATCCTGTCTATATAGGGATATATGGATCGGTGTGGTTTTCCCGGCTGGCTTTGAGCCGGGAAAGATTCTTTCTAGACGCCCAAAAGGCTTGAAGTCTAGCGTGAACAGCTCAACTGAGAGGATTACCCCGTCTACTTTCTGGACAGAAACACCTAGTAAGTTCACTTCTTTATTTGCACTTGATATTTAGGGGTTCGAGTGCTAATTGATGACATGAACAGTCGCTGGACGGAGTTTAAGAATCTTTTTCTTCGGAGCTCTGATGCCTCCCTCTTTCAGAAAGCCTAGCGCTCGCAACGATGCTAAATTTCCGCGGGCTCTTCCGAATGGCTAAACGGCAACTTTCTCTCCAGACATGAGGTGTTGATCAAAGGGAAGTTGGGGACTTGGCTTTCACTTGAGATCCCACCAGGAATAGACAGTATGTATGGGAAAGACAGCTCTGATGAGGAGAACAACGGCAATACCGCGGAGGAAAATGATCAAGAAGAGCCAAGATCTGAAGAATCGCCCGCCAAAGTGCAGGTAACCAGTGGCTCTTTCTCTGTGTCTTGCTCTGTGTCTTGCTCTGTCATGCTCAGATTCCCCGGAGAGTCTGAGCCGTTCTTCAGCCCCTTCAAGCATCGACCTTCTGGCAACACGCAGGACTGTAAGATTGCAGCCAAGTCATCCTTCCTGTCTCACTAGGTCAGAATCGGCCGCCTTTGTTCGTAGAGCAGACTAGAGAGAAAGGCAAAGCCCAAGTGAAGATTGAAGACCTCGGAGATGAAGCATCCAAATCTTCCGATTTTGATCAAACTTTGCGCTAGTCTATCGAACACATCTTTCAAGGTAGATATTATGCCGATAAGATGCCGAGAATTTTCTGGTCAGCCCAAATTCGTCCAAATTCAGTCATGGCTTAGGTCTACCGACTTCGCCCCTCGTTTCGTCCAGGCTAAGAATCCGACGCCAATCTCCACCGGCCACGATCATTCGTCCGGTCTTGAATCTGGCGGGTTTGGAGATATTCTGCAGACCCCTCGAGAATACCAGCTTGCAAATGTCCTGGACTCTGAAGATCTTCGAAAGCAAATTCTGTCTCTGGGCCAGGCCACCTTTACCGACAGGCAAGGATCTACAACCTGACGAAGCTGATCGACCTCATCCGACACAAGCTCCAGGCGGTGTGGAATTATTATCCCGGCCTTGGTCAGCTATAGCCAATTCTAGAAGTCATCAAGAAATATGGCTTTCAAGGGTATGCTTGAGTCTTGCAAGCATGATAACTTGCAAAAGTGGCTGATCGGATTCCTTGCCGATATGCAAGACTAATTTACGTTTGATTACGGTAACAAATAGTAGGCTCTCATGGGTGAAATGTCAGATCTATATTCCGAGGTCAGCCAGGTTCGGACGGAGATGCACCGCAGTCACCCGGAGCGTTATGCCGATCTTCTCTTCCTTCTACGCAGCCGGGGGATTGAAGAGATATGATGAGCTGAAAGACGGCCAGAAAAAGGTGGGGGGAAAAGGATCAATGAAGATGTACTTAAAAGCACCGTGAAAGGAAGCGACGATTGTTAGTAGAGAACATCAACAGAGACCTTGAAAAAAGAGATGGGGACTTTATATACATTAAATAATTCATTCAAAAACATTCCTCGTCTTTCGAGATCTACTATTCCTTTGCCTTATTTTGCAAGCTACAATCCGAGACAGAAATATAGATTAATACTTTGGTTAACTTGGTGGTGTAGCATATACCACAGACCAAGGAAGAAAAAATCACTCAGCTGGCCTCCAGGCTCATGTCAGCGATTATGGTAGGAGAAACAGAAAGAAAGAGGGAGGAAAGCCTGCACAAGCATGAAGAGTTCAATCCATAGGTTACTGAGTAACAGATTGTCTCGCGGCACCTCACGCCAGTCGCCAACGGGAAAGAACAGATCCCTGTGTAGGAATGGAACAAAAGAGGGACTGGGGACAAGATCACCGAGACTATTAATCCGAGGAAGCCTTCTTCCGGCCACGCTTGGGCTTGGCGGGGACAGAAGTCTCAGTATCATCATGGGCAGAGTTGGTCTTGGCGGCCTTGCCACGACCACGCTTGGGCTTCTCGGGCTCGGCGTCCTGGGTCTCTTCGCCGGAAGTCTTGCGCTTTGTGCCCTTTTTGGCGGGCTGAGCAGGAGCATCAGTGGCAGGCTTCTTGGAGGGACGGCCGCGCTTCTTGAGCTCCGCATCAGGGTCCGCATCGGCAGCGGTGTTCTTGGCACGAGGCTTCTTTATATTGGCAGCAGGCTTCCGCTCTTCCACTTCGTGATCACTACTAGCCTCGGAATCCTCCTTGACGGCTGCTTTCTTGGTGCGAGGGGCCCTCTTAGTCTTGGGCTTAGCCTTCTCAGAGGCATCGGCGTCATTGCTAGACTCGGCGACAGCTTTTGCGGCAGCCTTCTTCGGCTTGGGCTTCGGCTTCCCTGAGGGTTCGACGTCATCATTAGCGTCAGAGCCCTCGACGGTGGGCATCGGCTGATCGTGAGAAACCTTCTGGGACAAATTAGATCTGTGGTTATGGCAAAGTATACGGAGAACATACCTCTGCCTTGACATTCTTGCCGCGGGGCGCGCGTTTGCGGAATCCAGTGCAGCCAGGGCGGTTAACCTCGACATCCTAGACTTTTTTAGTGGACTTTCACTCGTGGCTTTTACTTGTTTGGTTTGACTTACGCCCTTCCAATCATCATCAGCGACGTGACCCTCGGCCAGGGCAGTGCGAATTTTCAACTGCAAAGCATCGGGCAGATCCTCGTAGCCATCGAGCACATCGTAGTCGGTTTCATTGGAACGCATCTCCTCCCAGGCATTGGCGATGTTCTCAATCACCTTTGGCGTGGTGCAGCCCCTTATATTATCAGAGTTAGATCTCTCACAGTCCAAGACTAGTAAGTGAGTACTTACCAGTGGCGCCACTGATAGGACTGGAACTTTTCACTTTCGACCCAAGATCCAACGCGAAGCTCACCCTTGGGGATTTTGACGGCGTTTTCCTTGCACTCCTTGTTCTGACAGCCAGCACGGCCATTAGATAGCTCTAGAAGTTGCGTCAGCCAAGTTAATTGAATATGTTATGATCGGACATGGAGCTGGACGCTGAGCTATCGTGTCATTCATGGGAGGCCCGGAGCTCGGAGCTTGGGCCAACAAGGCAGAGCCCAAGCATCGCGGACCCCGCGGCGCGCATTCAGACGCATTGGACAGTGATAATATATCGACAGTCAAGAGTTGATATCGCGATGTCCGAAAGAATATCTCTAGAATGACACGACACTTGCGGGGCGATAAGGGAATGCAGCAACTTACCGAAGCGGTAACTTCCCATCGCTCGTGTTGAGAGCGCGGCACACGCGTGAAAGCGGAAAAGAATAGATCAACACGTTGATAAACGTGGTAATGTAGAGAAAGCGCGCGGTCAATGGAAATTGACACCGTGCAGTGGGAGGGGATGGTGGGAAAGAGAACGGGAGGGAAGTTGGCAAAGGCGAAAAGATCTGGCGACTACCAGTACACAACGCGAACAGCCCTCACTTTGGGTCTCTTTTTTCCGCGAGACTTTTCACTGGCAACCTGAAAGATTTCATTATAATGTGTCCATTTATTATTCAGGCCTGCAAATTCCTTTCACGAGGTGATTGTCTCGTCAACCCCTACCATACGTCACAGTCTCATGCAAATTGCAAAGCTTGAATAGCTCTTTATAAGTCAAGCCGCTTTGATTTGGTCATGATGGTAATATAATCATGCTATTCCCCATGCTCTCCAGCTAATAATAACTTTACCCTTGTCCTTCGGGACTTGGAGTGCAGGTTTGTACTTTGTGCCCAGTACTGGCGTTGTGGAGGTATACTAGATTGACCGCATTGTATTGAATTTTCGCCAACTCGCCTAGTTCAGGAATTTGAGGCTTTATGTTAGCATTTATCATAAGTTCACTAGGTTATCCCGACGGGCCCCTTCGTGTCCTGATAGCACCATGGTAGACTGCCTAGCAAGCTGGAGTCCTTGCTGTTTTGACCACCGACCGGGAGTCTTAACATAGGATATGTTCCGGGGCCAAATGGGTGAAGATCACAAAACTAGTCCCGGTCTCGATTAACAGAGATTTTGAGTACTCCCAATTCCACAGGATAACACAATTCCCACAATTATCCTCCTTATTTTGGCTGATACTCTAGATGCCCGCGAAACTAGATTGTAACGGTCAGTCCGAAAGGGGTTAGCGTGTCCGCCGCGGGCTTCGCTGCTCATCTCAGCATCTTTCCTCAATTGCTTCTCTTCTCCCCATTACTTGCTTCAAAGAGCGCCTTGGAACAGATCAAGCTCCGTATCTGTCTTTGCCTTCCGGAAGAGTCAATACAAACTCAATTTCCCCAAGTTTCCAATCGTTGGGCCGCGAATTCAACCAACAAAAAGGTCACTCTCGGAGCCACCTCATACACAACCTACCTATAATTACATTTCCAGTGGACGACACTTTCACCAAACCAACCAAAATGTCAGAGCCAGGCCCAGAATCTGTCCCAACAAGCGCGGACCCGCGCAGCAAACGGCCCACCAAGCGAAGAGCAATCACACCACATTCCGAACAGGCAGGCGAAATCGAGACGCTCTTCAAGGACCCGTCAAAGGAGATCCGGCTCCCAGAATCCTCAAACCCGCGCACGTCATCCTCGCTCGCGCCGCCGCCCGAGATCGTCACCAATGTCCAAGGTTCGTCGGCTGGTGCAGGCTCCGGCGAGTTCCACGTCTACAAGGCGAGCCGACGCCGCGAGTACGAGCGCCTGCGCCTTATGCAGTCCGAGGTAGATAAGGAGAAGGATAATTCGAATTGGGAGAAGCAGAGGGAAGAGGCGAAGCGAAGGGATGACGAGAAGACGGAGAAGAACCGCAAGCGCCGCGAGAAGAAGCGCAATGCTAGAGGGAAGAAGGGTGGTGGTAAGGATACAACAATGGAGGTTGATAAGCCTTCTACCACGAAGGGGCCATCTATGCCTAGCCAAGTGGATCAGGATGCTAGTGCCGAAGGCCAGGTATCGTATGGAGAGGTTCCCGGCGTGATTATCCACGATGAAGATTAGAGTAGAGGATTACCTCGGCGCAATGTACTATAATATTACTCAATACGAAGATACCCATATGACATTTCATTTTGGTCTAGGATATTCATACAGAAAAGAACCCAGAGGCAGTCGTGTAGCATTATGTACGGACCTGGGGCCCTTGAATCATTCTTTTTTTGTTCTTGCGCTCGTCTATTACTCGTCACTGCTACCACCGACACCACCGGCCTGCTGCGCTGACTTGCCGGAGCAAATGTCGTCAACACGGAGGAGCAAGCATGCAGACTAAAATAAGTTAGTGGATTGCGTTCGGATAGGAATGGACGTGGATAGCTTACCTCGACGGCCGTCTTGATGCTCTGTAGCTTGACAGCTTCGGGCTCCCACACACCGTACTCCTTCATATCGACCAGGTTGCCGGACTCGCCGTCCAGACCCCAGGTGGTGTGGCCCTCGACGTGCTTGGCACGGAGACGGGTCAGGATACGGATGGGGCTGACACCGGCGTTCTGGGCCAATGTACGGGGAATGACCTCCATGGCATCGGCGACAGCCTTGTAAGGCCACTGCTGGACGCCCTCGATGGAGCGGGCCAACTGGCTAAGCTTGACGGAGACAGCCATCTCGACGGCACCACCACCCGGGGACAGGCGGGGGTGGAAGATGACATTGCGGGCAACGGCCATGGCGTCCTGCAGGTTGCGCTCAATCTCATTCAGGATATCCTTGGAGGGGCCACGTAGCAGGATGGTGCAGGCCTTGGGATTCTTGCACTGGCGCATGAATGTGAAGTACTCGTCACCGATCTTCTCAATCTCGAACAGACCGCAGCGGGTACCGATGTCGGACTCCTGGATGTCGTCGACGCGGTTAACGATGGTGGCACCGGTGGCACGGGCGATACGGTTGTTGTCGGTCTTGCGAACACGGCGGAGGGCGGTGATGTTAGCCTTCATCAGGAAGTGCTGTGCGAGATCTAGAGGTAATCAATGATTAGAGATGATCCTGCGGGTAAATGGGCTGTTTTCTGCTTACCAGAAACACCCTTCTCGGTGATGACGATGTCGGGCTTGAACGCCACGATGGCCTCGCACAAGTGCTTGACCTGCTCCTCCTCAATCTGCAGAATGCGGTTCCAGTCATCCTCCTTGGAAACCTCGATGTTGGTTTGGGACTCGCCCTTCTTGTACTCCAGGGGGCAGTCGAGCAACATGATGCGGGGGTTCTCAATTCTCCGTCGCATCTTGGGGTGAGTGATATCCTTGTTGACCATAACACCGTCGATAACCTCAGAATCCTCAATTTGACCACCGGGGATCTTCTCAATGCGAGCATAACGCTTAATGTCGACCTCCTGCTTTCCACCACCAACGTCGAAGGAGACTGTCCGCACAGCACGCAAAGCCAAGCCACACATCAGATCGGACCACCGGGAGACGAACTTTGTTCCAATAGAAGACTGAATGAGGGTGTGCATGGCCTTGTCGTCGTGGATGTCAACGGGTAGGGAGACATCCTCTACGATCTGGAGGGCATCGGCGAGGGCACGCTTGAAGGCAGAGATGATAACGACGGGGTGGATGTTGCGCTCGAGCTGAGGGAGGGCCATAGCCAGCATTTCACCGGCTTTTAATATGTTAGAATGTATTCAGGGTACACATGGGAAAGATAGGAGTATTACCCAAGATGATAACAGTTGTAGTTCCGTCACCGACTTCCTCGTCCTGAGTACGGGAGAGCTCGATCATGCTCTTCGCAGCGGGGTGCGACACCTCGATCTCTCGCAGAATGGCGTGGCCGTCGTTCGTCAACACGATGCCGCCCATTGGGTCGAGCAGCATCTTCAACATCGCCTTAGGACCGAGACATGAGCGGATGATGTCGGACACGCTGGATATTTATTAGCACGCGGGCAGTTGATTGACACCAAGGATGGAGTTCCGTACGTCTTAGCGGCAGTAATATTGGAAAGCTGTGCCCGGCGACCGACCTGTCTGTCGCCAGCATTGGTGTCTATCGGGGAGTTAGCAAGCAGCAACAATTGCGGAGGAGGGGTAGCGAACTCATCACCACCACCGGAGCCTGCATTTTGGCGGTGGAATAATGTGTAGATGGGAGAAAGGGAGGAAGCTCGTAAGTTGGATGAATACAAAAGGTCTCGTCACAGAAAAGGAGCCAACTCGGATCCACGTCGAGCGTTGCCCGCATCCCAAATTTCCAAAGTGGGAGCTCCCTGACACTAATCCCGATCGGGTTATTCAAACGCGTTAAACACGCCAAGTCTTCAACTATACAGATATCAGTTCCACGACTGCACATCATAGGTATTTGAATTATAAGAAAGATCTGGAACATTTATGTTAGTCTGAGAAAGATCATTTGTAATGGCTTTTATGGAACCCGCGAGTTGCGCTGTAATCCAGCTTCGTAGATATTTTTCTGCCCTACTTCGTCCACGAACAGCCTATCCACATTCCGTTGAGCATCGGCAAACGAGGGGCAATTTGAATAAATGGAACAAGAACCCGCCGATTTCACAGCCGGCTGGTAAGGTGACTTCCTAAGGGCCAGGCATACATTGACTAAAGCAGCCGTGGAGCAGAGACCTTGGTGTACGTACCACTTATAACAAGCACTCTACAAGTAGACGACGGAGCCAAAAAATAAATAAATTTTGCAAGAGTCTACAGACAGGCGGTGGACCAGAATTTTACTAACACAAAACCAAAAATTCTGATATGGTGGGATTTCTATGAAGTCAACAATGCTTTCAAATATTGTACAGTATCAACAACAGCTCCGCAACCTTGCCTGATGCACCTGAGCCTTCACACGCTTCATTAAATGGACAAAACCACACCTATACACAATTGAGTAGAGATTTAGACAGGGTAACCATCCAGAGATCAATACTCTCGGCTTTCACCAATGTTTAAAACATCAAATACACCCTTCTCGGGCATGTCGAATGCCTTGAGGGCCGTCTTCAACTTCTCAGGCGGCTCGAGGACATCCTCCTCAGTGAGAACCCAAGTTCCCCAATGCATACCGAGAGCCTTCTTGCACTTGGTGTCCATGAAGATCTCCACCGCATCATGGGGATCTGCGTGAGCGGCACTCCACACATGACGGGGAGCGTATGCACCAATGGGAATCAGGCCAAGATCGAATGGACCCCGGAACTCACCCACCTGCTTGAAAGCAGGGCAGATGGGGAAGTTGTGCTTCGGGTCGTGGTCGTCTTCTCCTTCGGGAAGCTCAGGGACCTTTCTGTATCCGGTGTCTCTGTCCCGCGGGTTAGTGTCAGGTACCACCAGTATCCATTGAAAAAAGCAGCTTACCCAGTAAAGTATACCTTCTTGCCCCCAGACTCAAGTGACCATGAACCCCACAGTGTTTGGTATCGGTCAAATGGAGTACGAGCACTTACATGCTGCGCGGGCAAGAAGCCGATTCGGCCCTTGATCTCGGCCGCAATGGAGTTAGATTCACCTACGGCCTCGACATGAGTAGCCTTCTCCATAGATGGGGAGAGAGTGATATCGCGCTCATCCCACCAATCCAGCTCGGTGACGTTCTCAATACCACAGCGGGCGAACCAAGACTTAACACCAAGTGGGGTAAAGAAATGGCAATTGGGATGTTTCTTGGCAATTTCCATGACACCAGGATAGGACAAATGGTCATAGTGATTATGGGAAATGAAAACAGCGTCAATCACGGGGATGTCCATGATTTGGCACGGAGCGTCCGTGTAGCGCTTCGGTCCGAGCATGTTGTATGGCCCGCATCGCTCTTCGAGGACTGGATCAAAGATAGCACGAAGACCCCCGGGAAACTCGACATAGTAACAAGCGTGTCCAAGCCATGTTGCGCGCAGGTTGGGGGTATCTCGACTCGGGAGGAATTCGGGCTTTTGAACCGGAACCGTTGGGCCAGTGGTGTCAGGAACATTTGCTCTACCAGTCACTCGGCGCCTGGAAAGAAGGATATAAATTTAGCGAAAGATCCCTAGAGTGTAGAAATAATAATATATACTCACATTAGCATCTCCTGGACGTTTTTGAGGTTCACATCCTGCCATGAGCTGTCGGAGAAAAAAATCTGGGGTTAGTGCCGCGCGACCCGGGAAAGCGAAGTGTAGGGCAAACTGACTCCCAAGGATTCCTGAACCCGGACTGGGCATGATGGCTCTTCTGTAGAGCATCTTCCGGGGCCGGTCTGGCTGGAGAGCTAGCCACCGTCAGGGCGTAGAGCACGCCGGTGGTGGTCGAACCCATGTTTCGAACAGAGTACGCGCGCCAGTCAAGTGTCTGCCGACACAACCGGGGACGCTGTAGAAAGCCGCGCATGGGAGGGAATAAGATTAAATACACCCTCGGATCGAAAAGACCACGCGAACCATGCGCAGGCTCCTGTGATTGGGGAGAGAAGGAAGGAAAGTCAGGAAGAGGCGTCTTAATAAAACCGGTATCTCCGCATCGGCGAGTCAACGACTTTAATCACCCGGCGGACCCATGTGAGCCCCGAGCCCGACTTCATTGCTTTAGTTCACACTTGGAATTGGATAAATCGAATAGATTGAATAGTTACATGATCTAGCCCGTTTACAATGCACGATGCAGGCAATTGTACATTTGTACGATCGTACCTGTCGGCCCGTTGAAACTCCGATAATCTGGAGTTCTTATCGTAATTCCGCTTGGATCGATCTTTTGACCTTCAAGTGCCATCCACAACCCTTCATTGACTTCGGCCGGCATGGAGCCAAACGATGCTTCCAATGCTGCGCCGTCTGCGGGGGACCTGATTCTGCAGAAGACTCAGGCAGTCCAGCAAGCGCAGCAGGCGGCTCAACAAGGCGATGGCAGTCTCCTCTCACAGTTGACCAGCAATCCTCTCTTCACAGCAGTACGCGACCCACTCCCGCTCGTTACAGATTGGCAATTGAATGCGGAATACTTACACCCTCTGTTAGGGATTTGGTCTGGCAGGTTTAGGCGCTGGTTTGACATTCGCACAACGGGGAATCCGTCATGGCGCGGCTCTGCTCCGTCGCCGCATGCTGGTGGACGTCGAGATCAGCATCAAGGACGATTCTTACCCATGGTTCCTCCACTGGATGACTCTTTATCAACAATCACAGCTTACCGCAGCCCGCGGGGTGGCTAAAAACTCCGGCTTCGTCGACCGCATCCTCCAAAAAATGACACCCGGCATGCGCCACCTCTCCATCCAAACGCAAAAGGTCGAACACTCGAACGGAGCCATCCACACACATTTCTCTCTCGTACCGGGTCCCGGAAAGCATGTTTTGCGCTACAAAAACGCGTTCGTTTTCGTCAACCGCATGCGCGAATCCAAGTCTCGCGATATCCAGACCGGCAAGCCTTGGGAGACCATTACTTTGACCACCCTCTACTCCCAACGTCACATCTTCGAAGACCTCTTTACCGAAGCCCACGCCTATGCAGCGAAATCTCATGAAGGAAAAACAACAATCTATAATAGCTGGGGCACTGAGTGGCGGCCATTTGGACACCCGCGACGGAAACGCCCAATAGAGTCCGTCGTTCTAGATGAGGGTGTCAAGGAACGTATCGTGGAGGATGTCCAGGACTTTATTGAAAGTGCCTCATGGTATCATGATCGCGGTATTCCATATCGACGTGGATATTTGCTGTATGGACCGCCCGGTACCGGAAAAAGTTCCTTTATCCAAGCACTGGCGGGCGAATTGGACTACGACATTGCGATTTTGAACCTGAGTGAGCGTGGTCTCACCGATGATCGGTTGAACCATCTCCTGACGATCGTTCCCAACCGGACCCTGGTTCTGCTCGAGGATGTGGACGCAGCGTTTTCAAACCGAACACAGACCGATGCAGACGGGTATCGCGGGGCCAATGTGACTTTCTCCGGTCTTTTGAATGCAATGGATGGGGTTGCTAGTGCCGAGGAGCGTATCATTTTCCTCACCACCAATCACGTTGAGCGACTCGACTCGGCCTTGGTACGACCCGGGCGCGTGGACATGACCGTGCGCCTTGGCGAAGTAACGCGCTACCAGGTTGCCCGTCTCTGGGATCGATTCTATGAAGAGATTGATACCGATGGAGCAAACCGCAAGATCTTCTTGGACAAGCTTCATCATCTCGGCTTGATCGAAGATGAGAGTGGCAAAAAACCCGACAGTACTAGAAGTACCAGTGCCGCGGCTCTGCAAGGCCTGTTCTTGTACAACAAGGGCAATATGGAGGGGGCTATCGCTATGGCCGAGGGCTTGACCTACTCTGTTCACGATGAAGCCAAGGACCATAGCCAGGCCTGAAGGAATGAATTGTACTATACGATGTAAATATTAGCCTCTGAATGTATAGATATCCACTTTTGTATGCAAGATAATCGGTTTCTTGTCCGAGCGAGCGGCTATCTCTATGATGCAATTCTTCAACTAGAGGGATCTCGCGTGGGGGTGACAGTGTTGCAGCATTAGTCCCATTGTGACATCTTCACAAGCCTCCGCTGGATAATCAGACGACCAATAGCGCTAGGGACCTTCTTGGCACTTTCGACTCTTTGACTATGTGATGAAAGAGCGGTGATGAGGGGGCACGGATGGAAAGGCGCGGAGGGCCGATGATCGCTATATGCGCCGAATCTTCAGTCCGGTCGAACTTACTCGTGCGACCTCTGCACGGAGCGACCACCAATCCAAGCTCCAGATCGCGGAAAGAAGACAGCCTACAGACTTTCAACTCCAATAAGATGGTGAAATGGAAGCGCCGTTTCTGCAGCCGCCATCCCCGTCCCACGATCGGGGCCAATCACACCGGTCAAATCCTAGCGCCGGCCCTAAAAATAGGGTTGTCACATCTACAGAATAGGGCTACAGGGTCAGGGCGCGTCTGGTCTAAGAACCAGCAGTTTTCTCTCGATGCCATCGAGTATATGTCAATCGAAACACTCCCCCTGTTCGCGCTCTTCCGCGTCGACTTCGTCTCTACAATCTTGAAGGTGTACTGCATCCACTCCTACAATGAGCCAATTCCAATTATTCCCTCCACCTTCGCCGGTGAGAGGGAACAAAAACCCATTTCGAAAGAGCGCCAAAAAACTTACAGTTCAAGTCGAGCCTGGGTCTCCAATCCCTCTTGATGAGATCAAAGATTCTACCAAAACCGAGGCTGTACTACTCCAGATTATTGAAGATACTCAGTCTTTTCCACCTCCGCCATCAAGATCACCTCTTGCGCGAAACAAGTCTTCAGCAGTAACAGAAGCGTCGCCTGCCCACATATCTCCTCGGTCTCCGCGCAATTGGAGCCGCCCTCCCAAGTCAAATCGGGCATTGCCTTCACAAAGCCCAAGCAATACTAGCAGTAGCGGCAGAACTGTTTCTTCGGCGGTATCGCCACAATCTTCACAGTCATCGGCGTCGCCGGTCCCAATTAGATCAATTTTTCCTCAGTTCAATCCCAAACTTCCACTCAATAAGCAGCACTTCAATCCCCCGATGCATGCCGAAACACCGGCTGCAAAGCCTCGCAGACCGCAACTTACTCTGTCGACGCCATCGTCAGATATCGATCAGGCCTTGGGGCCTAAAACAGTCCCTGCAAGCATTTTGAACTTCCCCGCTGGGGTGTTAGAGCCGGAGGAGATACGCTACTCTTCGCCGCAGGAGTTGGAGTTATTATGGGAGGCTGCCAATGGCCAACGAGCACAGAATCTGTTTGGTACTTTCAACATGCGCATGACAAGGTAGGATAATCTTTCTAGATTCATGACTTAGGCTAATCTCTCCAAGGACCGGCCCAGCGACGTTTACCTTTGGCAGCTCTCAACACCCATTTTATACGCTGGAGACGTATTCAAACGATGATCTTTCCATTTCCCGCGGTGTTCCATCCAAGCCTAATAGTGATGTGCCCATAATGACACTAAGTCTCGAGGAGCGCCGTCGTCGAGAGCACCCCAATGATGGACTCGTCGCACTTCTCTTCTCCAGGCTGGCCGCCATGCTCGCCATCGAACAGGCTGACGAAGTCAGCAAAGAGCACAATCTTGCAGGATCCGAGGCAGCAGAAGTCGAAAGCAATGCCCTGAAACGGGCTGCAGCTCAAGAATCCTGCCGCTTATCGTGGAATCGCAACCTGCGGCTCTACGAGCTTCGGCATCCTTCGTTATCAAAACGCGAGCCCCCGGCCCTAGTGGGAGCTGCTGGTATCCCACTCTCCCCTGTTAGGACTCAATCGCCAGGAATCTTGCACATTACTGTCTCCGAGCCGTCTAGCGATGCATCGCCTCATCAGCCACCAACGATCATTGTCACTGGGCCTGTCTCCTTCACGGCCATGGCAGCAGCGCAGCAAGCCGCTACCGCACGCACATCGACAATGCCTGTATCCGATGCCGATGAGCCGTTGGCGGCTCTAGACTTCGCGACACGGACTCTATCAATCTCTCCGGCCGCCGTAATTGCAACCATTCCCTCGCTTTACGCGATTGACTCCCTCGTCGCGGCCATGCTTGCCGTCGCGGTATCAGACGAAGCCACCAACCCCATCCTCGCAGACATGTCACTCGGGTCACCTCTGCTGGAGCCTGCAGTCATCTCCCATTCTAGCAACTCAATAAGTTATAATGGGCCACTGATCATGACCCTAGCCGAGCGCGAAGATTATGCTCAAAGCATGCACCTGGCGGATCAAATAGAATCCGCAAAGGCTCAGGCAGATTTCGCACCCAAGAGGAAAAGCATCTTGAAGTTCTGGGAACGAGCGCCCTCTACATCACAAACGCATTCAAAGTCAAAGTCGAAGAAGAAGGAAGAGATTGTGGTCGAGGAGTTTGATTTAGAGAAATACGGTCGATACGGACACTCCTCGTCGCGGAAGGGAGAGAAATTGCCTGGGATTACTCGAAGTTTGTTGAAGGTCCTGTTCTTTGGCTTGGATCTGTTTGTTAAGACGTTGACTCTTCTGGTGAAGATACTCGCTTGGTTATTGGTTAATTCAACGCGTTGTGTGACGAGTGAGAAGTTCTGAGCTGGACTTGGATCGGAGTCTTGGTGTGAATTTGTTGCATGCTGGGCTTGACATTAATGTTTAGAGCGATAGGCATCTGTGTGTGTCCTTTTTTTTCTTTTTCTTTTTCTTTTTTAGCTAGTTATACCCAATGAATAATTATCTCGGCTTCGTTTGAACAGACATCCCTTAAAACAGTGTTATAATCACACGAAATTCCCCGCCCGGGAAAGGGCAGAAAGTCATCATCAGCCCTTCCTAGTCTTCTGAGCAACCGAAAATCCGGACCAAAGGGACCGCGGCTCAATATCAGCCCTGGCTAAACGAGGGCTGTGTCGGTCTTGAGAGGCTCAAGTGGGCCAGGGTTTCGGGCAACAGTCCGCCACCGAAACTCGATGCGACGCCCTGTTTTCAAGCCGGAGATAACTTAAGCCAAATCGGATAATTTAATCCACAATTGTCGAGTCATTCAAAGATCGACCAAAGAGGTCTTCTCATTTCCCTTGAGCTGGGGGCGTGACCGATCCTGTTCACTGCAGCTAAATCCCGTGTTCGCCAAAATAATCCTAGAGTAAACAAGCCAGCCTTGGTACCCCACCCCTCGTCCCCTTTTCGCGCCAGTCGGGCGACCTCGGATTTATCGAAGTGGATATTCTATAGTTCTATTCCGTTTAAAGGCTACCAAGCTACCAAGGCTGACAACGATTCGCGCATCAACAAACACCAGACCTGCCAAGCTGGAACGATGAATACCTAGGTAATCAGGGAGTATTCGGTGACTAGTCACTAGTTAATGTATTTAGGGCCCTCAGGGTCCAGGGTCACGCCCAAGGCGCAAATCATTTCAAAGTTACTTGCAATCAGAATGGTGCATTCGAGATCAACATGGCTCTACAGCCTCTCATTTGTCTCTTTAACATGGGCCTCTACGTTTCAGACCACTTTACGAACTGCGTCTGCCCGTGATTCGTTGCAGGCGGACATCCCCGAACCAACGTCGGGCCCAGGAACAGAAAGTCTAGGATTAGAACCCCGAGCCGACTCTGCAACCGGATCAGAAGCCTACAAAACTAATTTATCTGGTGGGGCTGTCTTGACTTCGTCGGCATCAGCGCACGTATGCGGATACATCGATGGCGCTGTCAACTCCGGTGAGTATTCGCCATATTGCTTTCTGGCCACATGGAGGCTCACGGCTCGACAGGGTCAGTCGAATGCATGACCGGTGGACAATGTGTGATTCATACAAGCGGATCCAGGTACCCCAATATGATGGGATGCTGCTACGATTCCGATCCTAACAACTGCCGATTCGAAACTGCCTGTTATGACTCGAGCAAGCTCAAGGCCACCCCGTCTCTGACCTCCTCATTGAATGTCAACTTTGACGTTCTCTGTGTTCGAGAATTAAGCTCAGCCTGTGTTACCTGGACCTACCCGGAACTCGATATGACTGATTACGGATGTGGGCCAACTGCTACCCTTCAGACGATTTATTTGACGGCCTCCAGATCGCAATCTCAATATAGAACCATAAGTGGCTATTACTATTACACCACAATCATGACCGCGGAGCCTATTGCCGTTAACGATGCGTTCATCCGCAATTATGATAATGTTAATAGGTCCGCATTTTTGGTTACAGAGACAGGGGCCCCGAGGGCTTCGACTTCTGGGCTTTCGGGTACCAGCTTAGCGACGAGTACTTCCAGCCACTCAAGCGGGAGTGGAAGCGGAGGGCATTCCAAGTCTTCAAACACAGGTGCCATCGTTGGCGGTGTGGTGGGTGGTGTCGTGGGCCTAGTTGCAATTATCTGTGCAATTTGGGCGTGCATATGGTATGCCAGAAAGAAGAAGCAAAACCCCGAAGGCACATATCCGTCAGCTCCAGTCCAGCCATATATGCAATCGATGCCACCCGCCGCAGCTGAAGCTGAGGGAACTTTGGGCAAGCCCGCCCAAAGATACTCTGCTGTTGCCCCTCCCCCATATACTGCTGAACTTCCGGCGGGCGACTCATACTTCAACCCACATGATACAGGTTCGCCTTTCGTTGCCGAGCTGACGGCTGGGGCTGCTGAGCCACCGCAATATCAAAGAACGGAATTGGATGGGTATACGGATCAGACTCGTCCTATTGGACGGCAGTACTATGGACGCTGATGATTTGGATCATTTTTACCTACATTATACCCATGTTTTAACCGTGTATTTGTTTATCTTTTGTCTACGCTTTAGTAACGCGAGATCGGGGTATCCTGTTGCCATATCGTCGTGATATGTTTTAATCTTAGCTATGAGATGATCTAAGTGAGTCCTATTGTGCTATATTAGGTTGTCTATCTATTAAAAAACAGACCACTGCAAAGAAGGAGAAACTACGATACACATGAAGACATTTCAACTAGAAAAAATCCCAGATCATTGGGCATTAACTTTGGATATGTAGAAATAAGTTCCGTGTCATCGATAATATATCAAGGATCATGAAGAGATAGGTAAATGAAGAGGTCCGCCGGGGATACTCCTAAAAGAGAGCGGCAACAGCTAGGGCAGCAGCAGCACCGAGCGGAGCAGCAGTGATCATAGGCCGATGAGGGCCAACAGCAGCATCGGCCGTCTCCGTAGCCTGCGGGGAGTTCAACTTGGAAAGACCGGCAGTAACAGTGACCGGCATCCAGGTGATGTCACTTGCAGGGACGGTCTTGGTGGTCACGGTCGAGGTAGACTCGCCTTTGTATGTCAAGTTCTCACTGTTCGTGCACACCGCAGATTCAGTCTTGTGGGTGAACGAGCACTGGACGTCCTGGGTGACGGTTACGGTCGTATAACCGAGGACAACAGGTAGAGGCTTAGAGTAGCTCAAAGTGGCAGGGCCGGCAATAATGGTGAGTGGTGAGTCAAGTTGGCAGTCGGACGTGGGCGCGTTGCTCATGCAGGCAACTTCCAACGTGGTCTGGTCCGCATTGACGCCGGCGATACTGGCACCAAGGCTTGTTAACCAAGAGGCGGTGACACTATAGGGGGAGTCATTGTCGAAAGCTTCGAAAATACTGATCACAGTGGTACTCTGGGCCGAGGCCAAGGCCGCAAGGGCGGGCATAAGGAGAGCCGAGAACTGCATGGTATATAGGTTGAGAGAGGAGGTTGGGGTGGTGGCAGCAGAAGAAATTTTTCAATTGCGGACTATGGCCCTTTTTTAAAACGAATTCGGCTTTGGACCCAAAACACTGTTTTCTAAGCCTCAATATTGCGCTAAACCTCGAGGGTAGCCTCGCATATCTTGGACACGGGCAGAACAGTGCCCGATGAGCTGAAATTTGCCCAGGCCCAGGACAGCGCGTGATCCCCGTTGATTGATTAAGCCGGCACAAAGATGCAGATGAAGTGGCACCATAGCCCCGAATGGTTTCATAGTTGCATCCGTGATTCGCCGTCTCATGCTTGGCCTCATGCTTGGCGTGATGAATATGCCTCGTGGGGGCCAAAAAAGTCGGTCACTTAGCGCAGTGGAGGCTCCTAGCGCCTGGGCCAGAGATGTTCCTTGCCGGGGTGTTCGTCGGCCCATGGCACCATGGCAAAATAGGACTGAGCGTGTTCCACACTTCCATAATCTAGCCAGATAATCAAGCTGTACGAAGAAAAAAACACATGTTTTATCCCATTTCTTACTATGGTACTGAAGACGTGCCATGGACTTTCTCTCCCCAGAATACCTGGAATTACCTCTTATCCAAGGCTGGACGCTGCATATACCGGAATGAATAACGCCCCCAGCCTCTGTCTCCATCAGAAAACTTCTCAAGATCATACTCGCTCCTACCCAGTTCTGAAAATCCAGCCCTGGTATAGAGATGATGACCGGCAGGCGATGCGTGAGCCCAGCATGGAAGGCCCTCCGCATCGGCCATATCGGTGCCCCATTTAATAAGCTTGGACCCTATGCCTTGGCACTGGAAGCTGGGGTTTGTTGCTAATGCTTGGATAGTAAGGTATCTTTTGCCTTTCATCGAGTCTTTTTCCCATTTCATGGAATCACTGTGCATCAAGCGACCGAGGAGTTGAGCTGGAGTTCTCGGTTTTTCTTTTTTCTGTTGCACTGACAGGTCGACCGAGGAAGTCTCGCTATCATTGGGAGCTTTGAGACTTTGTGGCTGTGGTAACGTCTCGCTTGTATCATCTTTGCCCTTGGCTAACCAGCACGTCCACCCGACCACAGTTCCATCACTAGCAACAGCTTTCACCAGCTTTGAGGTCGGATCAGCAAGCCAGATCTTGATCGACTTCTGCATAAGGACCTGATGCGCGTTCTCCTCCCGGCCATCGAGCATGAAATTCGAGAATTGGTCCGCTTTGAATGCGGCGGTGTGCACCCGAACGAGATCAGGGATGTCGTGAACTGTCGACTGGATAAGTGAAATTTCCATTTCCTTCTTTCTTCTTTATCTCGCGTATGAATAGAGGATGATACGTGAAACTTCAGTTTCTAGTTCTCATGAGAGTTTCGAAGTATTTCACTTCCATTCGTTCTGGTAGTGACGAGGAGAAAAGAGGGGAAGGGAAGAGAGAAGGAGATAAAGGGGCTGGACTGACTAGGGTCGACGTAGTAGCTGAGCGGTAGCAAAGCTACTAAGTAACCCGTCCAACCATTCGCAAATAAGTGGCGGTCAGCTAAATATGGGATCATTGCATTAGTCAATAATTAGATAGAGAAGCACTGAAATAAGTAAATGAATGTAGTTCTTAGGTGCTCCCATCAAACAGTCCCGGCCGGGTTCGTGAAAGCGGGTCAATTGGTACGGATTCCTCATTAGAGATCATACAACAGGTTGATAAAATTCATAGGATATGGGATCCCATCGAGGACTAACTGGTCTTTACATGGAAAGTCAATCCCGGAATCTATAGAAATGAGTTTACAGTGCTAAAGGTCATCATCCTCATAGAGAATTTGGCCTGATTCAAGCATCTCCTTTTTCTTCCCCGCTGCCCAAGCCTTGTAATCTGGCTCCTGCTTTCCCCAGTCCGTTACTTCTCCATAGTCCAGTACCACGTGATAATCAGCCCATCCTAGCGGGTCGCCCGTAATGACCTTGCTAGTGTTGAATCCTGTTTTGAATGGGCGATCTGCTGCCCACTGTTGGATAGCATCGAAGTCGCGGCAGGTGTGCGTGACACTCGAAATGCCCTTGGCTTTTCCATCGCGTGGATCGCGCGCCCATACAAATGGAGAGATGTCCGAGTGACACATGATTGCTTGCCGAATCATATCAACGCAGTGGTCGAGGTGGCGCATACTAGTTTCGTCTTCGTCACCACGCATAAGAGAGGCATTCCAGAGGGACATACGAATGGCGTTCTAGTGAGGAGTATCTGCATTTAGTACGGTCGTCAAATTCAGGTACAAAGACAACCGCGACTCACTAAACAATGTAGTTGATGAAAAACCGCTAGCGACGTGATATAGTTCTCGGGATCATCGGGAATAGGAAGTGTTTTGTTATGCATCGGCGCGGCTTCGGCTGCACTGATTCGAGTCAACCCGTGGATAAACAGAGCCGTCCATGCATCATTGCTCTTCTGGGAAGGAGGTCCTTGGTAAATAGTTTTGCCATAGTTGAGGCCACTGTCAAATAACCTAGAGGTGTATCTGACTGCATCTTTGGCGGGCGCTGTCGAAACTTTAGCGAGAGTTCTGAACTACCTGGGAATTCAAGACGAACAGTAAGTTATTTGTGGATTTAAGCTACTCATCAATTTCAAGTGGATGTACAGCATCACCGTGCTGAAAGCCAGGAATACCGTAAGAGTGATATGAGAGAACCTGACGATATCCGATGAATATGCTCGACAGGTTGCATTTGATCTGATACCGTTTTTGAGTCTCCCCCTCTGACCGAGAGAATTTGTTGGCGTCGGTATCTTCTTTGCAGTCAAGAAGCCGATTCTCACAGTCGGAAGACCCACAGTCGGAAGACTCTTCCGACTTTCGCTGGTCAGATATGATACTATACACAAATTTATTAAAAGAGAACATCTTGTAATTTCGCCCAGAAGATGGAGGAAATCATAAAAAAGATAGAGTTGGGAAGGTTTGCGGAGAGACGGAGACGTAGAAAAAAGTAGATAATGCCAGAAACCTTGGGGCAAGCCTACAGATACCTCTAAGAGGTAGATTAAGACGATAGCATAATCATTTATGACTGTGCAGCCTCTTCTACATGAACCCTTTCGATCACAAGGCTTCCCGGCTCTGACCGAGCAGCGAAATCATGGCGATCGTTTCAGGCAATCTCCAGAAAATGTTACCTCGCATTGGATCGCCTGTGCCTGGATTGGTGGTAAGGCAATCAAGCGTCAAGTAAGGGGCAGGAGATGCAGCGCTCACTGCTTCGCCAGCAGCGGTTGATGGAAAACCAGAGCCACACTAACGCTAAGTAATTCGCATTGCATAGAATACCTGCGGCTATGAACAAGATCGACGGCGCATATTTTATGCCGGCAGAGAAACGAGACGCCATTTGGCCAGGCGATAGAACCCCACACTATGTGGGTGAAGGACGGGCCGCTGTTTGATCAAAACCACGCTAATGCAGTGTAAGTTCTGTCGGTATCAGCCTACGTTGCAGCGCTCTTCCTATCACAATGACCACTTTCCACATTTGGATACCAATATACGGGATTCATTTCTTGGCTATTATTGCGCCATTAAGCTGAACCCATTTTCTGGAGAACGCAGAGCTAAAGCGGAATTCAACAGCTTAAAACCCCTCAGTTGTTTTACGCGTGATGCCAAAGTTCTTAGTCTGAAGAATTACAGGTCTCAAAATTGAATGCTTTTAGTGGCTACTAGGAGAAAAGACTCGGTGGCACAGCGAACAACAAGAAGGCTTACATCTTAACGCCATGCTAGTCCGAAGTAGAAATGTAGATCATCTTCCTAATAAGTCATACCCCGCATACTACTTATGTACTTCCTAGTACTTCCTCTTTCTGTTCTTGTGTTCATTTTTCCAGCCAGATGCCCCTCCCCTCCTTTCGCATCTAAACGACTTCTCCTACTTGACATACTCGTTGCAATTACAATATCATCATGGCACCAAGGGGACAGCGTACACACTCTCGCCAATGCTTCATTGCCCTCACTATTGGCATTCTGACAATCACATTCATTACTCTTGCCATCTTCCGCGATCAGCTCCTGTCTGCCATCCGATCTCTCAGCTTGATTCATCCCACCATTCATTGCCCATCAACCATGCCATCAAAGCTTATGCACTATAATCACAATCTACTCAATGAAAATCAACCCTTTGCACCAACTGTGTATGCTGATATTACAATCCTCGACGAGCTTCCCCAAGCAAACGTTCTTTGGGTGAACAAGAGCTCCTCCTCGCAGCCTGAAGCATGGGGCATCTCCATGTTCCATGCTCTACACTGCGTGAAGATGTGGAAAGACTCACTGAGTCCAGCTACAATGATGAGTTCACACGTTCATAGTGAAAGTGAATATTCTGAGCATGCGGGGCACTGTATTAGCTATCTTACTCAGGTATACACAACACCCGCTCCTCATAAACCATTACTTGCTGATATTATTGACATTCAGTCAATTGTGTGCGCCGCAGATAGTACAATTGAGCCAGCGGAAGATATAAGAATGGAAAATAAGCACGGACGGAGGATTCATGGAATGGGTTATACGCATCAGTGCAGAGATACAAGTTTTTTGTTTGAGATGAACGGGAAAGAAGTGGGTCTTTGGGATTGGAAGCAGGGCGATACTTTGCACAGTGTCTTTGAATAGAAAGTGTCACTTGGTTCATATTATGGTGTTAGAATAGCTAAATACAACTTTGATCACGACACACTTCGCACTTACTTGATCAGACTAATATAACACTTTAAACCACGTTTTAGTACAAAAATTATAGATAACGACTGGCTATCAAAGGAAATTAGATCTAGCAGAGTCTACACGTGGTAATAGTATGTGTCCTTGATCATTGATTCGGATTAACACTGCCCGCCGCAGTTGATTGCTACATTTAATGAGAGTCAAAGCCCCAGGCATTCCACAGAATCACCGGATCTACAAGCTCCCTGCTCATCTCGATGGCTTTCACCATCCCACGAGTCGGTATAGGTTCTTTCTAGTGCCCAGTTGCGGACCTTGTCATATATTGAGTCAGTTTTCAATCCAATTTCACCCAGGAAAGAGCTTCATACCGCATCAAAATTTCGGCAAGTGTGTACCACATTTGCATATGCGTGCACCGCCTGTGCCTCCTCGCTCCATTGAAACACGTAGGGCGTGACATCCGAAAAGCATTGGAGTGACTGGCGGATGATATTAATGCAATGGTCAAGATGGATGATTCCATTTAGGCCCTTTGCATCGTAGGTCTCCGGCCTCTTGACTGTGAACGGGTTGTATGTACTGTTCCAATCGCTGTCATAGAAATACCAAAGAGATTTCCGGAGCCGATCCTACTCTCACACGGTTAATTGAATGGCTTTTAGGGCAAATTAAAAGGCAGTAAAGCATACCAGGCAATGCAGATCGTGGAAGACAGATATAACAACGAGATAATCATCGGCGCCTGTATTGACAGCTATGGTTTTATTAGGCAATTGGGCTGCCTCCTTTTTGCTGATGCGTGAGTTACCCACTCGGTACAGCTCTTTCCAGTGCTTGTCAATTACGGGAGTAGGATAGCCCGTGTAAATGCTGATTCCATCAAATGAGCTTTCAAATGTCTTGATCTCGTAACTTATAGCGTTTTGTGCGGGAGCTAAATGTAATTCCGATTAGCAAGTCGTGATATGGAGCTTCTCCATTCGCAACTCCGGGATACGAACAGTAAAGTGTCTGAGGGAAGCTTGGAGTGTGGGCTGTCCTCGGTGGATGGCGACGGGAATACATAAGTGCTAGGAGCAATATATTTATGAGCATTGATATTGCAAGTACAGTTCCACAGGAGAGCCCTGCAAGTCTCCTCCGCCAACTCCGAGGGTCGGCGTTGTTGCCTTCTGCAGTGCCCATATCCTCCTCTTTGGGGAGACGAGTATATTGTAGCCTGGAGATAAACATCACGCTCAAAAAGCATCAAAGATGGGAACTGTAGTCTTCAATGCCAACCTCGAAAATTAAAGAGAAAGAGAAATGAAAGCGTAATCTCGTTCGTACGTCTATTGGTAGCAGCTGGTCGCTGCCCTTTGCTCTTTGCCCGATGCATGTCTCCATACTAGGCTAGGCATTATGTGGATCTACCATAAATAGCCTAGTGGAATTCATGATTTATTGTCTTATCTGCATTCATTATGGGCGCCTGAGCGGATCATGTGTCAAGATACAAGAACCTTTCCTCGCCGAGCATGGACCGTGAGAATTCCAAATTCCCTGTATAATCGGTATTTTTCTCTTCACTACCACATATAGAAGCCCTACTAATTAAATCACAAAGTGCGTCAAGGTCCAAATCAACTAAAATTGCAACTTCTTGAGGGTAGTACGATGGTATGCAAGGAAAGGGCGTGGAAAAAGATAGCAGATGACACGTAAAGATCTACATGGATCTACGTAATATGTGTGATAGTGAAGCAGAGGCCATCCCAGCTGTAACCACCGGAGGCAGTCTTAGCTTAGCCTTGATATCTATATCCGCGTTAGCATGTGGAACGCGGTGACTGTCTCCCACCGCCTCGACACCGCCTTCACAGGTGCATGCAGTCTGCTCAGGAGGCTACCTCTCTGCGCTTGGCGGTGTGTTACGCCATGCAGACAAGTGTACCTCATGTCGGGGCATCTGGACAAGAATCCATAGAAAAGGGTCCACGGGTAAGCGGATGCAGACCGGATCACGTCCTAATGTCAAGATGACGGTGAATCCGTGGATCATGCACCGTGAAATGCAAGAAGCCCTAGGTGTCCCATGGTCGTTCGACGAGAATGGCATTTGCTCGTATTGAAGACGTCGGTGTCGATCACGAAGTTGTCTTGGGTAGGACGACAATGTGCCATCACCAATTTAGCAAAAGCAAATAGTTCACACATTGTCATTCCAAGACCTACACGCAAGAATATCTTTTTACATAAGATCAGTGTCAAATCTCTTGGAAGGGAGACACATACTTTCTTACCAAGTTTCTGAGAATATCCACATCTACATTGATATCCTGAACTGTAAAGATTTCTCCTTCCCTGTTCTTCTTAATCATTTGAAACACAGCTAACCTGAGCTGAAGAGAAAGATCAGCCAGTCATAATCAGATATGAAGACTTTCGCGAGCCTGGCCCTGGTCGCCTGCCTTGTCGTGGGTATCAATGCTCTCCCAAAGCCTCATGGTGACGCAATCTCCAAGTCTGCCCGGTCTGATGACACGGCCGACGCCGCCCTCTATGGCCCAGTCGACTGGGACAAGAAGAAGCGAGGTGATGACGCGACCGATGCTGCCCTCTATGGCCCAGTCGATTGGGACAAGAAGAAGCGAGGTGATGACGCGACCGATGCTGCCCTCTATGGCCCAGTCGATTGGGACAAGAAGAAGCGAGGTGACGATGCGACCGATGCTGCCCTCTATGGTCCGGTTGACTGGGACAAGAAGAAGCGAGGTGATGATGCGACCGATGCCGCCCTCTATGGTCCGGTTGACTGGGACAAGAAGAAGCGAGGTGATGATGCGACCGATGCTGCCCTCTATGGTCCGGTTGACTGGGACAAGAAGAAGCGAGGTGATGATGCGACCGATGCCGCCCTCTATGGTCCGGTTGACTGGGACAAGAAGAAGCGAGGTGATGATGCGACCGATGCCGCTCTTTACGGCCCAGTCGATTGGGATTAAATGTGCACTGGGAGATGGGAACCTGTCCTGCTATAGACTAATGAGTGACCAATTTTAATTCTAACCTCACTCGTCATCAGTGACAGGGGACAGTATAGGCACCTGGGAGTATTTGAAGCTGGAGAGCATGTGACAATTGGCCAGGGTAGATAGATATCTCTGTCTTTTCCTTCTTTCCTTCTCCAGCTTTTGTTCTCTTGAAGAATGCACTCAATTAGTTTGACTTGGCATATCACATAGCTCACTCTACGTACCATACATACTTCCTCGGGTGGGGCTCCCCCTCTTCGGCGCCGCCACCTTTACAAGGGTGCTCAGAGTCGGGCTCACAGTAATGTTCAGCTTTCTCATTTCCCCATGATTCTAACTAAGGCTACCTCAACAAATGTTCTAGGTAATATCGCAAGAGCTGATTGCGAAGTACTAAAAGCAGCCTTCAGTTCGCCTGGGGATAGCTAGGTTACAAACTGCTTACAAAAAGCTTAAGGAGAGACTTGGCATGCACCGTAAAAGATTTGCCCCAAAATGAGGCTATTGAATGACAAGTAAATTAGCGTACATATTTAGCAGATTTTGCAATGCATATATTTTCGTCAAACGTAACAGATTTCGTCCTCCATGAGCATCGGTCGTGCGTTAGATATAGCTCTTCATCTGCTGTATCCGCTTTGGCGAGCTGGTCTAGCCTGCCCCTGTGCCTGAGTAGCATTGCTTGCTGCAGAGTTTCTCCAATACGCCAGAGCATCTGCAGAGGCTCGTCTGACAATGAGCTGCAATAATTGTTAGTGAAAATTCTCACAAATTGCGATGAAATTCAATTCCATAAGACTTACCCATTTAAGCTCTCCTTCAAGAGTGTTTATATTCTTGGTCTTTCCTTTAGCCATTTCCTTGTCCGCCTTTTGAATCTTCTTTTGATTACTTCGACTGGCAAGGCCTCGACCAAGCTGGGCGATTGGGTCATTGCGACCGCTCTGTTGCGAAGGTGGCAGTACTCGAGAAAGAGGAGCTATCAGGTTGCCAAAATTCCCTAGTCTTTCCTCTGGTGACAGACCATAGGAGTTTGGTTGTCTAGAGCCTGAGGCCAGACCAACCTCGGCACCAACGTCGTCTGTTTTTCCAACACTAACAATGTTTAGCTACTGGTAGCGGGGAAAAGAAGGCTCAGGACTGAGGCTTACCATATTTCGAGACCTCTTGGCAGGAAGAGCTGTAGATTCGCGCTTGACAGAACCTGATTGACCGCAGATGCGTGGCCAACCGCTGTACCGAGTCCGACGCCAATCTGCCCAACCGTGAGACCGATACCGGCTGCACCAGGTCTGTAAAACGATGCATTAGTCAACATAACGTCAGAGATGTGCGAATAATGAGACTTACAAGAACCAGCCCGCAATATTCGCTCCCTTTTGGAAAATTTGATTCTCCGGATTAGGAATGATGGCAACATTAATGGCGTCCAGTAGTCCTATAAACTCCTGTTCAGAGATACCATATTGACCGAGCTCTCTAGAGTATCCTCGAAGGAAAGGTTGTTCGTCCCCGTAGGCGATCTGAGGCAGAGCTAGTGGACGGAAGCCGGCATCTCTTGTTGACCCCAAGTCTCCGGCGCGACTCATATCATAAGGTTGCCCTTGATACCTATCCCGACCATCGAATACTGTAGCTTCATAGCGAGGAGGCAGAGGTGGATATTGAGACCGATCATCATCATTGTACCACTGCTGCATTTGGTCAGGAGTCGGTCCGACCACTGATGTCTGGTATCCGATGGCGGAATTATCTTGTCTGAAAGATTGACCATCAAGCTCCCTAGGCCTCATTGGTCCTAAAGAACGTCTTATTCTTCCTTGCATCTCATCGGGCGATGAATCTCTTTGATCATCGTAATTGGTGTATGAAGAATATCCTTGGCTAGGAGACGGCGATTGACGGTAGGCTGAAGACGAGAGCCGACCGGTGTCGCGGTTGTTGATTTTGTTCCCGAAAGGCAGTCTTGGTCCGGACAAACCATTGTTAACTTGATTGGCACCAAGGGCAGAGCCAATGGCATCACGTAGTAAGCCCATTATGTAGAGATTTGGTGTCACTATGAATAGAAGATGTTGAGACGTATTGATCGTTGGAAATGGAAAGTGGAAATCACCATCTGTTAAATATTCGAATTTACATGCGCTGTCAGATTGTCTAGCCTGGGCTGATCCTCCTCGACTCAGCCACATTATACTTTCATCAAGATGCTCTTTACTTTCCATATCGGGCAGGTGTTTCGACATGAATTTCAAAGCCGCATGCGGATACAATCCCTGGTACAAACCCATCAGTATCGTCAGTCATCAGTAAGATTCACTTAAAATGGTCGCCCGATTAAATGTGAGTCTATGGTTAACTTATGAAACCACTCATATTATTGCCGGTGAAAACAGCCAACCAGGCATGCAAACCCTGGTGTCCCGAAAACTATACAGCCACAGGACAAGATAGAGAATTCCTACCGCCTACCTCGTTTTTCTTGGGGATTTTTCTTTCATATGGAAGCTCAAACAGTGAAGAGACAGGTATGATTGCCTGATGGGAGCAAGCGATAAGTTTTGGCGGTAGAGCTACAAGGAAGCATGATTTGGTGCGACCGATTCCACGCATCATCGTCATTCACCCATTATTATGAGCTGTGTGAACTCTGGTGGCTGAGTGCGCCAAAGGACGGCCCTTACAGTGGACAGATTGAAGCAATAATCGGCGCTGCCGAAAGGCCCTGCTGAATTTCTATGCAAGCTATTTGAGGGTCATCCTTTGAGGCAAGTCTTAATCATTTCCTAATTTGTTCGCGGGGCTACGAAGTAGTTACCTAACTCGGTTTCTATTGCCACTGACCGGTTCATAGGATCTAAGGATCTAGCCAAATCGGGCAAACACTTAGAGGGTAAAAGTGGCGTCTAGGTGAGAGCTAACCCTAAAGCGGAAATCCAGGACGTGGAAAAAAAGTTTCGCTATGTGGGTATAGTTTAAACTACCGTCAGCTTAATCCATACAGCTGGCTGTCTTCCTGCGGCAAACAGGGGAACTGTAAGGTCTAGACAGTTGTGCGAGAGCACAGGGCAAAAACTCAGGATCCTTAAAGTCACCTTTCCAAGAACTACGCACATCAAATTGCCACATTGTTCTTGTCGCTCTGCAATGTCCAAAGGAACAATTCTCTCGATAGTTCTTTATCATAGCACAAGTCCATCATGAGCTAGGAATAGAGATGGAAACTTATTCAAGAACATGCTTAATGTGCTGTCTAACTCATATTTCCCTAGCGATCAAATTAAGTTCCAGCCAGTAAGATTGAGTTGGAGTACATGTGGATCATTCCCTTGTCTGAACGTGTAAGAGGGAAATTGCCACATTGCTTGCAACTTCTATTTGTGTACGTTGCAGTATAAGAAATACTACGGATTGCTCCAACCTCCGATCTCTCTTGAGAATCCTCCGCGAGAATGATACCGGTGCACACCTGGACAGAGTCGAAACTGATATAACTTGTAGGCATGCCTACTTATGTCAGCCAAGCGACAATAATTATGAACAGAGCATTGATCCAAACATTTCTCCCTGACTTGTGACTGTCACTGCAAGAGGAACATCCAGAATGGCTTTGAATAGGGGGTTTGCGGTCGACATTCCCCGGAGGAAAGGGTTACCAGGGATACCTACCACCAAGCACTGCGACAGGGACATGGCAACTGGCACATTCTTAGGTCATTCCAAAGCGATCTACAGGGGACTTCTGTACCTCCAAGGGTGTATTTGGCAGGGTCCCGGGTAGAGAAGATGCCAATCAAAGCTTATACATCCGAATAAGCGTCGTGCCCCTTCCAGATGGGGATACCGGAATGTCCAACGTCGTCACCACCAATTCACCAACGACCAGGGATCAAGGGATGCTGATTCAGGGCTAATTATTTACCTTCTTCGTGATGAATGCTAGATTTTACTTAAGTCGATGCCAACTCTCCATGCCGGCCGCATCCTCTTTCTACATCTTCCACTCTTACCTACACTCTTAAAATTCTATTCTACCCAATACCTTAATTTCCACACAATCCATCAAGATGCGCTCTTTCATCGCTGCTCTTTTCATGGCTGGTGCCGTCACCGCCCAAGTTACAAGTGAGTACCTCGACTGCGCGACTGCGGCCCTCGACGGAATCGACGTTTCAAAATTCAAGGACTGCACCGACTTGACCAGCACACAATGCCTGTGCGCGAACAAAGATGCGTTCTCTGAGCTAACAGATTCTGCCAAAGACGCCTGTAACAAGGCCGGTATCAGTAAGTTGATTACTCGTAAACCATGAGTATACTTCGGTCTAACGCATCCCTAGACATGGACGACCTCGACGCTTCCCTGTGCGGTGCCAGCGGTGACAAGGTCGCTGCTCCCGCCCGCCACGCCAGCAAGCCCATGGAGCCCGCCGAGGACCTGCACATGCGCGCTTACTCGCCTAGCGAGGATGTCGACGCTACTCAGCCCCGTGTGATGACCGTCACTGTCACCGAGTCCTGCGCCTGCAAAGCTACTCCCACCAACCATATGCACGTCTCTCAGATCCCCGTCAACGTGCCCGTTAGCAGCAGCATGGGAGGTATGGCTGCAGCCTCTTCCCCTGCTTGGTCTCACGGTGTTATGGTCGGAGCTTCGTCTACCTCTGCCATCTACAACTCTATGATGGCGACCCCTACCCCCAGCGGTGCTAGTGCCAACAAGTTCAATACCTTCCAGGGCGCTGCCCCCCAGGTTAACGCTGCCCGTGGCGGTGTTGCTGCTCTCGGTGTCGCCGCTGTTATGGGTCTGATGATCGCTCTGTAAGGAGATTGTTCTACGATGGAATATTCAATGTGGAAAGGGGATGAGATTTATATTCTCATGGGGATTATTTTTATTTTTGTTTCGGGAGTTTATACGGTTGTCCATTCATTTATTTAAAGACCGAGATTGTAATGATCAATGAAACACGTGCCATTCAATTATTATATATTGATATTAAGTAGCCGTTGACATGTGCTCACTCGTAAGACTCGTCTTCATTGACAGTGGCCCAATTTACTGGGTATCAATTTATTGTCCAAATTTCAAATTAAGGGCTCCCACACATTTAGGCGTGGATGGCTTGTTGCACGCGAGGGTACAGCTGCACAAGCTTGTAGTAGATATCTGGGTGGTCGTTGATCATGACTTGCGGGTCCCAACCCATGGCCACGAAGATGGTCTCAACACCACTGCCAATAGGCGTCATGAACACCTGGCAGACCTGCAATCCAATGACGAAAGAGAAGGCCATGATCACTGGTGTGAAATCTCCGTTCGCATTATAGGCGGGCTTGGTATATTGTAGGTAGAGGTAGGCTAACAGGGCGCAGACGTATGAAACGAAGACCGAGCCCATGGTCAAGACGGGACCAATCAGACAGTCTTGAACGAGAGCATCGACGCCACGGTCGCGCATCATCTTCCATGTATCCTTGGCCGCGGGGATGTAGGCCTTGCCGTAGAGCGCAATGTGACAGAAGGCGTAGCGGTTGAATAGTGTGACGAGCCAGTCAAGCAGCGATATGAAGCACCCCAAGACCCAGATAGCGATACTACCGATAATGTTGCCTTGGGCTGCCTCTTGTCGCTGTGCAACAGAGCATGCCTGGCGCATCATTTGGATAATCGCAATGATCAGACTTCCCAAACTGATACTACCGAACGAGTAGGTCGTCGCGCGACGGAACGCACCCCGAGTCGACCCTTTCGGCATTCCACCCGCAGACTTGCTCCAGAAGTACCACGATCCATACACACCTGCGATAGTCGTGTGCACAGTGTTTTTGATCCACTCGCTGAACCAGTACATGGCAAAAGTCACGTACACGACAAGACCAATGACCTTGGCGCGACTGCAGCCGCCATTTGCGCAGGAAGGATTAGTTCCCGAGGAATCAGGCTCGAATTTGACATAAATCGCGACTAGAGTCACAGAGAACCAAGCCGAGAACGCCACGGTGATGATACCGCCCAAAGCACTGACCAGGAAGACGTGTCCGTAGTTACGCGCCACGTCCATGGTGGTCTGCAACATGAATGCCGTGAATGGGATGCGTGGGATCCAGCTAATGAAGCAGATGATGGCGAAGACGCCGAATACCAGGAACACTATTCCGCCTCCATACTGCTTCTTCGCGATATAGTAAATGCCCGTTGCGAGCGCGAAAACGATGTTCAAAATTCCCGTGGCCCAGATGAAGGTTTTAGTGAAATATCGTGCGCCGAGGAAGTATAGCCATGAGAAAACAAGGGCGACACAGAGAACGAAGATAAAGAGGACCAGGGTGTTGGTGTCGAGCGAGAAGTCGTTGTGAGAGTCGTAGATTCCACCTCCGTTGAAGCCCTTGTTGACTGCATACGAGTGAATGGTATAGCCGGACACTGCGACATAGCCCAAAAACACGGCGATTAACTGCGACGGAGAGCTGTTAGTTTCGGGGACCACTTTCCCGGGTTATATCAAGTGTATCACCTACCAAAAGACCTGCCCAGATATCGTTCCACTTGGGTTGCTCAATCTTGAACGCTTCATCAAAAGTACTGTACGGTGGCGGAGGGTGGTCAGGGTATTCTGGAGGCCCTGGTAATTTGGGCTCGGGCGCAGGTTGCTGTGGCTGGTAGCCATTGCCGCCTTGTTCATGGTCATTGTTATAGTTGTCAGGCTTCACCTTGCCCGGTTCCTGGGCGAAGCCCTGATTAGGGTCGTAATAGCTTGCTGCTTGACCACTCATTGTTGCCGTGGAGAGAAGCAGATCCGAAATTCTCTAATCCCTGTTTTAGGGGGAAGCAAGGAGCATTTTATATTTCCGCATTAGAATCCATGACGACATGCAGAGCCGATGTGGAGGAAGCAGCGATCGATCCAATGATCAGCTCGGATTAGCTCCGATCAGCCCTAAGGGTCCAATGAGCCCCATCCAAACACCACTAAATACTGCTAGCCTCATTTTTGAGTCCAAGTTTCTGTTGTTTTGTTGTTTGCCTGCTTGGCTTTTCTGGGCACGTCTAGCTTTATTGATTTTTGCTTTTCACGCGATCTATGTTATGCTATGTACAAATGCAAACCTTGCTCCAATATGTCAAACACGCCTAGGTATCCTTTGAAGACGCCTTAAAAAAAATGCAAGGGTTCCCCATATTTTGGGTGTTCGAGATTGTCGGGATGACAAGACGATTATGATTACAGAAATTAGTGGGCCAAGAGTATAGACCGGTCTGCCTCGGTCGCCCAGTCTCCCAATCACGGGTGACAAGTTCGCGCTTCAAGTATGCAGACAAAAGTCAGTACTCTATCGGAACGTTTGTTGCTTGAGATTGCGGAGAGAGTCCATGACACGAGGATGGCCATTGCGTGGACGTGCTCCGAAATCATCGGTGGCTGCTTGAATCTGACCTTTGCCGAAGGCCGCCGACCGGCGCAATTTTTCCTGCCGGACAGCTGTGCGTCGTGCCGCCCTCAGCTCGTCAATTCGACCTTGTCCGACTCGATGGCGTCGCATGAAGGAGTCATCAAGTAAGGCATTAACATCAAGTAACTTCTTAGGCACGGTTTGCACCACTTGAAAAACTTCCATCGGGTCGGAAATTGCGAGAATCTCTCGTTCGCAGGCCTTGAAGATGGCGAGCGAGACACGGAAGAACGTCTTGGAGCCCTCGTAAAAGAAAACGTCCCAGACTCGCAGCGTGGTCTCCAGTGGTAAAGTACCAATAAACACCGACATGAGCCAGTTCGTTAATCCCAAAGTAATGTCTGGCAGTCGCGAGTTGACGGTAAGAGGAGGCGTCTTGCGGCCGGCTGTTGTCCCGCCCATGCTAGCGATCTTAGCATAAATGGCGGGCATAGAATCCCGGAGAAGAACCATAAGGATCCAGAGATCAATGTTTGCACCCTCCAGACTGATTTCATGGGTTCCGGGTAGATAGTCGGAGGTGATGATGTGCAGCATCCAGAATGCCTTTTCCTCAGGAAGGAAGAGAAGGAGCATGCCGGTAATGAAATTGAGCGACTGCGTGTAGCCAACCTTGGGGTTGTGGAGCGCGAAAGCATACAACACCCGGCGAAGGGATTGAATCATCTGCGTCTCTGTCGGGATATCCGCATATTTGGGATTACTGCTGCCAGACTGGGCAGCGTCCGTGCCTTCCGGCTTGAAATGCATGTTATCCGGGAAAGTGCGATGAAGGTCTCGTTCAATGTGCTCTTTATCATCATTGCTCGGCGAGTTCATCACCTTTTGCACGAGGTCTTCATAATGTCCAACGTGTCGGTTCAGCAGCTCGTACCCGCCGGCATACCAGAACCACGCTGCACCCCGGAACTCGGATGGGATTCCCTTTCGCACGAAACGTTTGACCTTGTTGGACTGCGCTGGGAACACAGTTGGGTTATCTGAGCTCAACCCATGCTCCTTGAGCATTTCGTGCCACTTCGTCTGTCGATGACCCGCATAGTTGGAATACGGGCCTTTCCAAGCTTTGTACATTTCCGACGTAACGTACTGGGTGGCTTTGCGGAACCCATATTCATCCCGAGTCTCACTTCCAGGCATGAGAGGGGGTGGGACCGGCCCTGGAATGATGATGCGCGACTGCTGTCGCTTGTGGAAAGCCTGTAACTTGGACGGGTTGTCGGAAGTTGGGGACGTGAGGGGTGTCGGTTCAAAATGGAGAGTGGGCGGTGGTAGTGGTGGACTCGTCGGAACGGGCTCTGAGGCAGGACGCTCTGATGGTAGCGCCTCAAATGCCGTAGGCTCGAGCGAGGTTGGCTGTGGCAAAGGAGGAATGGGAGGAATGTCGTCCAGCGATCTCGTATTGGGATGATAAATGTCGTCCAAGCGCGAATCTCTTGATGGGGGCGGTGTTATTGACGGGGCCTTGCTCTCGGTGTAGGATTTAGGAGAAGGAGGTTCCTCGGTCACGTCGCTGAAGCCATCCAGGTACATTGAAATCGCATCTTCAACACTCATTCCTCCATCCATATAAGGAGCGTCTGGGGTATCGGGTGAAAGATCGGTGATGGAGCTGCTTTTGGTAAGAACGCTGCTGCGCTCAGTACCGCTGTTTTGCTCTACACTGGACCGCGAAGTCAAGGTCGAATTGACACTGGTTCTGAGAGTATCTTCGTCTGCAGGTCCGCTAGAAGGGAAGCGCGGCAATGGCAGATCGTGTGGTTTCAATTCCTGGCGACAGTCTGGGGACTCCTGGGGTCTGGGCCGCCTGCTATGTAGCCTGGAAGTCGACATGGAAATGCGCAAACCGCCCCTGGCAGGCGGGGCTTTGCGCTGGGCTGGCCGGTCAAAATCGTTATCACCAGTATACCATGTCGGGGTTTGTCGGTCTCCGGGGGGCGTGTAAGGGGAATTGCGACCGGTAGGTGTTTTCGCTCTCCAGTCTTCTCGGCCTTGGGGCGACCCAGCCCTTAGCGATTCTGGGATCCATGGGCGATCCTCGACCGCAGGATAATTTACTGGCGGAAGAGGAGAACGCGAACGCGGTGGGTGTGCCGAGCGGGGAGAGTTCGGTGTCGATCGCGGGATCGGGTTGATTCGCGGTACGCGTGGTTCGATCTTCAAAGGATCCAAACGCGGTTGATTCTGGTGAGGGATCCTCCGACGGCCGCGAAGATCGGATTCACCCAAGGGAGGCGGATATCGAGGGTTTCCAATTTCTGTGACCATGGCCACGAGCTAGTAGTAACACCCAGTTCCCGCTGGACATTGGTCTCCGACTGAAAGGTAGAGGAGGAGTAGCTGAGCTTTGGCGGGGAAGTTCCGATGGTTGAGGGCGAGAGAGACGAGGGTATACACCAGAGAGGCGAGTCGCGAAGCGAATGTTGGGCACGGCGCGAAAGAAAAAGGTTGAGCGGTTAGCTCTTAGGACGGGTCGGGGAAATGAAAACCGGATCAATGAAGCCAAGCAAAGCAAAATGAACGAGTGTAGAAAAAACAACAACAACAAAGATGGCCACAGCCTGCCAGAGGACTGGAATGAGGGCGAACGGATTGAACTTGAGACAAAAATCAACAGAACTTGATTGGCACTAGTGCCAGATGACGTAAGGAAAGGGCCCTGGGGTTTCAGATTCTGTGAACTGTCATTTCCCTTCATTAACTATTCGCTATCTATCAGTTCCTGGGGTTACCTGTCTGTGCAGCCATGCAGCCTGCTGCAGACCTGTACACTGCCTATAGTTCAACAGTAGACCTGTCAATGGCTCTTCCCGTTCCCCGGTGACCGAACAAATGCCGACCACGGATGCATCGTCGATCAGGGACCAGACTTAATTCGCCTACACTTCCCCGACAACGCTCCCTTTTTTTCCTTTTTTTTTAGTTTGCCCCTGACAGCTCCATGAGATTGAAGGATCTTCGATCGTCGCTTAATTTGCTAGTGTCTGATCTCGGGAATGTGATCTTGTGAGCATTTTAGCGCCCTGCAATGAGGGCTTCGGCTCTAGTTCCCCTTTTCCCTATTATATATCGAAACTAGGTGTGTTAGAATCAAGCTAAATCAAATAGGCTATTTGCATTCTCTCAAATAGCTCCGTTTGCATCCTATGGCTATTGACGTGCAGAACAACCCGAGGTGCAGAGGCGGGTTGGAAGCCTGACAGGGATTTGCCCCGGATTCTCAAACTTCGGTGACTCTTCTAGGGCCTTGGCCGGATAGCTTGCTATTTTCGTTGCCACTAGCTATGCCTCGCCCGACTCTGCTCCATTCCCTCATTCCAGCTTCCGCCCTCTTCCGAGCCTTGGAAGGGGCATCTCATTTCGCGACCGTCCGTGCTCCAGCTCCCGCCTTGTTTTTTGCCCGACGCGACTAGGATTTTGTTCGGCGACACAATCAAGCTTGGAACTGAATTCATTTGAATTAATGTAAATATCTTGGCATTACCTAGGCGGACGGCACTGATGTTGCAAATAAGTCTCTAAGCCCGGGAGCCCTTGAGGCTCTAGGCGCACTATGTTGATCCTTCCAAGTTTGGTGCCTCCGCTATATATCGCCGCGGGTCAGTTTCACGTCCATGTTTTTCTGTCGCACGAACCATGCATTAGTTGTTTCCCACTCTTGTCCTGGGTGCTCGAGCTCGATCTAAATCTCAGTGGGTCAGAGTGTAGTTCTCAATACGAAGACACGAGAGCCAATTCCACTCACCTTATAGGTCAATAGTAGGGACGGGATCAACTTGTAAATCTCCAGAAGACTAATGTTCTTTCCTATACACGTCCTCGGCCCAGCCCCAAACGTAAAAGTAGCTCTGAGCATCTGCTGCTTGCGTGTCTTGAACTCAGTGTCCGACTCCGTCTTCGCCTGCAGCCATCTTTCGGGAGTAAAGGAGTCGACATCTTTTCCGAAAAGCGAATGTCGGTGGACTATCCAGGGATTGGCACCGACGATTGTCCCGGCTGGTAAAAAGGGCCCACCATTGGGCAGCTGTAAACCACCAGTGGGGACGACGCGCTCCAAAAGCAGTCCCACGGCCGGGTGCAAACGGAGGGCTTCCTTGATCACGGCGTCAAGGTACGGCAGTTCCTCTTGGCTTTGCTTCCAGGAGACGGGTAGGGTGATTCTGTTTTCTTCGTAGGCCATGTTGAGTTCTTGGTTCACTTTCGACAAGACTTTTGGGTTCTTGAGAGTATAGTATAAGATCGCGCGTAAGGAAATGGCTGTTGTGTCAGAGCCCGCGTTCATGTTGCTCACGGTGTAGGAGAACATTTGATTATCGGTGACTACACTGGGGTGATCTCGCTTTGCATCCAGGAAGCGAGCAAGAAAGTCTTTGTGTAATGGTGATGGTGACCCACCGCCACTTTTTGACTCTGGTGGTGCTTGTTGAAGTCTCTCGTCAAGTCGGGCACGCGCAAAGAGAGCCACCGCTCCAGTGGACCCTCCTTGGACAAGTTGCCTCAGAGGATTTTTGATGAACAAATAATCCAACCATGGCATTTGACCGATCTTAAACTCTTCAGTAAAGCCGACGATAACGGAAGAAAGACACCTACCTTTCCGGAGTAGTCAAGCATATGTTCGAGTGCGGTAATGATCCCATCTACATCACCTCCCTTCTCCAAGAACCCAAGAGACTTGCTGAATGTCAATTCGCCAATCACATCAAAGGCATCTACTCGAATTCAGTATGGGAGGCGCATTATAGCACAGGGCTCAACGAACAGTACTGTAACCAGGCCGAGATATCACAGACTTTCCTCTGGGCAGCGAACTCATCTAGCCTTCGGAACAACGTGTGAATTATCGTGTCAACGAATGGCTCGAACTCCGTCAAGGTGCTCATAGAGTACGCGGCCGAGATGGGCCGCTTGATCGAGGCATGAAAGTCTTCATCTGTTGTAGTGAATAATGTAGGTGTCGGCTTGCCATTGGCAAGTTGCTGTTGGACTCTGTAGAAATCGGTCTATTTTTAGGTCAATACTGGGTAAGAAATGTGAGATTCCCTGTCTGACCTTGTTATAGCCTTTATTGATACCATATATTATCTTGAGAGCGTCCAAATCTCGCACGCTCACTACCTTTGGACCCAATCGGACATAGTCACCATACTTTTGATGGAGTGTTTGGTGAGTGACCTCAGCATGGCCATGGGCCACATCGATGAACCTCCAGAGATTGGATAGCTTGGCAAAAAAAGGACCAGGCACGGATGATACTCCTGGTGTAAAGTAGTTGCGGGTGAAATGAGCTACTACCACAAGAAGAAGAATACTTGGTGTATGTTGTACTAGGAAAGCTACCGAGTCTGAAATGATAGCCATGATAAAGACCTTTGCGAAAGTTAATGTTAGCATGTTTTCATATTTTCTGGCCTTTTCCTTTCCTTTATACACCGGCACTCCATGGCTTTAACTCCCGAGGCATACATGTCCAAGAGGCTATGGCCAACCAAATCCGCTGGAGGTCCATCCCCGTGGGGTCATATGCGGGGAAGCAGTGACATAATCGAGGTATCATTCCGCTAACGGCATTATAGTCTGAGCACGCACCCCAGGTCTACACATTGAGGCTGGGGTTATATTTTCTTGGTCCTTGGTCTTCTTCGGGATAAGAGTTGGGTCAATAGGTTGGGAACTGCCGCGTTGTCTTCGAATTTGGAAAGTAGTGAAATCACCAACGTCTCCCGATTCTCTCAGGACTGGCATATGGCTGGGTTAGGATCCTCATCTTGGCACCTATTCGACTGTGGCTCATTATCTACCAGCGACCAGAAGCGGATTATATCACCCCTCAGCCTTCGTTCTAATTCCGCCATTCTACGGAAATGCCCCGCCTGAGCAGCAAACAACGAAGAGTTATCCAAATGAGAAAGACAACATATTCAATATTAGCAACATGGAATTTAATGCTTCTTTTGTATGTTCAAATGCCACCGACTAGAACGGGCCCATGCACTTCTATTTCCCGACCCAGGCCATGACACAGGAACACCCCCACGGAAGATTCGCAAGATCAAAGTCATAGACACATAACGAAAGAGCTACTCAACAGCAGGCAGGCCTATTTAGGGATTGCGTGCTTTCGAGTCCACTCACGTGCAACCTCGTCATAGCGCACCCGGTCATTTCTGTATTGCTCAGCGATCCTCCCCTCAATGGCATCGTCGGGCATGGGCTCGGCCAGAAGTTGGCGAGCGAACTGAAGAACAGCATTGATCTTGGAGCTGGGCTTCCATTCGTCTGCGCGCAGCATTCCCAGGCACATGCTACCTTTCTCGTCGTTTGTGACATTTGGATGGTAGATTTTGGTAGCGAAGGAGACGGTGGGAGGCTTGAATGGGTATTCGGTAGGTAGCGACAGTTTCAATATGAAGTCTCCGCCCTGTTCGGTTGCAAATGGAAGTTAAAATATGGGTTCATGCAGGGAGAGACAAAGGGGGCGACGGGCGCGGCGCATTGTGTTTGGAGGCAACAAGGGGCGTCATCACAATAAAAGCGGTGCAGCATGTGGATAAATTTGCGTACCTGATACGGTGATCCTTCAGGGCCCTCCATATGCACCTTCCACTCGTAAAGGTTTGACTCATCGACCAATTCGACGCTGATGCCCGCAGGGGGCGATTCAACGAGCTCAGCGAGCTCCTGTCAAGAAGACTCAAGGTCAGAAAGTTGGCGTCAACAGAGGATAGGCCCTGGAAAATATCATACCTTGGCTATGCGCTTCTGGCTGCCCATCTTGTCAGGTCTGATTATCTCGCCGGGCGCGTGACGGAGATGCGGGGCGACAGCGGAGGTTGCGATGAGATGCAAAAGCGATAGGAGATGTAAGGGGTAGGTCGAGCGAGAGTTTGAGGCAAGGCACCGAGGAACGAGAGATCGGTGCACGATTTCAAAAGAAGGTGGCCTGGTATATGGAAGCTAGCAGCTCTCCAGGACTTGAAGTGGGGGTGAGCGAAGACGTCAGTCGGGCAAATCAGTCTTGGCCCACAAGGTCGCCTGCCTCGTGGGCTCGCTATTTACTTGGAGTCTTTTACGGCTGAAACTCTCCCATTCGGACCGATAAACACAGTTTTCGTATTGGTTACAAGTTTTGTTGTCTTGATTGACTCATAGATGTTGGAAAGATTTTTATTTGACAATGCGAGCTAGTTAATCGAGCTTCTGTCATACCAATTACTCCCTCTGGAGCATGACCATCAATCCCATGATACCGAGAAGAACGGTTTTAAGCCAAGGGTGCTCACTGAGCATAATAGTAACATATCCCACCATCTGCGAATGTTTAGTCCACTGCAAGAAGAGAGCAAGAGGCGATAGAACCTACCGGAACGTATCCTCGCACACTGCCCACAATGTCCTCCTCACGGTTGAGGTGGTCTTGGCCTCGAGCATACAGCTCCGTATCATCGGCAAGATTGTTGTCGCCCTAGAACAAAGGATCACTGTGTTAGTCCGCGCGTTCGAGAAAGCACAAGGCATGGCTGTCAACGTACCTTGGTCAGGAGCATGTGCGAGTTGGGTGTCGAATTACTAGATAAACCGTACAATTTCAGCAAAAATCAAGGTTAGAGTACTCCGAAGAGCATCCAGCTAGCGCCCAACACTTACACTGTAATCTCCTTCACCTTCTTGGCCTTGCCGTCAACCTCAGGGTAGGTTCGCACCACTCGGTGCACGATCGGGATGTCCTTGCCGCGAACATTGTAAACCACAATCTCACCAACTTCTGCACGCGGGCTTCGGTTCCAGAGGAAGAGCAGGTCACCACGCTGGAAGGCCGGCTCCATCGATCCGGACAGTACGACCACGATCGGTGAGCTGGAAGCCGACGCAACGGAGAGACCCTTCCATAGCATGAAAGCCGTGGAGAGAACCAGGGCAAAGTTCAGCGCCTGGGCAATTGACTGCCGCGCATTTGTGAGGCTGGAAGAGAGTGATGAGAGCATAATGGGCAGTTTGTAGATGCGGATGGTAGGGCGAGGCTCGACACGGCGACGCGCCGGAGTTGGATCGATCCGGAGGGAGGATCGAGATGGTAAAGCTGCAGTTATAGAGTGCGAGCAGATCCAGGCAATGTAGCTCACAGTCGAGAACCAGCCGGCTGGTCAAGTTTGTTTTGGCCGAGCTGAAGACTGCGGAGAGGTGGCCTCGCCGATCCGCATCTGCGCCGGTGGAGACCTCACCGCCCTGGGCGTCAACACGGTATAGATCTGATGAACTAGAGGGTGGATGATACATTTGTATTGTAAATTACTAGAGAACATTTGCGAGAATGAAGTCTCCAAGGTAGCTATTGGGATCCGTTACCGAAATTGAATCAGGAAATATCATTCTAGACGAAATGAGTGTGTAGCCAAGGTTATCGCAAACCTGACGAGTTCGAACTCAATCAAGTTCTTCAGTCACGACAGACCTCGCAATCGCCTGACCATCCCCATAACAAGCAAAAAGCAGCCTCAACTCTCTTTCATTTCATTTCATTAGTATTATTGAGCCTAGCACATTTTAGGAAGACGTACAAAAGATAGAATCTTGTACCCGCCTTGAAGGCCACTCCCGGCCGTACAGCACTCCGGACCCTTTTGACTGGTACCCTGCCTTGCCCCCGTCAGTACATCTTAGATGTACAGACATGCTCAAGTGCCGTTATTTGGTGATCGTGGGATCAGGCTTCCTTCGTAACAGGCCGTCCACCTTTGCATAATTAACCACCTGACCTCCTGGGAGGTATGGGGGGACCTCCCAGGGGCCACCTCAATGGCCTTCCCCCTAACCACTTGGACTCTGAATTGAACAGCAGATTTTCTTGCAATTTCTCCCAAGCTCTAAACCGTAAAGTGGTTTGAAATTCCACTGTGTACAAGCCAGATCATGACAAGTACCTACGGCCATGGATCCTATGTACTCTCTTCAAAAGTCTGGTCAACCGTGGCATTTATCGTTGCTATCTACTATATGCTATATGATCGGTTTAATCTACCACAACCGACATTGTACTGATTGGATCACTAGGGTCTAGGCTCTCTGGCCAAATGCGACAAAGCCACAAGCTGTAGGGATAAGATTAAAGCCTCAACGTGACCAGCAGAAACTGATGAGCATCGGCATAAATTCCTTCGAATCGATCAATTCCAACTTAAAATCATATACTGGTCGGCTAAGAAAGCAAGTAATCGATCGTCTTCTGGATCGGCCAAGCACTTGAAGTGTGGGTCCCCTGGTTACTCCAAGAATGCTACATCCCTGTGATGGAAATCCCCGAGGCTGGGGTTGAAGAATAATCTGCAGATGTGACTTATATACGAATTGATCAATCAACTATCTATTTATGAGGTGGCCAAGGATAATAAAGAGAAATCTGTGTTCAGTTTGTTTCAAAAGCTTCTCTTATGTTAAGATCTACAGTTCAAGGTAGGGTTGTCTGAGTGACGCTCATCTAGACATAGATTCCAGAGTGGGGCTTGCAGGGGGCTACCATTCTTCGGGATCAGTTGCTCTCCCTCTCAATCTCTTCCTAGAAATTGATTTATACTCATCGCACATGTCACACAGGTTGTTGCCTCGTCAAATCTCTGATTGTTTGTCTGGGACGAGCAAGCTTTCATTGATATTCAACTAGCTCGCATTATGAGAATATCTCCCACCGCGCAAGATGAAGTCTCCCCTTGATATCACGGACGAGCCCAGGTTTTATCTGCAGGAGCAGATGCAGGAACATTTGCGCGACCACTATCTTGAATTGACGCCGGACACGAAGTTCGTACGATGGCTGCGCGATAACCCCAGGCACCCGAGAAACTGGCCTACGAACCGAAAAATATATGATACTGCACTTATCTGTTTACTGGATCTTGTCATGTATGACCGGCCCCTTGCGATACTTGGATGTCGTGAAGATGATTGCTAACTGAGTTTACAGAACTGCTAGTAGCACTGCTGGTGCGGCTGCAGCATCACAAGCCAGACATGAATACAAAGTTGGACATACCTTTGCAACATTTTGCTTTGTGACACTGTGAGGCGGCTCTTTCTCTGCTACTAAGGACTCTCTAACAATGTACTAGATTTCTTCTAGGGCAATGTGTGGGCACAATTGTGTTCCCTCCATGGACAGAGTCATTCGGCCGCAAGAAATTATATATTATTAGCAGTGCTCTGAGTTGTGCCTGCTGTATCGTCATTGGCACTGTGAATTCCCTCCCTGTCGCGATCGTCATGCGAGTAATTGCGGGTCTTGTTTCCGCAGTACCGGGGAATATTGTGGGCGGAAGTATCGAGGACTTGTTCAACTCTCAGGCGCGAGTATGGGCGATCTACTGGTGGACTGTGGCATCGAACATTGGGTTGATTGTGGGCCCGATAATGAGCAGCCACATCGTTGCATACCTCAACTGGTGAGTTCAAATGGCTCTTTTCATGGAAAGCCCCGGCTAACAAATGCTTAGGCGATGGGTATTCTACATCTATGCCATCGTTATGGGAATAATTACCGGCCTACTTGTCTTTATTCGCGAATCTCGATCGTCCTTGCTCTTAACTGCCGAGGTCGAAGTGCTGCGACGCCAGATCGAGGGCATTCCTCCTGCGCTTAACCACGACCATATGCCGACCATGCGCACTTTCATGAAGGAACACTTGTTCCGTCCTGCGCAGCTCTTCTGCGGCGAGCCTATTGTGTTCACCATTTCGATGATCATTTCAGTCGTCATGTCTCTCATTTACATGTTCACTGAAGCCATGCCCATCGTTTACCAGTCAATGGGGTTCACACGGCCCCAAGCATCTCTCATGTTCCTGGCAATTGGCCTTGGTACTTGCCTCAGTGCATTCACTCGCATGCTTGACTCCCAAATTATCAACAAGCGACGACGCAAGGGTCTTCCTATTCGACCTGAAGACAAGCTCGTGGGTCTAGGAATTGGCGCCCCGATATTGGCTATTTCCCTTTGGTGGTTTGGCTGGACGATTCCTCCACTGATACAGAGCCCCAGTATTCCATGGATTGTCCCAACAGTATCACTCATCTTCGTTGGCTTCTCGTTGACCGAAATTGACACCGTTCTCTACGGATACATCTCTGATAGCTATCTCAGCTATTCAGCTAGCGCCACTGCTGCGGTAGGATTTTTCAGAGGGTTGCTTTCCGGAGTATTCCCGCTTTTCACAAAACAGATGTTCCATGGGCTGGGCTCAAATTTCGCCATGTCAATTCTGGCGGGCGTGGCGACTGTCTTTTGCATCGTTCCGCCTCTGTTTCTGTGCTACGGGGAGCGGATCAGACGGCGCAGTCGGTTCGCTGCGTACAGTTGGGAGATCCAAAGTGAAATGGGGAAGGATGATAGTGATTTGTAGTGTATTTAATAGTATATATCTAATCAGAAGAGATTTATAGTCAATATGATATCCCAATGATACCCGATACATTATCCAGACATTCCCTTATTCGGAAAAGTAGCATAAAGATAACCAGGTAATCCAAAAGCTTGACTCTTATATGTCTTGTGCGGTGTGAGACTGCGTGACATGCTGAGTAGCCCCCGGCTCCCAATACTTCTCCTTCTTGCCGCGTTTCGTAATCAAACCGTAAATATCAAAAGGATCAATGATAGTAACAAGTTTGGGCCGAGGGTCATCGTAACCCGGACCCTCAATTTCAGTCACACCATCTGTGGCCAAATATACCTTGTTTGAGCGCGGAAGCACCTGCATAGGATGAAACACATTGAGCAGAGTGGTATTGCTATACATGAAGACCGCCTCAAAAAACCAGAAGAACCATTCTTGCTTGAGAACGGGACTAATGTGCTGAATATCGGTGTAGGCGTTCAGGCTCGCTGCGGTGAAATACTCGACGGTGCGATAAATGGTTCGAACGATGATGAGAGTGCAGCTAGTGTAAAGAACGATCAGAGTGCGCTTGATCTTCTTGTTCAGAACACCCCCCTTCGAGCAGTTGAAGTGGAATCGTCCAGCGAGTGCCACAAAGCCCACCATCAAGGCAATCTGCATGATGAGTGCCGCCTTGAGCAGTGCTTTGCCGGTGTTTTGTTCACTCACTGTGGAATCAGCACTTGCGACTCGAACAGCTCCATTGGCGGTGATAGCTTCGATAGCCACAGCTAAGGCAATGAAGGTTGTAAACACACGACCAGGGTGAATGGGTGAGTGATATGGGATATAATAGAGCATGCGACCGAGAATAAAGTAATTTGATGTCTCATAGACAGGGCTAGCGGGCAAGAAATGTCAACAAGGCCACTCAATAACTGGGAAGAATACATCTCACGGTGCAGCCAGAAGTAGAACAGTGCTCGCGATATAAACACCAATATTACCCCATTGGCCGAAGGCTCCAAGGGTGCGCATGACAAATCCGGCCGTGAATAGAAGCGCCGACCATGGCAGCAGGCCAGTCACTTTCCATGACTTGTAGCGGCTACATGGGCGTTAGATTTGAATCCTGGGTGCCTTTCTGCTGGCAAGAATAGACGTACAAGGTCTGATAGAAGTGAACTGCACCCGAGATGGCGAAGAGGATGGCGAAGGCTATCGGAGCACCCTTATTCGGTGCATAGAACCAGAGGCTCCCTGGCTCTTTTGGATTGTCAGAGAATAGTATATTGAGAGATCGTATAGGACGTACGATATGACCGTTCTTCAATCATGTTGAAGGTTTTTAGCTCACGCTCCTGACAAAAATTAAGTAGGTGAGAGATTTGGGGATTTAATTGAATACAGCAATGTCGCAAAGACTGTCGCTTTATTTAACCTGCCTTCATGCTCGGAAATCAGGGGACTTTATATGAGGATTGAAGGTGGCCATTCAGCCCTATCATATGGATCGAACGGCCTCAATGACAAGCGAAAACGAGTTACCCGTTTGGGTCATAAACCACGAAACTAGCGGCGAGCCAAATGAACAAGTTGAACGAATTACAAAGCCGGATCTGGAAATGACCCACGAAGGTTCAGCCTACTTAACGGGCGCGGGGTTTTGGCTCGCCCAAATACGAGGTCATTCTCAACCCAAGCGCCGATCCGCGGGACTGTGATGGGCCGAAAATGCTTTCGGGCTGAGGCTACTCGTGCGTGACTTGTCCTTGGCAACAATAAAGCCTATGATAATTATGGGGCTGACCTGGCGATGGCTGAGTTACGAGACTCTCAAAGAGGCAAGTCTCGTATCGCTACCCATGGGCGAGAGCGGGTTCTCCCGTGGCTGAGCACATGGGCCATAATCACCATGCTTCCAGAAGCAATACAAGCTAGTCAGATATTGCCATGAGAAAATCAAAAAAAGACGACTTCCATAACAAGCTCCATAATGGAGACCATCAAGGTGGATAAGATCTAGTTTGAGGGTGCGATCGATCTAGAATCTATATAAACGATCTAGTTGCCCCGACAACATAGCGCCTTACCACATCGGGACGGTGCAATGGGGATCTGTGGACATGTTTGCACTGGGGGTTCGACTTTTGATCTCTGACCTCCACCACCAATTTGCGCTGGAGCCTTTCTTCAAGACACTATCGTCATGTCGTCTAAACAGCCCCAATCTTCGCTGTTCCAGGTATACCTTCGCCTGCGCCCTCCTTTTGTGCAACACGATGAAAACGAACGGTTCCTCACGGTCGAGCCGCCAGAAACATCTCAAGATGACGGCGAGATCGTCGCGCCGGTCCCAACACACATCACACTACAACCCCCTAGCGACTCTCGAAAGCGCGCAATCGAGAGATTTGGCTTCACAAAGGTCTTCGAGGAAAATGCCTCGCAATTGGATGTCTTCCATGACACCGGGATGGAGTCTTTGGTGAGGGGAGTCTTGAAAGAAAACCGGGATGGATTGGTTGCTACACTGGGAGTTACAGGCAGTGGAAAGGTCAGTATGCCGCCATCTCGATCACCGAGCGAAACTAATGTGGCGAGGCAATACAGAGCCACACCATCCTAGGATCCAAGTCCCAGCGGGGTCTTACCCAAATGGCCCTCGATGTCATCTTCCGATCGCTGGAACCTACCGTGAAGACCGAGGACGGTAGCATCAGCCCTATGATGCTTGCCTCTCTGTCTGCGTCAGATGCCTCCGAGGCTCAATTATTCTCTGCCCAGATATTCCTGGAAGCCGTCTACGGCGATCCCAATGGAGGCCGCAACTCCAGAGCCGCAACTCCCATGAGTCCTGGTCGCGCAAACACGCCACTAACGGTACGAATCCCTCATTCCCTGAATAGCCCCCAAAGATCGCCGCGCACGCGACCACCCACTCCTGGAACTGGTCCCCCAAGACTACAAATATACACTGGAAGCCCTCAAAAGGCAGCCCCACTACCCAGCCCCATTCGCAAGGATCGATCCGGCCATGGCCAACAATCGACTGAGCAGCTTGGAAGGATAAATCCAGGACCCTTTAATCCCATTCCCTTTACCCGTTCCAGTCCAAATGAGAGCCGTTTAGCTAAATCACGACTCTATGTCTTTCAGGAACCAACCCCTGCATTGGTATTCCCCCGCCGCCAGCAGCGTGAACGACCTATTGCCGCGCCTCGAATGCCCGATGTGAGCCATCTGGCTGTGGACTTGAACGAGAACTCTGACTATGTGGTTTTGGTTTCCATGTACGAGGTCTACAACGATCGAATCTTTGACCTTTTGACTCCCTCCATTGTCCCTGGCCAGGGAAGTGCCATGTCCCGTGGAAACAACCAACAGAAAGATCGACGTCGTCCTTTGTTGTTCAAGCCTACAGAAGGATCACCTGACCGCAAACTTGTCGCGGGACTCAGAAAGATCGCCTGCAGCTCATACGAGGAAGCATTGGCTATTCTCGACGTTGGCCTGACCGAGCGAAAGGTTACCGGCACTGGGGCCAATAGTGTCAGCTCTCGAAGCCATGGTTTCTTCTGTCTCGAGGTCAAGAAAATGACACACGGCAAACGTTACGGGGAGGCCAACTGGGTTGGAAACACCCTCACAGTTGTCGACTTAGCTGGTAAGTGTAGGGTTACGAATGGAGTTGCCCATGATACTGACATGACTAGGCTCTGAACGAGCGAGAACCGCGAAGACTGCGGGCGCCACCCTCGCGGAGGCTGGTAAAATCAACGAGAGTCTGATGTACTTGGGGCAATGTCTTCAAATGCAGAGCAACTTGCAAGATGGAATCAAGGTATGCTCAAATCATTTCTTGAGCTCAGCAGCAATAGCTAAAAACCAACAGACTGCACTCGTCCCCTTCCGCCAGTGTAAATTGACGGAGCTTCTGTTCTCCAACTCTTTCCCTTCATCCAATCAAATGTCCCGAGGCCTTCACCCGCAGAAGGCTATCATGGTCGTGACAGCCGATCCTCTGGGTGACTTCAATGCCACCTCTCAGATCCTGCGCTATTCTGCATTGGCCCGCGAAGTGACCGTTCCTCGTGTTCCATCAGTCACCGAGTCTATCCTGTCCGCCGTCTCCGGCAAGGACAGATCCGCTAGTGGATGCACGTCGCCCAACTTTGCCCAGGCTGAAGAGTTGGAGCGTGCTGCTATGGAGATCACAAGACTCACTAAAGATTGCCACGGTCTGGCTGTGAGACTTGCTGAGGAAGAAATTATGCGATCTGAGGTGGAGATCAGGCTTTCGGTCGCTGAAGACCGATGCGTGATGATTGAACAAGAGGTCCGCGAAGAGTGTTGGGCTGAGATGGATGAGATGATGGAAGAGGAGCGGAAACGATGGCAAAAGGCCTGGGATGAACAGGTCACTACCTCACCTTGCCGCTTCTCTTTGTGTTTACTGACCATTTCTAGTCTGGCCGTAATGATGAACATATTGATAAGAAGATTGAGCTGGTCTCTCGAGGATTCAACAGTAAGTTCAAAGTGTTCCAGCTGTTTCTCCATGTATAACTAACCATTGTACCAGTCTTTGAAGATCCCGAGCCAACGTCCGACCAAAGAATGGAAGAGCTCGAACGCGAAAATGAGCAGCTGCGGCGTCGTCTTGCTACTCTCGAGCGCGAAATGAGTTCTCACTCACCAACCCGCAAGCCTCGATCGAAGAATCCTGCATCATCCAACCTCCTGGGTCGAGAGAGTGACATCGAGAATGCCTTGCAACGCATGAACCAGTTGAACCTCACGGACAGCATGTTCACACCTGCTTCGCCATCTTCCTCGCCTAGCAAGAACCCCAGGAAACTTCCGACGAGGAAGTTTGATCTGGCTCCCGAGAGCGAGATCTAAACATTTAATGCTTCTTTTATCATGACTTTTATGATACGTTTTGTTTCGTGCTTGCAAACTGATATACCATGGGCAAGGATACAAGGATAGTGGCTGAGGCGTTCTGTGTTCACATTTGATGATTCTGATTGATTGATATTTACATTCTTATTTTATTTTTTGGAGATAATTTCGCTTCGTCGCAGTTTGAATGACATCGGACTAATCACAAAAACGCTTTCTACCGATGTAGGCAGCTAGGGTAGCCAAGGTAGCCCTAGCCGTAGAGCCTAGGGATGGAAATCTGCTCATGAGCACATACGGCCTCGTCCCAATGAGGAAATATAAGAGGCTTCTTCCAGGAGTTCACCAGCCTGAGGCCTGCCCCAACCCCTACTATAAATGTCCGCCTCTCTTCCCTTCCTCCACTCTCTTCTTCTCATCTTCAGCCTTCTCACGTGGCTCCCCGACCATCGATTCACTTCAGCACACCTCTACTCTCCTGCGATCTCCCTTCGAACATCTTCAATTTTTGCGAATAAATCATACAATAGTCTACACCAGCTCGAGTTGCGAAAATGGGGACCGGTATAAGAAATGCATATTCACGAAGTGAATGTCTAACTCTGGGTCTATAAACGTGATCATGAGCTCTCCAACTGCACCTTGTAGTCTAGCACCGTCTGTTCAAAAGACTCGTCACGCTTCATGCCTAGTGAGATGGCTTGGGTATTATCAAACTGCGTGGGCCATGACTTGAGAATAGGTACCAAAGCAGGGTCTTCTTTCTCCTGGAGCAGAGCCAGCTTATCCTTACCAGCAACCTTCTCAAGCGCATCCATCATTCCCTGGACAGTTACACAGATACCAGGAACGTTAATCTGGCGGATATGCGGGGGAACAGAGTCTCCGGAGAGACGGAGAGTAACGAGAAGATTGTGAACAAGAGTCTTGGGCGAGCAAAGCCACGACTTGAACGAGCGGTCTTCAATGGGAATGACACACTCCTTGCCATCCAGAGGTTCGCGGATCATACCCGAGAGGAACGATGAAGCAGCGGCAGTGGGTGCACCCGGGCGGACCGAGATAGTTGGGAAGCGAAGAGTGAATCCAGTGATGAACTTGCGACGGGTATACTCGTTGACGAGAGTCTCACAGATGATCTTCTCGGCGCCGTACGAGGACTCGGGTGTCGGGATGACGCTATCGGTCACGACCTCGGGCAATGGTTGACCGTAGACAGCCTGGCTGGATGCGTAAATAACCCGCACTCCGGGGCAGGTGTGTCGTAGCGCCTCGAGCAGGTTGCGCGTAGCGTCAACGTTCACGCTCATGCCCAGATCGAAATTGGCCTCAGAGCCAGAGGACATGATACCGTGGAAGGCGTAGACGGCATCAAGGGAAGAGTCAACGACATCTCTGGCACTCGCAAGAAGATCGGCCTTCACTGCAGTTGCATTCTGGGGGTAACGAACGCCCTGGGGAATCGGAGGTTGGTGGATATCGGTCAAAGTAATGCGGTATTCTGAGTCATTTAAGAGCTCTTTGGCAAGTAGTTGGCCGATAAAACCGGCGGCACCGGTGATGAGAATGTGCATGATGATAGAAAATAATGAGTAGTTGGTTGAACAGGAATTGGCCCAGTCGTGGGTTTATGAGCGCATTGGAGCTTCCTTGGTCTCTCCGCATTCGCAACAAGTCCGAGGCGATCCGCTATCAACCCTCCGCACCGGACTTGGGCCGGTTGCTCTCCCCTGGTGGACCTAGATCTATTGCAATAGCCTCGCCCAACTAGTACAGCCCAGGGTTTCTGAAGTAGATTATGCGTAACATTTTTTATGTCAATGTCGGCGAACTGCCGATTTACCCTTGGAAGTTGTATTTTATGTAGGGATTCATGTCAGGAACAGGAACGGATTCTAGTCGACTGGCCCAGTAAGGGTAGAGGGTAGAAACCTAGCTAGAAAGAGACTAGCATTCAACAACAGATCCGAATTCACAAGGCAAGTCCACAGAGGCGGATTGTCAAGCGTGGAGCCCAGGGAATTGAGAGCACACCGCGAATCCACCCTCGGCCTCCCCCGACTTTTCCCCCACCAACGACTTCGCCCCTAACCTCCCCCGGAGCATCACCGAATTCCTTCATGGATGCGTCGACCCCACTCAAGCGCTCCTCGACGGAAGCTGGTCTGGACTCGCCCAAGGGCAATGCGGATTCAAAACCGGCGCCCAAGATCTCCAAGGCTCGCGCATGTGAGTGTTCACCTTCCCCACATCGGCGCATTGGCTGACCCTAGACAGGTGCCGAGTGCAAACGCCATAAGATTCGCTGCGAATTCCGATCCGGTGAAATCAATTGCACAAAATGTCTTCGCAGTGGTATCAAATGCGTCGTGAATGACTTTTCGCAAAAGTTTGTCGACGACGACGGAATGTACGCTTGCCGACCCCGCGCTCCGGGGAACACCCCGAACTGTCGCAAAGGACCATGAGCTAATTCAATTCCCGAATAGATGGAAGTCTCAGGCGACAGCCACGATGCAGCAATTGCAGACCGCGGTATCGCAACTATTGCAACAAGCAGGACTCCCTGACCTGTCAACCTACTCGGCCGGAGACAGTCGCAATGGACCCAGTCCGGCTGCCTCACACCATGGCCACCGAACATCCATTGATGCGTCGCATTCGCAAACCCATGCAACTCCTCATGAGGAACCAGGGGTAGTAATGGATGTCACTAGGGAACCATCTCCGGAACCCGATCTCCAAGACCCGGAATTGGTCCCGGCACCCATGCGCAGTCTATACGAGGTTACCAAGTTGCGCAATTTACGGAATAACCATATCGAGGCACCCAAGAAGACCCTACTGGAAGAAGACTTTATTACGAGGGGTCTCATCTCACTCCACGAGGCGGAAGAGCTCTTTGCTTACTTCAGTCGCACCATGAACCAGCTGCTTTGGGGCGGGATCATTCTAGTCCACCGAGATCTGACCTCGGTCCGTCGCGCATCAACCCTTCTATCTGCCGCGGTTTTGACTGTTGCGGCGCTTCACATTCCTAACCGCACCGATACATTGAATCGATGCTATAACGAGTATGTGTCGTTGGTGTCTAGTATGGCGCTTACGCGGGCCCACACCCTTGATGATATCCGTGGTCTCTGCGTTGGCGCGTTCTGGCTGTCAGAGCTGAGCTGGAAACTTTCTGGACACGCAGTGCGCATTGCGACAGAAATGGGCCTGCACCAAAGTTATCAGCGCTTGACTCGCGGCAATACAGATCAGTACGAGCGCGCACAGCTTTGGTACTTGCTGTATGTCTGTGATCATCACTTTAGTATAGCTTACGGGCGGCCACCTGTCATCCATGAGGACGTGGCTATCCGAAATTACGAGACATTTCTTGAATTTCCAATGGTGGTTCCGGGCGACATACGCCTGCTGGCCCAGGTTGCTTTGTTCATGATTTTGACCGAGGCGTATCGGACTTTTGGCAGCGATACTGAACAGCCAATGACCGAAGAGGACTTTGGTCAATTGAGGGTATATAATGTTGCTGTGGATCAGTGGCGGTTGCTCTGGCAGCCCCGATCCGGTAAGTCTCCTCTGACCGACACGAGGAACAAGAACCCTAAACAATTGCAGGCGACAGTTCGTACGTGCGAACTTATCCTTCCAAGGGAGTGGTGCTGCACTATCATTTTGCTAAATTCCAGCTGAACTCGCTCTCGCTCCGAGGTCTTTCACCGTCGAACACTCCCGTATTTTCAATGGATCGCAGGGAATCCGCCAATATCGCCATTTCATCTGCAATGGCCTGTCTAAATATGGTGCTCGAGGAACCCGACATCCGAGACGCGATCGTCGGGGTCCCCATTTTCACCCACACCATGGTGACCTTTTCCGCAGTGTTCCTGCTCAAGGTCGCGATAAACTGGAACTCGGCCTATTTAAGTATCAACGCGCGCCAAGTGCGGCGACTGGTTGAGCGCGTGATTGAGCTTATGAACTGTGTCTCTGCAGGAGAACGGCACTTGACACGGCACATTGCACGTGGGCTGGGCAAGATGCTCGAGCGATTCGACTCCTGGGAGACTGCATGGCAGGTCGGCACTAGCAATGGCGGCGCCGTGGAAGTGCCCGGGGGTGCGAATGCGATGGCACAGGGCTTCCCGCCCCCCGATCTGATCTACGACATGGTCGGGACGTATGGATTCGGACTCGACGAGAACCTGTTAGACCCCAGCATGGCCAATTTCGAATTCTTGGCACAGTAAGCCGGGGGGTGAAAGAAGCGCAGATGCAGACTCCAGCTGAAAGAACCCAGGAACCCAGGAACCCAGGGAGGTCAGAGCGGGAAATAAGGAATGTTCATGTTCATAAATCGTAAGATAGTCCTCAGTAAGAAGGGGAGGCACGCACTTCCCGCACACATGGCCACGCACCCCGTCTCCACAAAATGGTAGTGTAAGCTATCACCCCCAATGTCGTCACCCTCCGCGTTCCCCTCTCCCTTGGTTCCCCCTTTGGAGCTCCGGAACCCTGGAACCCTATCCTTTTATCCAGGCTGGGATTTCATCCTCCGGTCTTACACTGACACTTACACTTACACTTACACTTACCCCTTCTTCCTCTTCCCGCTTCCCTCTTCCCTCTCCCTCCGCACCTCTACTACCCGAATTGATTTAAATACCTCATACATAATCCATCATGTCCACTCGCAAGAGAAAGCAAGACGCCGAGGAGGAGCTCCAGGCTCTCCCTAGCGACGACAGCGAAGAAGAAGAAGAGTAAGCTCGCCCAGTTCCCCTCTACCCCAAGGACTCGACTCAATTAGCCCGGCGCGCACCTGCCGAGGTTTGCGCCGGCTCCTTCGCTTCACTTTGCTTACCCCCGGATGGTCGCGCATTGATCGCATCATCCTACGCCTTCAATCCCACGCAAAAAGCATCCCCTACCGTGGAGAAAAACCTGCTAATTTGACCGCGCATTATTTAGATACGACGACTCCGAGCCTGAACTCTCAGATGTGAGCGACGAGGGCGAAGAAGAGGAGGGTGACGAGGATGACGAAGACGAGGAAGAAGAGGAAGAAGTCGAAGAAGGTGCGTTTCTTCCATCAATGTGCATTGAAACGTTTATTGACTGTTTTATACTCCAGCCCCTCCCAAGGCCAAGAAGCAAAAGACCGCCCCTGTCGCCGATGAGGAGGAGGAGGCTAAGGAGAAGGAGAACGGCGCTAATGGCGACGATGTTGAAGAGGACGAGGAAGATGCTGAAGATACGACTGAGACTAGCGGTCCTGCGGCGGCTGCGGCTAAGGCCAAGGGAGGTGATGTTCCTAAGGAATCGGATCTCCCTGAGGTTGATGCTGCGGATGAGGAGTAAAGTCGAGACCATTTGGCTCATGTTGAAACCCATTCTGGAACGAGATGGCTGTATGATTCCGTCTAGTCTTCGTCTCTGATACACATGGTTTAGTCAGAGTTATGGAGGTACAATTAGGACTTAGACCTGGCTAGTTCTCTTACTTTCACGGTTCCAATTTGTAGACTTGTAACGCGCCCTCCCAGTGTAGCTATGTTCTCTTGAGCAGGCCCATTTGAATCTTTTTATGAGGTCTATGTTTGCTTTCTAGGGCATTTGGGGTCTACATCCAACGTCGATATCCACTTGGGCACTTAGGGCTTTTTCTAAGTCGCGTTGAGACTTTGCCTATTCTTGTCATGTGATGGCATCGTACCCTTACAACCACTGTCACTTCCCCGTTTACGACAATAAAAGCATTGAAACAAACTGATAACACCTAGTATATACCTTCTAGCCTATGTTACTAATAGTAACAATTTGAGTAACAAGAAAATTATAGAGATGATAAGTCTCATCAATCGGAAATGGTCATTAGCTCTGTCGGCATCGCTCTACCTCGCAATCCAGGCAGACTGCCACATCCAGCTTCCTAGACCTGGACTCAAGTATCACTGCCGCTGCTGCGGAAGGTAGCACAGAGTTGGCAGTATTGATGTGTGAGATCCAGAACAGCTTGGGGCAGGTTGGTCGCCTGGACGATACTCCGCACCTTGACAGCACCCTCGTCCTCGATCAGCTTGCGCACCAGGTACAAGAGTTCGGGAGAGAACTTGAGACAATTAGTATTGCAGATCATCTATTTGGGTGTTCGATTCTTACCTCGGAGTACCAGCGATACTGCCATGCGATCAGACGAATCAATGCGCCCAGCATACCTCGTGTGTCGTTCCTCTTCTCATACAGCTTCAAAACTCCGCGCATAGCCTTGGGTGAGAAGCGAATTGACAAGCAATTCTGATATGCTTCGATACCCTCGTCGAAGTGACCCAAACGCTCTGCGAGCTCGCCGAGAATCTCCCACTCACTGGCAGACTTCTTGTATTCCATGGCTTGCTGGCGGAACTGGGCCATTTCAGTGCGCCAAATCGTGTAGATACGGAGGTCCTCGTAGAGTACCATGAAAAGGTTGTCCAGCCAGCGCTCACACAGGCGCTTATTCCGGAACTGCGTGTATGCAGTATGGTTCGGGTCGGGCTTTTTGAATAGTCAATAAATCAGTCATGGCATGACTATAACAGGAGCAACTTACGACATCGCTACCCGATTTCACAACTTCGGAGGCCATTGTTTGCTCAGGGCGCTCGATGGAGTTCTCTGCATTAGCTTCGTCACCGGCACCGTTGGCAGCAGGCTCGGAGGCCGCTGCGGGCGCGGGGCCTGTGACAGAGCCGGTGTCTTCCTCGTCTTCGTCTTCATCTTCGTCCTCGACTCCATCTCCATTGATTTCCGCCCCGAGCGACTGCGCGGGCTTAGGAACATGCTGGCGCTCGACGCGGTACTCCTCTTCCATGACAAAAACCTCGCTACGGACCTTCAGAAGCTGGTCCCAGCCGATGGCTCCAGCAATCTTTGCTAGCAAGTTGTAAGCTTTCAAAAATGTGCCTTGGTAGCTGGCGGCGTGCAGCTTTCGTAAAGAAGGGTGAACATAGTCGTGAGGGTCTCCCTGCTTAGGCTGACCCTCATCGATTTCATCGAGTATGCTTTCCGAGAGGATAGGAAGCATGATGCGAGAGGGTTGCGGCATGCGCGGGGTATCCTTGTCCTGGTATGTGAACATGGGGCAGGAGTTGAGGGTCAGAAGCGCAAGGTCCCATTGCTCCATGCCAACATATACCTCCGCCAACCGAGCCCAGGTACTGAACTCGCTAGGAGCTGCGGTCACGGCCCGTTTGGCACACTCAAGTGCCATCTCGCCCTCGCCCTTGTCCTTACAGAAGGCCGCTTGGCAATCAAGCAGAGCGTAGTCCATTGGAACATCCTGCAAGGCATCATACAGCAATCGCACCGCCTGTACCTCCTCATCGGCCATCAATTGTACCCGAGCCAGCAGGGAGGATACTTCCACATCGCGTGTGCGCAGTTTTTCGAACAAGTTGATACCAGAAGTATAACGGCCGGTTGTGTAGATGTATTTCAGGATACCTGATGTCAGGTGGTTGCTAACGGTGTTGGGGACTTGTGTTTCCGGGTCTGAGCTGAGCTGGCGTCCTGGGGAATTGTTAGAAATGAAACCGAAACCAAGTAGAGGGCGACAAGATGAGACATACCGAGGAAGAAGAGCTTCTCCGCAGCATCCAAGAACTTGTGCTCCATTTCTGTGTTGGTGACCGGGTTGAAGCGTCGGACTCCGACGATCTTCTTGATTGAATCTCCGCTTCCATCATCGGCGTACAAGTAGGCTCTTAAGACGGCGCACAAGAAAGTTTCCAGCCAGAGCGCCTCGGTTGCCACGCGTTTGTCACCGCGCTCGTCAATGCAGTAGCTTTCCAAGCTTCCGGGGATCTTGACTTCAACTCGCATGTCCAGGTGGGAGAAAGCATTATAGCAGCTGCACGGTCGTCAGTGAGAGAATTGCAGAGCATCTTAACTTTCTAATCCTTACCAGTAGATTCCTGATACCACTTTGTGTGTCTTATCGAGGGGAGAGAAAGTGAGGGTGTTAACGTATGCGGCTAGGCTGGCGGATGAGGAGGCATCGATTCCGGTAACATGGTGGTACACACCGGTCTGCAAGGAGAGTTTTCAATCATTAATTGCAAGCGCGCACCAAGATTGAGGGGGACATATTGGCGTACCTGACGGGTTGAATTGGCCTTGGGTTGTTTCACCAAATATACCAGGTCCGGGGGGCCCAATTCCCGCAAGCTTTGCAGCGACTCTGTTCGCGCATCGACTGCAACGAAGATATCCTCCTCCTCATGAATCCTATATAAATCCTCGAATGTCAATCCATGTCTCTTGTCAGTTGCGCAATTGTAGACACCGCTGTAAACGGGCAATGGACATGCGCATGCACTTCCGGGGAACACGTAAACCGGGGGGTTCAGGAGCACACATACTCAGGAACAGCTGGCGCAACCATGGCGCCTGCACACGCAGAAGGAGATCAACAGTTAAAGGATCTGAAATTTGATAAAGTATCAGTCAAACTCGGCGTGGTGCTTTTATTGCTCTGAAGTTGGCGAGGGGGAAGTTGTTGTCGACAACTATTTGCCTGAAAGAGCGTCAGGCGACGAGGCGACAAGGCGGAGAGCGTCTTTGCCCGTTCGGGCCAACGCGCGGACCGCGATTTAGAGCTGCGTCTTTCGTGTTCCTTTAATCTACTTTCCCTATTTGCTGTCTTTGAGGGCTTCCTGCAATGCCGGAGGCCTTATTTATTTTCATCATCGATCCTTGAGAACGCCGTGCGCGTAGGTTGCATCATGGCGAGCTGGGTTGCTCTGAACGTGGAGCCCGACGACGCCGTCGAGGAGGAGGTTGACGATACCAAGGAGCTGCAGATCGAAGAGGCTCTGAAGCTATATCAAAGTGCTCTTAAACTTCATGCACAAGGCCCTGACTTTTACCCCCAAGCTGCGGAAGCCTATGAAGCTCTTCTCGGCTCGGAGATCTTTAAATACCCTGAATCCATCTCGGACTTCAAACAGGCAACGCAGCCAGATGCGCATAGCGCTGGACCTGTCGACGAACCCCCCAGCGAATCGATCGCATTTAACGTCAACGATTCCACATCCAGTCTTTTCCAGACGCTTTATCTATCGTACAAGAACCATGGCAAATACCTCCTCGACTCCCTCGAAAGCACTTTACGGAATGCGGGCCAGGACAATCCACAGGATACAGCACAAAAGACAGCCAAGGCAACCAAGGAAGCTTTAGGATCATTTGCGGATGCCCTTGAGCGGGATGATACGGATCTCAATCTGTGGAGACAAGGCGCACGGCTCAGCAGTGCATTGAAAAGCTACCGCCTGAATCGCTTCTGCTTGGAGAGTGTGCTGGCAGATGACGATAATCGTCTCGAGATACGATCAGAACAACTTGGTATCGAGGAAATCTTTTCAGAGGAGCGCCTAAGAAACACCCTCACGTCGCTTTTCGATGGACTTTCTGCATTCCAAATCCCCGTCAAGAAACCTAAGAAGGCTCTCGTGAAATATCTCAAGCAACACGAAGACTCATATCCCTACCTACCCAATCTCCCAGCTGACCTGGAATCGCTTGATCCGACCAAGGGCCCCCTTGCTCTCTCTGCCTCTCGACAGGAGATAACTCCGTCCAATTCGACATGGGAGGCAGTTGGAAAAGCTATTCGTCAAGCACTTGATGATGAGGATGAAGCCTCGCTGGCTGCCGCTCCAATTCAGTCTATTCATATAACCTTACCGCGGAGTGGATCGGAAGCGGCCGAATCCATAGAAATGGATGACGCAGAAAAAGCACCTGAACTTGATAGTGGCGAACCTGAAGTCAAGGTTGAAGATGTGGACATGATGCAAGAAAATCAGCCAGCCACGGAGCCCGACAAACTCGCCGAGGAGAGCACTGAACAGCCACCAGAGGCGCCCGAAGAGCAATCCTTTATTGATCAGAGCGCGGAGAAGCAGCTCAGGGAGTCATTGGAGGGGCTCTCCTCCGTGCAGCCTCCCGAAACTCAAGCTGTTGAAGACGATGGCGATGCCGAAGAAAATGAACCCAAGTCTCCGTCCGGAACTCGTAAAAGATCATCGGTATCAGCTGCAAATGACGAGCATCTAGAGGGAGGCAGAATGAAAAGTCGGCGAACGCGAGCGCGTGAGTCAAACGCGGATGCACTGGTCGTTCCGGAAGAGATTGCTTTTGATCAAGAAAAATACTACGAAAGTCGTTTGGAGATCTTCGTCAATGCAGATGACTGGATGTTCAACACGGTCAGCCCTCTATATTCCAAAGTTGGCATCGAAGCACTGGGAAGCGTTCAAGATCTAAGAGACAAGACAGCAGCTGCGATCGATAGCGATGAAACCCCTCAGGAGCCCGAATCTAGACTACTCCATGACCTACGTGGAATCCTCAAGGGCTGGAATGATGCCAAGTCACGTTTGATGCAGCAAAAAGACGACCTCTCATCTTTGAAGGATATTCGGGGCACCAGCAAATCTGGCCTGGCTGTTTTCCTTGAGCATTCAAGAATATCGACTCGCAAGCAGCTACTTCACGACGAATTGTCGTCTGGAGAGCAATTGAATGCCTTTTCAGACTCAGTCAATAACGAGTGGTTACATCCGCACGAGACTTCGTTTGAATGGCTTAAGCGCCTACTTATGCCGGAATTTGGAGAACTTGCCTCGGAGTGGCCGGTCATGAAGTCGACGTACGAGTGTTTCATATGGCCCAGTGGACTCAAGGAAACTATCTTGGATCTCTTGATTCGAGAGGACGAATTTATCTATTCCCGGCTGGACGAGCTTGTTGCAGATCTTGAACGTCGCGTTCTGGAGTCGAATGATGAAGCACCTTTCCATTACAATACCAGCGATTTCTTCGAGCTGGAAATGATCCAGTCCATATATGAGCTTCACCTGGACATATTCGCCTCCGTTGAAAATCTAAGCAGCGATATTAGCCAAGAGAAAAGAATAGCACAATGTGATCGCTTGGCCAGATGGGGAATGCTCGCCAAGTCTTCTCTGGATCATTTCATTGATCACTGCCCGTCCGATGAATGCCGACAAAACATTGCTCTTCGCCATCTATGGACATCAACGTTCCATGTCAACCTTGCTGGCGAGTCTCAGCGCGAGCACATTTTGCTTTGTCTTCAAGACCTAAAGCTCATTTTGCAATCGATCGGCGACCCAATAATTAACCTGGTGAACAATTCCGCCATGTTGGAAATTTCTGCAGCTACCATCGATCAAGAAGTGCTGAAGCTCAAATGCATGGATTTCTTTGCCAAGGTTTTTAATCCTGAATCCGAAGATCCAGTATCGTTGATTGAAGCGATTGAGCCTATCCTTGAACCCTCGTGCATTGAATATGCGGAAGGGTCATCGGAGCAAAATGACCTGAATGCCCCATCCTCACATCTTAGCGAGATGGCTTCCTTCCTTGACCGAGGAGACGCCACCCTACGCTTGTTCCTTTGGCGGAGACTACAAGAAGCATACCAAGCCATCGACTATCCTCCCAAGGTTGTGTCTTGCTATCTACGAAGTATCGAAACCATAATGACAGAACTTGAAGACGCAAAGCATATGGAGGAAAGTGACGGACAGCGGCAGCTTTCCTTACTGGGTTGGCTTAAGTCACTCGATGGAATCTTGGCAAAGGCTATTCCCCTCATTCTACAACAGGCAGAACAGGCCTATGAGTGCGTGGACATGGAACATCTGCAAGCTTCTATGTCGGCATTAGCTCGACTGGTGAGGCTGCTCCATAGCTTCATCTTGTATGAAGACTCAGTGCGGGTAGGCCAAATCTCCGGGCGTGAGTTCCGTGGAACTCTGGCCAAGTCGTTGGAGAATTTCAAGGAAAGAATGCGGGAATTATACGTCCGCTGCTGGATTCTTCAGTACACCCTTTTTGTCGAAGCGATATCTCAGAACAAGGATCTCTTCGATGAACCGTTAGAAGATCGCATTCAGCTCCTTCGATGTGTGCACAATGCGCTTGGCATTCGTTCCATGTGCAGGTACTCGCAGAAGCGTTTCTTAAAGCTCATGAAATCCGAGCTGTTAGATCTGGAAACCCAAGGAGACTATGAATTCGACGTCTGCCAAGTACTTTTCGATCTCCATGGTATCAAGTTCTCGCCATTTGATGGGACTGCGGATCATGGTTGTTCTCCTGAGAAACTGGATCGCCCCACAGCCATTATGATGATCGATTTTGTGATGAGGCAGGCACAGAAGATGAATATGAAGGACCTGTCAAAGTCCGAATTGAAGACAACTATTGAGAAGATGCAGCAAGCGATTGGCCCCGCAAAGCTTCCATCACAATCACCGCAGATGAGCTTCAATCGTCGTGTGTTTAATGCATACATCAAGGCTCCGGTTAACCCCTCAAATCTCCTTCGCGCCGTTCAGGGAGTAACAGACCTTTCCATGATGACAGTGCCTGGAGAAAACGCAAAGATTGCGGCGAAGGGCTGGTATTTCCTCCTCGGTCATGCTACGCTCACCAAATTCAAGTCTCAAAAACGGCTTGGTCCAGGATCAACCTCGGAACTTGATGATGCCGTCAATTTCTTCCGACAGGATCTTGACCATGGAACTGGAAGATGGGAAACTTGGTATCGGCTCGCGCAGGCATATGATGCCAAGTTGGAAGAGGACATTACCTGGGCTGCAGACAAGATCAACAACAATCGCAGTGACTTGGCAACCATTCAGCGATATGCAATTCATTGTTATGCAATGGCGGTTTCCACGGCCATCAGAACTGCCGAGCCAACGACAGAAAGTCGGTCGCTTTTATCGGATCTGTACACCGACTTCGGCATTCGCATGTACTCGTCTTCTCGGGAACCACTTTCAATGGGTGCGTTTGGCCTCGTCGATTTCTCGCGGCACTTCAGCAACGCCGAGAGCCAGCAGATGTACAAAAGCCAACCATTCAAAGAGATGTCTCTATACTCGGTCTGGAACTTTTCCAGCAATCTCCTCCGCAGGGCGGTCTCCGACAAACCTAACCGCTGGATGTCAGTTTCCCCTATCGAGGTGTCTTTAAATTTTGACTTGCTAACAATCAAACAGAACGCAGTACTTCCTTAGCAAATGTCTATGGAAGATGTACAATTCCGACGACTCGAAACGGACGACTTCAAAGCGCGTCGAAATGCAAGATGTGATTGACGCTCTTCTTGATTCGATCGCAGCCCTTCCCCAACGAAAAGACTCCCGCTCTGACCCGATCTTCGAGCCTCATTTCAAGCTTTTGTCTGTGATTCACAAACTAGTCGTAAGCGGAAAGATGACTGTGAGTGTAATGATTACATGCTATAATTTCTTCAAACTAACATCGAACTAGCCCCTTGAGGGAGCCAACGTCCTTTTGGCGACTCCGTGGGCTCGCAAGGTGGATGCTCCTGATAGTATCCAAGGATGGAAAACGTATATCCTTGAGGTCATCAAGAAGTTCAAGAGCGGTGACAAGTCAAATTGGCATCATCGGATGAGCGCTAAGGTACGGCGATCAGTAACTCCATCCCAAACGAAGTTGCCTACTAACTTTCCCAGGCCGCACATGTCATTTATGATGATCAGAAGGATGCGCCAGCCGCTGTCGCCGCGAAACAAGAGCTGTCTCAGATCTTTACCAAGACTCTCACCATCCAAGTCTGGCGTCCTGAATACGAACGCCCCGGGAGGCACTTTGTCTACACAAGTCGCTATGTGTATTTCTTCGTCGGTCTCCTCGACGAACTCGACGATCGTACAAGTCTGGATCAATTGCTTCGACGCGTGAGAAAGAAACAAGGCGATTTCATCAACCACACCAAGTTGTGGGAGGATATTTGTTTAACTTACGCCAAGATGATTCGCAGAGCCGCGCACATCAAAGAGGGACACGAGGAAGGTGTCTTCAAGCCTATTGGCTGGGAAGAATTTTCCACCAAGACAGCTCGACTCGAGAGCCTGACTCAACTGGTGGCAGAAAGTCAGCCCCTGCTCGAGCTGATTCGTGATTCTCTGGAGCTGAAGAAGCTCAACAACAACTTGATGAAAGTTACAATGTTTGAAGATCTCGTTGCGGATCTGTATGCACGGATTTACGAACTCAATATGCCTCAACTCACCGAGCAGGTCAACGATGAAAATAAAGAAAAGATGAAGGTCGATCATCTCCTCATGGGAGGTGATGCCACCACTGAGGCCTCGACCCCGGCAAGCTCTGCCCCAGCTGCGGATACTCCGGCTCCCCGCGGGCGTACTAAGGGTATTGCCCGTCGAGACATCCAGAAACGAGCTGATACAATTGTCAATCTCAAGCTGGGACCTCGTACCACGGCCAAATTCGCCACTGCAACAGAGCCTGACCAGCCCACACCACGAAGACCTAGCACGACCGCTACATCAGGACCCACTTCTGCTCCTCAAGAGCCAGGGACACAAGCATCAGCCACAGAGAACAATGATGCTACACGGCAAAGCGACCCCAACGACGCACAAGACAGTGATGATGAAGGTGAGGATGGGTCCAAGCCGAAGGATTCTTCAGAAGGAAAGCCAATGTTCCCAAACTTACACAAGAACGTCTCAGAAACTGGCGACGCCGAGGATGACGGTGCTGGTAGCGGTGACGAAGGTGGTGATGAGGCCGAAGGAGAAGAGGGAGACGAAGAAGGAGACGAAGACGAAGACGGCAATGACAATGGCGAAGGCGAAGGCGCCAACGAGGTTGAGACTGGTGGCGAGGAAGCACAAGAAGACGATGATGGCGGTGACGATGAAATGCAAGACGACGATGGTGAGAACAATGATGATACAGAACATCCGGGTCCTGCCGATGAGCCTGGGGCGCCTAAACACGAGTATTCTAAGAAGCCGGACGCCATGGATGTTACGCCTGCATGAGTGAAACTGACATACATCGGCCTGCCATGCGGGTGAAAGACGTCCTTCTTGAGGATTCCCATTAATATAATTTTTCTTGGTGAAGCGACCGGCATGGGGAGGGCATTTGCTATTAATTCGCGATCATGGCGTTCATGGAGTATGCTTGGGCTTCCATACACATTGATACCAGATATTACTTTCCGCGACGTGCATGTACCATAGACCTTGCTGGATATGGCTATTATCATGGTCATCTTATTTCAACCTATATCAGACCACCCGCCTATACCAACGGCCGCACAGGAGAGATGTCATTCAAAAAGTCAGGAGGCAGTACGTTAGAGAAGGCTAAAGTCCACCCAGTCACAAAATCATAGCTGCGATAGTCTTGTACTTGCTCTCGAGAAAGATACCAGCCGGCATATCCCAATCTAAGATGGCAGTAATACGACATTCTTCGTCCACGAGATTGTCCTTTAGTGCCAGGTCCCCATACACAAACACCAACTCATTGTCATCTTGCCGGGCGAATGAAGCATGATGACGAATAGATTCCGATAATAGATTCCGATAATGTCCCAGATGTTCGTGAACAGAATGGCTGATTGTAATGTGACCTCATTATCGGGGATGAGAGTGAAATGGCAATCAACAGATTTTATTGATATCCCGCGTACTTGGATGATGCTTTATCCTAGATGCAACATGAAGAAGCTCGTCACCAAGCTGAGGGGGAAACTTTTGGAACACGCAACGTCGACAAGAGAAAGAGTAGAATATGTATATGAATATCTGAAATGACTTGAAAAGGTTCTAAACGCTTCCTCGCTATAAGCAACCCATTGAGAAACATTCGAACAAATAGGAAATTCTACTTCCAAACCTGGGATTCACTTAGCACGCATCCGGGTATTATCATCTCAAAAAGTCTCCCAAACCTGTCCGTCAATTGCAATCAACCGATTGAAGAGTTGATTCCTCGTTCCCATCGCTGTCAGTTGGTAGGTTTGGTGTGGCTCCTTGCCCTGGATGAGCAAACCATCCACCACTTCCTTACTCCCAATAGCCCAGCCGACGACCAACTTTCCTTTCCACCCCATTCCACCCTGTTTCTTCATTTCCAGAATGTCGCTGACTGGAATCGTAAAGTAGACGGTGCCTTTTTTCCGTTTCTCCACTTCAAAGTCACCGAATTGAGGTATATCGGTCGTGAAGTACAGTATCGGTGAATCTTTAGATGAGTCGATTACAACAGCACCACGCTTACCCTTATGTCGGGCATTGAACTCGGCAGGTCCAACCGGTGAACTCTCTTTGCCTTTGGGACGCAGCACTCCAACACGGTTCCTGGCATGACGAGACCCAATCGCTGCTCGCATGCGATCAATACCTCGCTTGCTCTCGACCCCTGTTGCAGTAGTACCCCGGAAGAAGCCGAGTATTCTGGTTGCCATGGTCTTTTCGTGGTGGGGTTCTTCTTCCTTCAACCCATTATGGACCTCGGGCGAGGCAGCCAGTTCGATTTCTGATCGAGAAGCACCGAGTGTCAGCTCCTCGTGATGTAGAGAGGCAGGTCGTGATGAAGCTTTCTCCAGTGAGCTGGGAGGGGGCGGCAGCGGTGACATGTTTGCTTCACCGATACGCAAGAGAGTTAGCGCCAATTGAGAATTGGTCGGAATGCCTTTAAGTAGAGAGCTGTAGACATGTTAGCGAGTATTGATGCATGGGGCAACTTTTCAATTTACTTTTGTAGCTCCAGAAGTCGCTCCCAGTGGGGATAATTGCTGTTCAAGTAGGCGATTCCGCGCCAGATGATAGGATCACCGAAGAAAACGAAGCCAGTGACTAGTCCCATGGTTTTCATCAAGAAATAGCTTGATACCAAGGTCGATAGAAGACATGTCGGAGCTAGAACAGCCACTAGGCGCAAGCGAGGGGAAAGTTGAGGGAATGGCGACGTAGGGGATAACGCGCTGAGAAAGTCAATATAAATCAAGTTTTTTCAAAACTTTTGTCAAGCACTTACTTTCCAAACTTCTCAAATGTATCTGTAATATCGCTCACAACATCCATGGCCATGTTTGCTCCATCCAGGACGGCTTGCTTCATAGGCTGTCGAGTCTTGTCGTGCGACTCAGAAGGAATCTCTCCCTGTGCTGCACTTTGTGCATCTGCAGTGTTAGATACGATATCCATAGCATCCGGTACAGAGTCTTCTAGAGGTGCACCCTCGGGGACACCCTGATCATGCTTTCCGACTGCACTTCCGACGGCCACGCTTGCAACACTTGCAACCAAGTTGCTAGCTTCCTTTTCGGCAGCTTCGCCCTTGTACTTTTCGGGAGCACCGGTGATACTGTCGTGTGAGCCAAGAACTCCCGCCTTTGGCTTTTGAACACCTCCAGTATCTTTATCAACGAGAGCGATTGGCGCTGGCGGGAACATGATCGGTCGACACGGCGGGTATATGACCAGAGAAATGAGAGCCGCGAAGAAGGCAGGAGCAAGGAAGTCGAGAACCCACGCAAGAGAGTATACCTATTCCACAGATCCGTTAGTTCATTGATTTGCGTGGATTGTGAAGCTCAGCTTACCACGCAAAAGATCGCTGTCCGCCGAGGCTCCTTCCAGGATCGGAGACGAGCGACATGTTTGATAAAGCTCGTCAAAGTAACAACAACCGTAATGTAGAATCTCTCCATGGTAGCACGAAGCTTGTCTGGCGAAAACTCATCATCATCGGATCGAGTTAAATCGAGGTTCTGCAACGGAGCATTTGGCACTGCTTTGACATTGTAGACTTGCTAGACGCAGTCAGCTTGAGGCCCGCGATTACTGAAATCTTTGTTTAAACCTACCTGATCAAATCGTCTGATAAGCATCCAAAGGTCTTCGTTTGAGATTCCTGCTATAATAGGTTCCACGATATGGTTGGTAGGCGTGGTCCATCCGACATCAGTCACTTCGGCTGTGTCGCCAGCTTGTTGCGATAGTCCCTTTTCATCTTGCTCGACCTGAGCCAGAACATGACTGTCCGTGGGTCCCTCGGGGGTCGGAGGTGCCTCATTTATTTTGTCATTGCAAGTTGGGGCCAAAAAAACGGCCGATTCGTCTTTTTCGTCCATGTTGAAAAGTTGAAGAGGAGAGAGAGACAAACTCTGGCTCCTCAAGGGGTTTGCGAGTAGAAAACCGGTTGCCACTCCTCTTCCATGGAAGTAGGAAACTTCCTTGTACTCCAGGTCCGGATTGTCGACGTCATCCTTTACTCCGCAGTGAACTTTGAACTATACTGGCGTTGACACAGTTATGCAATTTTCCTAAATTATGCCGAGCAGATGTCTTCCTTCGCACTTTGAGTTCGCTCTAAGTAGTCAATTGCATCTGATCCCGACTATGTGACGTCCTTCGTAGAATGGAACATTCATCGACAAGTCACGTGCCAGTCGCGTTCCCAAAGAGGAAATCTACGTCGCGTCCCTCGTTTGACTGTCAACGGTAGACTTCACCTTTCCCCTGCAGCCAGATGGCTGCGAGGAAACTATGAGCGAAGAATGTGCAAATCCCCTACTACTGGGGTGGATTAAGGAATGGCTGGACCAGGCCCGCGAGCGGAATAGCAAGGGCGTCACAGTGTGAGTATCCACCGTGTACCTCGCCGAATCAAGCGGATTCTGATATTTATCTCAGTTACAAAAAGGCATATGAGTCGATGAAAGCATGTCCACTGCCATTCGAACATCCGTCTCAGGCCCAGCAGCTGAATGGCTTGGGGCCTAAACTGTGTGATCGCCTGACGGACAAACTCAAGGCCCACTGTCAAGAGAATGGACTTCCTATGCCGGAGCCCCCGGGTCAGGGTATGTCATACTGATACCAGTCAAATGCTCTCATTTTGGCTGATAAAGTCTTCCAGGCAACAAAAGAGCATCTGAGACAGGTGTTGCAGACCAGCCCGCCAAGAAGCCTCGCAAAGGAAAACCCTATGTGCCAGCTCTACGTTCTGGCCCGTATGCGCTCCTATTGGGCTTGGCTACACTGGGAGAAAACTCACACCAGAGCATGACCAAAGCCCATTTGATCGAAGTGGCGCAGCCTTACTGCGACAGTTCGTTCACAGCACCCACAGACCCTACCAAATTCTACACGGCGTGGAATTCGATGAAAACCTTGATTCAAAAAGACTTGGTTTATGAACATGGTCGTCCACTCAGGAAATACGCTCTGTCCGAGGATGGCTGGGAAGTCGCCAAACGGATTCAGAAGACTCTCCCCGGGTCCTCTGATAACATGATGGCCTTTGTTGGCAGCGATTCCCGATCGGCCCCAAATGCCGGCCCCTCGACTCGAGTAAACGGAGAAGATGCCGATGATTTGACACTGGATGACAATCCGCTGAGTCGATTTGCCAACACCGAAGGCCCTACGGAACCCGTCATTCTTCCTCCGAACAGTTTCACGGTCGAATTAGTACTGGATACCCGAGAAGTGCGCACTTCGACAGACAGAGACTACATCGCCAATGAGCTCATGAAACAGGATATTACTCCTCAAGTACGTGCTCTAGAATTGGGTGACGCAATGTGGGTAGCCAAGTGCCGAGATCCCGCATTTCTGACACGCTACGGCGAGGAAGGCGATGAGGTGATGCTGGACTGGATTATTGAACGAAAGCGACTCGACGACCTCATCGGGTCTATCAAAGATGGACGGTTCCACGAACAAAAGTTCCGTCTCCGCCGATCGGGCATCAAAAACGTCATCTATCTGGTCGAGGAATTTACAGTCACGCACCCCGATGCTGGAAATGGGAGCGCGCTTAAGTACCAAGAGATGGTTGCCTCGGCTATAGCCTCGACTCAGGTGGTCAATGGTTATTTCATGAAGAAAACGAAGAATCTGGATGACTCCATCCGGTATCTGGCGCGCATGACCCTCCTTCTAAGGAGAATGTACGGAGCACTTGACTATTCCGTTGAAGATCAACCGGCCAATCCATCAAAGGCTGCCTTCATTCCCAGTCGGTGCCTCTCCTCTACACAATCTTACCTCACTCTCCTGGACGAACTTCGTGCGAAAGATTCTTCTCTCACCTACGGCGTCACACTCTCCACATTTTCTGCCCTCACCTCCAAATCGGATGTCCTCTCTCTGCGCGATATCTTTTTAAAGATGCTCATGTGCACACGTGGAATCACTGGCGAGAAAGCACTCGAGATTCAGCGCCGATGGAAGACGCCTCGAGAACTAGTCGAGGCATACATGGCCTTGGAGCCCAAAACCCGGGAAACACTGGTCTCGGACAAATTACAGTCCCTTGTTGGACGAAAGAAGGTTCAAAAAGCCCTTAGTAAAAAGGTCGCAGAAATTTGGGGAGAAGGAAGTTAATCGAATAGTTACATTAAAATCAGTCAACACAACAATGAAGGTCGATTCATGGATATCTTGGGGGGGAGAAACAAAAACAGAAACAAAAACAGAAACAAAAACAAACGCTTAAATGATGCGTAGCTCTTTATATTCTCCAAGTCAGTTCTTCTTCTTCTTGAAGACCCTCTTGATACTCTCCATGTCCACCCTCAGCGCGAGACTGCTCGTAACAACGGAGATACTGCTCAACGCCATCGCCAGAGCAGCCCAAACAGGACTGAGCCTCCAATGCTCATCAAGCATGACAGTTTCATGGCCGACAGTCTTCTCATGGTGACCACTAACAATGGGATAGAAAACACCAGCAGCAATTGGAACAAGACAGAAATTGTAGATAACTGCCCAGACGAAGTTCATTCGCACACGGTTGAATACACGACGACTGAGGAGAACCAGTTGCAGAATCGTGCTCAGATCCGAATTGAGAAGAATAAAGCTGGCGGAGTTGATGGCCACGTCAGAGCCAGATGCCATTGCGATGCTAACATCTGCGGCGGCCAGAGCGGGTGAATCATTGACGCCGTCGCCGACGAAAGCGACAATTGGGCGAGTCTTGCTCCGGGGTGGCGAGCCCATACCTGTGGATGATGCCTTCACTGAGCCGTCTTGGACTCGGCGCACGAAGCTGGCTTTCTCTGCGGGTAGGACGTTGGCCATCACGTTGGAACGTGGAATACCCAGCATGTGGGCCACGGCATGGGCAGTTGTCTGGTTGTCGCCGGTGCACATAAATACCTCGACTTGACGCTTGTTGAGATTGGAAATGATCTCGACTGCTTCGGGTCGAATAGTATCTGAAGTTGCGAAGATAATTGCAGGAACGAATACCGTAGGCTTGGACTGGGAATCGAGACGTCGAAGGGAGAGAATAGCTGTGGATTTGCCCGCTGACTGGAACTTCGACAGCAAGTTCGAGACGAAATATGTGTCGGCTTCAGAAGATAGGATGCTGCGAAGCAGGCGCTCGTTACCAATCGCAGCCTCGTACTGTTCCTTCTGCTCGGCTTTATCGGTAGACATAGTGAATGTTCCTTTCATGCCCTGTCCAGAGATCTCTTGGATATCAGAGGATGCGACAGCAGCTCCCGGTTGAGATGCGCAGAAGGCAGAGATGGCCTGGGCTATCGGATGATTGCTGCTCTCTTCAAGCTTTTGAGCAAGAGCCCAGGCAACCTTCAATATCCCGTCATTGTTTGTGAGGATCTCGTGGTCAGAAACCTTAAGGCTTCCTCCCTCAGTCAATGTGCCTGTCTTGTCGAAGACGATGGCGTCAAGACGGCTGGCTTCTTGGAAGGCTTCACCACCACCCTTGACCAGGATACCATGCTTTGCTGCGAGTCCACCTCCAACAAACAGGGCCGTGGGGGCAGCCAATGCCAATCCACATGGGCAAGCCACCACGAACACTGCGATAGCAAATTCCAAGCTCCAAAAAGTCCAACCACCCTGAGCAGCATCCAAGTAGTCACCAGGTAGAACACCCGAGTGTCCGAGAGAGAGCCAAATGATGAAAGTAAGAATGGCAATCAAGGTAATAACAGGCACGAAGTGTGAGGTGAGCAGATCAGCGATCCTTTCGAGAGGTGCACGCTTGCTCTGACCTTCACGAACGACAGCAATGATTCGATCAAGCATAGAGGTTCCTCCGAGTTCAGTGATTCGGATGTGCACAGGCTGACCGACATTGACGGAGCCAGTAAAGACTTGGTTGTCAACAGCTTTCTTGACCGGGCGAGACTCTCCGGTCAAAGAACTCTCATCGAATTGGTAAGATCCTTCTCCCACCACAACGCCATCCGCTGGAGGAGATGCACCATGAGGGATACGTACAACGTCACCGACCTCCAAAAGGTCAACATTGATGCGTTGCATTGAGTCAAATCTAGTGTTCTCGTCGGTCTGCATTGTGGACTGATTCTCAATGAGTAGAGCCTCCGAGGGTCGAAGCTTGCCCAGTGATGTAACTGCATCGCCCGTCTTAGCTTTGCTGTAAGCCTCCAAGAATCGCCCAGCGAGGATAAAAAGGGTCAAAAAGACAACTGAATCAAAGTAGGTCGTACTGTGAGCACTGGATTTTGTACCCACAACGGCATCAACAATGAGAACGGCCAGGGAGGAGAAGTAAGCTACCGCCGTTCCTGCAGAAATCAAGAGGTTCATGCTGCCGAATCTGTAAAAGCGTCGCAAGATTGGTACCCTGCTTCCGGGGCGCCAAAGTGCGTGGATTTCTTTCATGGCCCGAGTATGGAACACGTCAGTGCCGTAGACCATGACGGGGGTCGCCATGATGAAGAGAGCCCACTCTGTGCGAGTCACACTGCCAGACCAGATTGTCTGGTCAAGATACATGCGAACTGGGTTGCTGGATGAGACGAGAGACATGAAGACAATACCAATAATGAAGGTTGGGATGGCTGCAGCAAAGACGAATAGCAGTCGAGTCAGAAGCCGGCGACGCTCATGCAATTGCATCGCACGAGATCGGTCTTCAATGCTCGGTGGGTGATAGATGCTTGCAGTAAAAGCGCCGTTGGCCCCATTGACTGTTGCAAGAATGGAGCGAACAGTCAGAAAAGGCGGGTTAGGTGTATAAGCTACCTTGACTATAGGGTTCTTCTCGCAAAGAGTCTCCTCCACAGTGACATCTGAAAGGGTATCCAAAGAAGCCAAGACTTTTTCGGGGCAGTGGCGGCAAAACATTCCATCGACACGAATGGAGATTGTTCTCAATTTGGCAAGGCCAGTCTGTTGCTTGTTCTCAGCCAGCGAGTGAATATTACTGACTGCAGCATCGTATCCCAGGTCCTCAATCTTCTCAACAATCTTGTCGAGGTTTTCGCGTCCTTCAAATTCAATCTTGCCGCTGTGTGAGAGCAGATTTACAAAGACACTCGTGATGAAGGGTAACTCTTCGATCCCTCGAGTCACAGATCCGACACAAGAACCGCATGTCATGCCGGTGATTGCAATCTCGGTGACATAGCCGGCCGAGGCCTGTTGGGTAAACGGCACTTCAGAAATCCGGTTGACCTCATCCAAGAAAGCATCAAAGCCGATATCTTCGATCTTTTCGGTAATCAGGTCAACATTCTCCCGCGGACCAAAGTAAACCAGCGTTGCGCTATTTGTGAGAAGGTTGACAGTGACCTCCTTGACAAACTCCAACTCTTGTACAGCAGCAGTAATAGTATTGACACATGACGCACAGCTCATACCCCCAATGCTGATCCGTGCTGAGAATTCATCACTTGATGGTGAGGACAGCTCAGGCGTTTCAGATATACTAGGTGGGACTTTTGGCGTCAATGTGGCATCTTGCTCTACTTGAGTCTCAGACGTAGACACAGAAGGAGTATGAGCAGGCCAGACAGAATTTTGTGCAAATTTTTCATGTAGTGGCTCTGTCGTGCTCTGGTAAGAGAGACGTGAAAGCCTTTCTGCTTCTTCCTTCTGACACGCATCGCAATTGGCAAAGTGCCCATTTTCTCTGCTAGTGTGTAGTCGCTCTTTGATATTAGATGAAATACTGGAGTATGATGTTCGAGGGGTGGAGAAGATTGTGGATCCACGATGATTCCATGAAGTGGTGTCGAGGTCAGATATAATCGCTGCGCGTTCGTCATATGTCGTAACATGATGAACTTCAAACGCAGCGTGTATCAAAGCTGCGACGAGATCTGCCGGCCGCGCAGAGATGCCATGGGTGACGCGTACCTCATGGGTAATGATCGACACGTCAATGTCTCTGACAGTTGGAATTTCGGACAATATCTCGGTGACATAGGCGACGCATGAAGAGCAGTGAACATTGCTAACCCAGAAGACACTTCTCCTGGAGCTTAAATCTGCATTCTGCTGCATCTTGAGAAGATGTGGAGGACTCTCGGGTCCGGACATGATCGACACAGCAGGATCTTCAACCTTGGTGTTCTCGGATCAAAGCGATAAGATGATCAAGCAACAGATGGATTTTTGCCACGGCGTGGCGTTGACGGTCGGAAAATTAAATTATTAAGTATGTGGTGGTGGAGTCTTGAAACAGCCAGGAGACTAGGGAGTACCGCGCGGGTAGTTGGCAGGTTGATATAGCGAATCGCCACTAGAAGACAATGACCACGATAGTGCTGATTACATCATAAAGGATCAAAGATCAGGATCAAAGACGAATGGCGCTGTCTGTCGCATGTATTTATAAAGAAAGGAAAAGAAAAAAGAGTGGAAACCAGTGGGTGGCTCGCGAATGGCGAAGATGCGACATTTGTGCGCGATCCAAGCCCGGAGGCCGAACTACGCACAAATGCCGCATCGGCATTCCACTGAGTGAGAGTCATGACCTCCGTGTAGTATGTAGCTAGTTCTCATCTGGTTCGCCTTTAGGAATGAAAAGCGGCATCTTGGGTCCGAGATGAGAAAGTCAACCACCGTTCATGTGCTTATTGCATAGATTGATCGCTGTAGGGCGTGCTCGAGTGGATATGTTGCCTGAACAGTAAGGCACCAATGGAGATTCATCTGATTTTATTTCCGGACTAGTACTTAGTGACTCGGACAGTCACGTGTTTTGCGCTTTCGGATGGATGCCATGAATAACAGAGGCTGTTGATGCAAAAAGCGACATCCACTGCGAGAAAAATTATTTGAAGATCCTTCGACTTCATACCCTCACTCCCCTCTTTCACTTTCTCCTCTTTTGAGCGAACGATAGAATGTGGGTCGTGGCCACCTCCCCGAGTTGAACGCGTGCCTTGCCCGTTTCCCCCAGCTCTTTCACCGCTGGGCCACCCGCCAGCACCGAGCGAAAAAACTTCACTCGCATTCCCCGCTCCCCACTCACGCGCCCTTTTTTCTTATCACTTATCACTTTACGCGCTTCGAGAATTATTCAGAGCCCTGAGAACATTCGACCAGCTCGACATACATCGTGCAAGTACGGCATCGTTGTCTCTCATTGACTCTTACCCTTCCTGCTCCTGCCGTCTGATCACCGATTCCACCTCTTCTCCAAATCTCGACTCTCTCTTGCTCATTCTCATCTCTATCGCCAGCCTACGCGCTATGAGGTTTCCAATTTAGTACCGCTGGGATTTCGTTCGAACAATACTAGAGCCCAGGGGCTTCTCAACCATTTATCTAACTCATCACCTGGGTATTACTACTATCCTTACTTCTTCAACATCGACCATTATTCACCATGTCGAAGCCCGCCACGCGCATCAGCGTGACTCCCCGCGGGCCTCGCGCACCTGTCAAGCGCCTGGCTACTACTAGGGCTCAGACTCCGACTCCTATCAAGCGTCCCGCCTCAATCAGCCGCCCTCAACCTCCACGGCCTACTACACACCCCAAGACTTCTAGTTGTCCCAATCCAGGTTGTCCTGCTCCCCACATTGTTGAAGATGAAGGCCAGAAGGTTTGCTCTGGATGTGGTACTGTCATCAGTGAATCCAATATTGTGTCTGAAGTCACCTTTGGTGAGAGCTCATCTGGAGCTGCTGTCGTCCAGGGTACTTTCGTCGGGGAAGATCAGACCCACGTTCGCAGCTTCGGACCCGGCTTCCAGCGAGGCGGCGCAATGGAGAGCCGAGAGATGACTGAAGCGAATGGAAACCGCTATATCAGCCAGCTTGCTCGAGCTTTGACCATCCCAGAGAGTGCTTCGAAGGCTGCTGGTCAGGTATTCAAGCTCGCAGTCGGACTGAACTTCATTCAGGGTCGCCGAACCAAAACCGTGGCTGCAGTCTGTCTCTACATTGCTTGTCGTCGCCAGGACGGCAACACAGTCATGCTGATTGACTTTGCCGATGTCTTGATGATCAACGTCTTCAAACTTGGTCGCACCTACAAAGCCCTTCTTGATGAGCTCCGCCTGGGCGGCAACGTCTTTCTGATGAACCCTATCGATCCCGAGAGTCTCATCTATCGATTCTCGAAGCAACTAGAGTTCGGGCCAGCCACCATGCAAGTCGCTGGTGAGGCTGTCCGTATTGTGCAGCGAATGAACCGTGACTGGATGACAACTGGTCGACGACCGGCCGGTGTCTGCGGTGCGGCACTGATTCTTGCTGCGCGAATGAATAATTTCCGCCGAACCGTTCGTGAGGTTGTCTACGTCGTTAAGGTGACCGAAATCACTATCAGCCAGCGTCTGAATGAGTTCAGCTCAACCGAAAGTGGAGATTTGACTGTCGATCAATTCCGCTCCGTACAGCTTGAGAATGCACACGATCCTCCTTCCTTCACTCGCGCAAGGGAAGGCCGCAAGCCCAGCCACATCAACAACAGGGCTGTGGAGACCGCCGCAGAACTTGAATGGGACACTGAAAGCGAATATGGATCAGTTCAACCTTCACGGATTGATGCAGACGGCTTTGCCATTCCAAATCTACCCATCGACCCTGCCCTGACCGAGAAGACACGCCGGCGTTCTTCCATTGCCAAGGCAGTGAACGATGTTATCGAGGACACAGAAAATGACCAGGCCGAGTCTAAAGTCAAGGGCAAGCGGAAGCGCGAGCCCCTTCCCCGCCGTCTGAGGAGCAGGTTGCATCAGAAGATGCTCTTGAGGATGAGATGCGGACTATGCTTGCCAAGGGCTCCAACATGATTGAGAGCATGGTCGAACCCGAGCAGAAGAAGCATATCCCCGATGATGCCGAAATTGCCGAAAGCGAGTTTGAAGACGATCCCGAAGTCAAGCACTGCCTCTTGACGCCTGCTGAGGTTGAATTCAAAGAGACCATCTGGGTCTCCGAGAACAAGGAATACCTCCGCACACAACAAGCCAAGGCCCTCAAGCGCGCGCTGGCTGAAGCAACTTCTGGTCCATCTTCATACAAGCCTCGCAAGCGCCGCAAGGGCCGGATGGGTGATGTCTCCTACCTCGATGGCGAGGGCGAGGGCGAAGATGGCCGCAGCTCTCGTGCAGCGACCCCTGCTGAGGCGACCCGACGGATGCTCGAGCGACGTGGCTTCAGTAAGAAAATCAATTACAATGCTCTTAATGACCTCTTCGATGGGAAGAAGACAGACGAAAACCCCAAGGCCGAGAGCCTGAGCCGAAGCCAGAGTCGCAGCGTCAGTCTTGTCTCGCGCCGCAGCACCAGCCGGGCACCCGAGCCCGAATCTCGCCGCTCGGTTCGTGCTACTTCAGTCAAGGCACGATCTGGCCGCACTCAGACTGGTGCACCCCCGCCCACTCCACCGCCTACGCAGTCTCAGCCGGCCGAGGAAACCGCTGGCCCTGCTCTTAAGGGTGACCTTCCGGCTGGAGAGCAGCCCGATCCGGATGACCTGGAGGATGATGAGGACGATGAGATGGAAGATGACCATGTCGATGATGCATTTGCTGGCAATTACGGCGGATATGACGAGGACGATTACTACGGAGGAGACAGTGACGATGATGGCTACTAAAATGACACCTGGGGTGTTCTTTCATTCTGTGTGTTAATAGATTACTTCTGCTTTGGCTGTCAACGCATGATATCCTGTACCAATAGAGCAACCATAGATGAGCAATTGCCACAGTCTTAAGACAACTCTTCTTCTAATACACCTTCATAATACTCACCCTGCTTCAACGCTCAGGCGCCACCTGCGCCACCTTCCGTTCTCCTTCGACGTATCCCGTCTCTCTACATCCCCAAGCCAAAGCGGCAGTCCGAACCGCCGCCTCCTAGCAGATTCTTACCCAAAACAACCCCGATCTGTCGATCTCTCGCACGACCTGGACTTGATCGGCTTCTCTCCGACCGCTCAACCTGCCTTCCCCGCAGGACCCCCTTAGATAGTCTACGGAATGTGGACTCTTCCCCAGATTCACCCCCGCAGAGCCACAAGCTTACCCTCCCACCAGCCCCTTGTATCAAGGTAAAGGGCTCTAAAAATTTCCTTTTTCCATTTTTCCTTTTACCCATATACTACTCGGACCCTATTTTCCCCACATTAGCTAAAATAGCACCAGTAGTACCCTTGACTTTCTCCCCGCATCATCTTGTCCTACCGGCGCTCATTTATGCCGGATCCGTCGATCACCTCGGGACACTGCGAGGATTGGCTGATTCGGGACCTGACTCGGCTGAAGATGAGCCTGAGTCGCATTGCGTCGGTTGTGTACAAAAGGGGTTGAGGACCCAGTGCGGGGGTGGGTTTTGATTTGTATAGCACGTCTTTCTCTGTTAAGGTTGATTCAAATTACGATGGTGCAGCTCGATATTTACGGTCGTGGCAGGCCGTTGCGTATGGCGATTATGTTTACGTGCCAATTGGCGTTTATTTTCTTTGGTAGGCCTCGCTATCTCTAGCGTTCTTGTCAGTTTCTTCGAGCTCACTGGGATAGGCTACGATCAAGGAGTTTTCTCTGGAATCGTGGGAAATGATGACTTTCTGAGTGTGGTGAATCACCCCAGTGCAGGGATTCTGGGCATTATTGTCTCTATATACAATTTGGGCTGCTTCACGGGAACTATTGTTTCATTCATCACGGGCGATCGCCTCGGTCCGCGAAAGTCGATGTGGTTTGCCATGGTCTGGATCATTGTAAGTCGAGACCCAAACGTCCACCGTTGAAGGAATTAATCGTGTTTCTGCATAGGTTGGAGCTACTCTTCAGACGACTGCATTCTCAAGGGCACAGCTGCTCGTGGCCCGCTTCATCACCGGCATCGGAACTGGTATTGAGACGACCACCGTACCCGTATACCAATCCGAGTTGTGTGAGGCCAAGAAGCGCGGTAAGTATGTCTGCAGTGAACCACTGTTTGTCGGCGTCGGTATCGTGATTGCATACTGGTTCGACTACGGTATGAGCTATGTACCCGGTGCGATCAACTGGCGGCTGCCGATTGCATGCCAGATGATCTTTGCGATCATGGTGATTGGACTTGTATTTGGGTGAGTGTCCCTTTCCCTGAAGTCTCTACTCTGAGAGGACTTGGTGTGCTGAACGCAGGATTGCGTAGTCTCCCAGAAAGTCCTCGCTGGCTCTATCGCCACGGCCGGCCCGACGAAGCGCTGCAAGTTCTTTGCGATGTCTACGATAGGGCGCCCGACGACCCGAAGGTTGTGTCCGAATCATCGGGAATACTGGAGGCGATCGAACTGGAGACGCTGCATGGCGAATACAAGTGGTCCCAGATTCTCAAACGGGATGAGGTCCAGACAGGCAGGCGAGTGTTGCTGGCCTACGGCATCCAATTTATGAATCAGATGGGAGGTATCAACTTGGTCGTGGTGAGTGCGGTTCTTCGTATTCTTTGTATTCCTTGCTGGAAAGTATCTAACGCGGTCCAGTACTATGTCACTTCGGTACTGCAGTATAATGTCGGTCTCGACCGGAGACTAAGTCTTCTACTTGGAGGCGTGATCCAGGTCATGTTTGTGATCGGTATGCCCGTCGATGGCCTCCTGCCAATGCCCCCACTGATGTCTCTTAGGATCCTTCTATCCGACCTTCTTTTCCGATCGATTCGGCCGTCGAAACCCCATGATGTGGGGTTCGTTCGGCCTATCCATCTCTATGATGATGATCGCTATTCTGCTTTCGTTCAAGGGTCGGTACCAAACAGGGCTCGCTATTCACCATTCGTGATTGCTTACTGGCGGTTCTCTACAGGAACATCCGTTGAAAAGCCCACGGCTTCGGCTTCGGTCGCCTTTTTCTTCCTTTTCATGCTCATCTTCGGCGCTTCGGTCAACTGTATCCCGTGGGTATACGGTCCGGAGATTCTCCCACTGCATGTTCGCGCTAAGGGGTGGGTCAAACTTGTCTACATGCTTCTGGGCAGATCATACTGATGTTGGTCTGAAGACAAGCAATCGGCATCTCGGCAAACTGGCTCTGGAACTTCTTTGTGGTGATGATCACCCCGACTCTGATCGAGAATCTCGCCTGGAAGGGATATCTGATCTTCATGTGTCTCAACATGGTGTTTGTTCCGGTATGAACAGCTTTCCCCCCTACGTCTGGACTCCACATTAAACAGCGCTAATGGCCCCGTAGATCGTTTACTTCTTCTACCCCGAGACTGCGAACCTGACCCTGGAGGAGATCGACTTCCTCTTCACGGATCGTGCAAGACATCCCTCCTTGGGATCACGTGCTGGAGAAGGGATCAAAATGGGTGATGGGGCGGATAATGGGAGAAGTGTTAGTCCGGGTGAGACCAAGGGTCACGTTGAGGAGAAAGAGTGAGGCAGCACGGAGCACGGCATGTCAGTAAAGTACAGTACGTACCTCTCAGCCCAGCCCAATCCACCAACGCAAAGCCATCCACGGACGGTGTCCTGCCATTGGCCAATCACCTGCAGCAGCGTGGGATCCACTTGTCACGTCCCCGTAATGTAACGGTCACCCGGAAGTGCCCTCTAAGCTTGTGTATCACTGTCCGGTACGGTAACCTCCGCATTGCGGATGGATCCTCCGATCACCTCGCCTCAGATCGCTCGCAGCCCTCTTTCGCGCGCGCCCTCTTTCCGTTCTTTCCTTTCTTTCCTTCCTCCCTCTTCCCTAAACTCTTATCTTTTCCCTTTGCCTTACCTCCCACACCCCCCCCCCTTCTGTCCTATCATCACTCGGACTTCTCTTTTCTCTTCCTACCTTCCCTCTCGTATACTCCGTCTATACTCGTGATCTACAGGTGGTTGAAGCTTATGGTGTGTAGCTCACTTAACCATACAGAACAGTTCCCTTCCTCTTTGTCGCTCCGACAATCATAATGTGCCCAATGATCCTCAATCGCGCCTCCGATGGCCCCGCCATGGTCCTCTCCTCTTCCCAAGAACACGCCTTCGCTCAGTTCCCTTCTCAGTCCGCGCTGGATGGGCCCGGCAGCTTCCATAGCTACCCTGCAAGCCCCAGCTCCGTCTTCGCAAGCAATGGCTCGGCCCAGCCTGCTCCGAGCTTGAACTTCGCGCCTGCTCCTCCCGTGCCCAAGTTTTCCCGTAAGAGGTCGCGTGACGAAGCTGCCTTCGAAGAGGCTTCTGGCCTGAAAGTCTTCTCCGAGCCGGCGCCTCCCCCGGCGCCAGAAGAGGAGCCCATCTATGGGGAAGGAATGGTGTTGCTGAACCCCAGCACTGGTATGGCAATCTCTGCAGACAGTCAGACTGGCACATGGTACGAAGAACAGGCCGAGTCGCAACAGACCACGGCGGCTGCGGACTCCTCGAGCTCGTTTGCGCTGCAGTCTGATGCCGCGGACATTAGCCGCAAGTCACAACGGCTAGATAAATCTGCTCCGGGCCTGGACGATATTGCGCTTTGCTCAATTCAGCAGCGCCTGAACGGCCCCGAGGCCGACCAGCACCGCACTCTCAACGCTGGACCTGCACCTCCCGCTGAGCCACTCATTGACGATGCCACCCGCCTCCTCGGCATCAGCTGGCAGCGTATTGATACCGATGGCGATATGGCACCGGCTGTCCGTGGTTGGACCAAGTATATTGACAACCAATACTCGGACTATCTGCGCGACTCGCAGATACTCATAAAAAGCCGCGCCCTCAATGCCTACCTCGTTGCAGCAATGCCCACCAATGCGTTCTCGCCCGCCTTCTATCTTTTTAGCGACGACCTTACCCAAGCTCAGCTCGTGGCATCTTCGTGGGAAGCATGCTTGCACAATCTGCGCAGCACCCCAATCATCTTCGAGGGCAGCGGTCCTCTCGTCGCCTCATCTCGATCCAACAGTCCTCCAGCAACCACCCCCTTCAGCGCTGTAGAAGGTGGCGTACCGCTTCTTCAACAAGCCATGTCAAACAATGCTCCATCCAGGAATGACATGGGAATGGGACTAAACGGAGGCGTCGAAATGGGAATGGAGATCGACTCGTAAAACCGAGGATCCATACCCTTTATAATTCAATCGAGAATTGAAAACCACCGATTGAGCGACCCTGACCTCGCCAACAACGCGACCGCCGCCCGATCGACTTCAATTGTTTTGTGTTTCTGATAGTTTACTGGATTTAGCTCGGCAACTCACTAGCGCCTAACTTGACCAGTTCGGCAACCCGCTCCAGTTCTCGCCTTAGGAAGGCGAATTGGGTTATGGTGGTTATATGATATACCGGGGGTTATGGACTCTGGCGTAAATGGAGTTCTGTTCGCCTGTCATATTGGCTTGGTGTCTATCTTATCTTATTTATGACTTGGAATGAAAAGAAATGCCATGGACTATTCAATTTCGAAATTATGAACTCCAAAATCATCTTCAAATCACTGAAAAAGGCTAATGTCCAAAGTTATTAAACCTCCATCTGCTGGGAGAGCTGTAAGTGCCATCGCCAGGTGAATTGTCAAGACTCGGCCCTGGCCCCGACCCCGACCCCGACCCCGCACCTCAACTCGCACCTCAACTCGCATGTCAACTCACCTGCAAGGTCTACACCGCCACAGAACAGAATACGAGCAGTCCATCTGTCTTGTGGATACATAATGTCCGAGGGTATTCTGGGCGCAAGCGAACAAAGTTATTTTAGGGTGCACGCTTACTGGTAAGATAACCAAATCTAAAGTCATAATATCGGTGCTGCGCTACTGCTCAAGTGTAGATTTCGGAACGTTCTCGCGACATCACAAGTGGAAAGTCCGTACCCAAAGGTACCTAAGGTACCTAGGAATGTTTCAATGATCTGAAGGTGCTTTCATATCTTGAGGGGCTAGTTTGCCGGTCGTGAGCGCAGGGGACAAAGCTGGACAGATAGCCAGTCCTTGCAGAGTACTCAAGACCGGCTTGAATGCCAAAGTAAACCCGTAGGAGGACAATCGGCTTTCCAGATATTCCTGCTAGTCTTTATTATATACTAGATAATAAAGAGCCGAGACTAATCGGTTGTGTTCGGAACAAACCCTGTATGAGACTATTCCGAGCATCCATTCCAATCTGCTCCGATGCGATCGACACCGCGAGCTCGACCTCTCCCACAGTCTTGAGGCTTCCTTCTGTATAGATTGACCCGTAGTATCAATCCCATTGATAGGCTAGCATCTGTATCGAGTTACATACTCGATCGGCCCATTGATTCGATTGTCTGCTTGCCAGAAGGATAAATTGGCTCCAGCCCGGTGTTACCTTCCCCAGGTGCTACACGGGGTATCAAGACACCATCAATAGTACCAGAATCCGAAGATCCGCAGTCCTAGTAGTAAATACTTCGCACCGTGCCCCAAAGAACGGAGAAAAGAGACGTCCACTGTATCGAGCGCCTCTGGTAAGATGAAGTCACACGCATCGATAACAAAGTTTGTACTGTGGCCAGTCGCGAGCCAGTCTCGTCAAACAGCTCGGATCATATTGTCGGCCCTCTGTTGAGACCCAGGAGAACTTGTAGGACATCGAAATGCCCTGCGGCCATTGTTAGATCGAATTGACTTTGAGTGTTCTTCAAATGCAGTTGTACTTGTTTAGAAGCTGTTCCAGGCAGAGGCTTAGTGGCTTGGGACCACGGATTCAAGTCCGCAATGTTGAAATGAAACTATTCGTAGTTTACCCTGATAGTTTCATAATTAGTCTAAGTAATTTTAGATGTGAAAACGGCCCTATGCCCAGGTATACCCAGTGGGACAAGCAGCCACCCAATAAGGCCCGTCACATGACAACCCACGATGAGCTGTAACATTGACCTCATGCTCACAAGACACCCAGGAATCAATACATCGTGCTGTCATCATTCGCACGGCATTATGAACTCAACAGTACACACTAGCAGGAACAGAACGGAAGCAACCCTCCAAAAGTCTATTGGAATACTATTCAGACAACGAAGGGGAAGAAAAAACCCAATGAAAAGAGAACAGGTCCAAAGCAATCCGACACCAGAGCTCGTGCAAGTCTAACACCAAATCAATGTTCGTTGAAAAGTGGGGGGAAAAAAGGAAAAAGAGAGTAAGATAGTACAACAGCAAGACCACACTATGGTTCAAGTGTATTCAAATACATCACGGGAATGCGGTCGAGAAAGGAAGCCAGAGTCCTCCGGTTTGGGCGCAGCGCGAGGACTCCGGAAACAAGGGCCGGCCACCGGCTGGATTTCCTGCATTCGCTGGTCCCGGCCCGTGAACGAAAAAAAAAAAAAAAAAAAAAAAGTGTGTAGAACCGTGCTTCAGCACTCCAATTAGAGTTCGAAGTCGTCGAACAACCATCTGGAAGCACCAACATCTATTTCTTGAGAATTATGGCGCCTTCCAAAAATCAACGTATTTAAGCGTTGCCAGAGGCGGCACCACCCAACATCCCCTTGACCTGGCTAACTCGCTCCGGGGCGTAGCTGGGGGCCATGGCGCCAACGAAGAGGAAGAAGACCAGAGCAGCAGCACCGAAGATGACGAACTTGCGCTGGGCGGGCTTGGCGTTGCCGTATTCGGCCCAAGCGCGTCCGGCCTTGTTGGTGTACTCGCGCATCATGTCACCGCCAAGCTTGTAGTAGACAAGGCCGACGAGGGCAACGGAGTAACCGAAGAACTGGAGGGGGAGACCGGGGTGTTCCAAAGCATCATGGAGGCAGCAACCAGGAGAATATCCTTCAGGACACCACAAAGGGTCATGACCAGAGAGGAGGTCTTGCCGATGAGGAAGACAACGGAGACGTTCAGCAGGAAAGCAACCATGGCGTTGGCAAGGAGAACCCAGACACCGACACCGTAGATGTGGTCCATGGTGACGCGGGGAAACTCCAGGAACAGGGCAACGGCACCGTTCATGACAGCGCAGACGGGAGCGAAGTAGTACAGGGAAACCATGGGGTCCATCTTGTACTCAGCAGAGCTGAGCAGGCGCTGAACCATGACCAGGCGGGTGGCCTCGAAGACGATACCACCGAGCTGGAACAGGAAACCGACCATGACGAATTTGATCTCACCGAACGAGGCAATAATGACACCAATGACAATGATCGACACGTTCGCGAGGGTCTTGTAGTTGACGGGAGCCATGCCCATGCCCCAGGTAGCGAGGAGGACAGCAACGGGGGTGGTAGCCTACAAATCGTTAGCGACGCTCGAGCTACCCGAGAAAAGGCGCAAGAAACATACCTTCAGCATCTGGATGAAGGCCACACTCAGGTACAAGTAGGTCATGTTACCGCAGATTAAGGACAGACTGAACATGAGACCGATGGGGACAATCGCACGCAGGTAGACACGGCCGGTCATCTTGACGGACTTGCGGCCATCAAGGACGGTGGTGCAGCGAGCCAGCAGCTGGGTCATGATCGTCGCGAAAGTCAAGTGCCATGTTGTGAGGATGATGGGGAAACGGAAGTTGGCGTAGTCGAGGAGATGCTTGTTGAAGAGAATAACACTGGAGCTCAGAGTGATCCAGACACTATCGGGGGTTATGGGTATCAGCCAATCTGCCTCGTATCTGACCAGGTTCAAATCTCACCTCACGTAGACAACGGGGTGGAAAGCGGCCTTGGGAGCCTCCTTCTCAACAGCCGGGTTGACGGTGGGCAGCGCCTCGCGCGGGGTCTCGCCGGAAGCGCGGACTTTCTCGCCTTCGGACATGATGAAGCGTGTTTGATCGGAAAAGAACTGTTTCAATTCGAAAGGCCGGGACCGAGAAAGGCTTCCTTGGCTGAAGGCGGAGGAAGCCACGAGGGATAATTCTTTTTAATAAAGAATTATAGGCTGCAGAACACTATGTGTCTGGTTAACGAGTGACGAGGGAAGGAGTTGAGCAAACACGCGCAGGTGGAAAGAGTGAAGACGAAGATGAAGATGAAGATGAAGGTGAAGGGATGGAATGGGGTACGTACTTCGGGGGCGCACTGAGTACGGAGAAAGACCACAATGAAAACCAGAAAACCAGAAAATCAGAAAACCAACAGGCAGTTAGTTGTAAAATAAGAAGGTCTGGGATCCGATAACTCTGCAAGTGAAGCTGCAAACAGAGGAACAGAGTTGAAACGGAAAACGGGGTTGTGGACGGTAACTGTCAGGCTGTGACCGTTACCTACCTCGCTCAGGCCACCTGTACTCTTTCCTACGCTTAATGGGTGGATCCCCCAAGGGGATAAGGCTGGTAATACCAATACAAGTACTGGAGATACGGAGTACACCCCAATCAATCCACGGTCGCTCGTGGCGACTCCTATTTTTCCCTGAGCCTCACACCAATAACAGTTCTTCCTCATCGCTCCACCCGTCGCTCTCCGACTCTTAATTTCTCTTTATTTTTCACTATATTCGGACGTGTCCACGTATTCTGCGTGTCTGCTCCTACTGTTTACTGATGTTCTTCCCAATGCGGAGACACATGGGCCAATGTAACCTATCTACTGTGTCTGCCTGACTCGGGTTTGAGATAGAAACACCTGGCCGTCACCGTCCCAGGACGATCCAGATTAATCGACAGTTGACACTCACAGCATTACGCAAGCAGCTGTTGGCCAAGACCCACCGTGACCCGCGTTCAGCGTCCCGAGGAAGCGCATCTGGTCCCTTACGGGTGGAGAATGCGACGATCGTGGGAGGCTGTGTCTGACGCCATCGCCCCATTCAGGGACTCTTAGCGCCCTGGAAATGGGCAACATGGTCGGGGCCAACAGGGGGTGGCCAAAGCTGATACATGGTGGGGAGGTTTCGGTTAAGAGAAGCTTTTTTTTGTCGTCCGTCTAACCACCCTATGGATCTCAGGGACCAACTTTTGTGACAGCCAACTGCTGGTTCGAGAAGTCCTTCGGGCCATTTGTCGATCATTCCAAGAAAGATCGGTGCCTGCTGTTGTTCTCAGGGGATTTTCATCGTACTTCCTTGTTTGGGGAGGGACAATCAGTGGAACCCTCGCCTCCGTGCACATGTACCGAGTTCCCTTGAATCCTCGACACCGCTCGATCGAAGGACGATCCCCGACTGAGCGGTCCGAGAAGAGTCTGGGATTTTTGTTCCCCCGACATTCGGGAGAGATTCGGTGGCACTCAATACTCAATTGACAGCTTCTAGAAGCTCTATAATTCCCCAGGTGCTACACGGGCATCAAGACACCATCACCGTCACCGTCACCGTCACCATCACAATCACCATCACAATCACCATCACCATCACCGGCGCAATCGTAACCACCGTTGCGGCTACCCGCAACGTGCCAGGCGACATCGGTGGCGTCCCTAGCCCGTCGAACCGATCGGGGATCTACCCCCTTGTCCGCCGTTTCAATTATTGGACATGCAAATCAAAATGCTCCGAGATGGGCAAGGCGATAAGAGCATTCTTGATTTGTGCAAGGACCCTGAAACCAAGAACAAATAATAATGTACTGTAGGAATATTTTAGTAGGTTCGCGCGTGTCCGCTTGCGAACTGCACTCTGCCTTTCCTCTTTGGGATTGATAAGAGCAGACCAATCGACACGCCTACATGGTTTTGTGATAGATTCGATAGTTTAAAGGCCAGGGTCTGGCAAGTGGCGCCGTGACAGCGAATGAGGGGATCGATGAAGCCAGGAACCAAAAATAATATCGAGAAAAAAATTCATAATAATCATATCAAAAGTAAAAAGTAAAAAGTAAAAAGTAAAAAGGAGATGGCCAAAAGCGTACGTGTTCAGTTGTTTACACAGTAGTGGGGGCTTCTGTTCGCGGCCCCTGAGCCAGGACCAGGACCAGGACCACCATAGAAGACCCGAGCCAGTGGGGATGGCGCCTTGGACAATGTGTCCAGACTCCGATCGAGGTCTGAAGCAGACTGCTTTCATTTCAAGTAATCAAATCAGTACTAGTCCACCCGGCGTAAACCTGAAACAGACACTCATCCCCACTTCGACACCGCTCTCATGTAAGTACCGTTTACCCCTACCCACGGTTGAACCACTTTCCCTCTTCCTCCTTTATTATCTCTCTTCCTGCCCTCACCTGCAGTCTTCTTGCTGCTCCCGTTCTTCTTCTATGCTGAACATCGCCCGCAAGACTTTTAAACGCGTGCCTAGCTTTCAGGACCTTCTTCAAGGCAGGATGACCCATCCCGACATGTAAGGGAATCTACCCCTCCAGTCTGTTTGGCCTAACTGACTCAATTGTTCTAGTTCCGTTGACGTCCTCGTCATTGGCGCTGGCCCTACTGGTCTGGGTGCCGCTAAGCGTCTCAACCAGATCGTGAGTGCTGACCCTTGACCCTTACCCCGTGGAGGGGGAAAACAGACGCTCCCCCGGAAAAAAAGAAAAAAAAAATAGGGGGGCCGATGGAGGGGTACGGAGACAGTAAAGCTAACCAATTGTGCAGAATGGACCCTCTTGGTTGATTATCGACTCTAACGAGATCCCCGGTGGTCTCGCTTCCACTGATGTGACTCCTGAGGGCTTCGTAAGTTTTCTCCGGGAACGTTTGTTGTGGCTTACCCTGCCGCAACCCGCGTCAGAAGGGACAAAATATACTGACCTCCGCAACAGCTCTACGATGTCGGTGGCCACGTTATCTTCTCCCACTACAAGTACTTCGACGACTGCATCGACGAGGCCCTCCCCAGGGATGAGGACTGGTTCACTCACGAGCGTATCTCCTACGTTCGCTGCCAGAACGAATGGGTCCCCTACCCCTTCCAGAACAACATCTCCATGCTTCCCAAGGCCGAGCAGGTCAAGTGCATTGACGGCATGATCGATGCCGCTCTCGAGGCTCGCGTTGCCAACACCAAGCCCAAGGACTTCGACGAGTGGATCGTCCGCATGATGGGTACTGGTATTGCTGACCTCTTCATGCGCCCCTACAACTACAAGGTCTGGGCTGTCCCCACCACCAAGATGCAGTGCGCTTGGCTCGGTGAGCGTGTCGCCGCTCCCAACCTCAAGGCCGTTACCACCAACGTCATCCTGAACAAGACTGCCGGTAACTGGGGCCCCAACGCTACCTTCCGTTTCCCCGCCCGCGACGGTACCGGTGGTATCTGGATCGCTGTTGCCAACACCATTCCCAAGGAGAACACCCGCTTCGGTGAGCAGGGCAAGGTCGCCAAGGTCAACGCCAACAACAAGACCGTCACCCTCGTTGACGGCACCACCATCGGCTACCAGAAGCTGGTCTCCACCATGGCCGTCGACTTCCTGGCTGAGGCCATGGATGATAAGGAGCTCATGCCCCTCACCAAGCAGCTCTTCTACTCCTCTACCCACGTTGTCGGTGTTGGTATCCGTGGTGCCCGCCCCGACCGCATCGGTGACAAGTGCTGGCTGTACTTCCCCGAGGACAACTGCCCCTTCTACCGTGCCACCATCTTCTCCAACTACTCCCCCCACAACCAGCCTGAGGCCTCCAAGAAGCTTCCCACCCTGCAGCTCGCCGACGGCTCCAAGCCCAAGAGCACCGAGGCTAAGGAGGGTCCTTACTGGTCCATCATGCTGGAGGTTTCCGAATCTTCCATGAAGCCTGTTGATCACGGCAAGCTCCTTGCCGACTCCATCCAGGGTCTTGTCAACACCGGAATGCTCAACGCCGACGACGAGATCGTCTCCACCTATCACCGTTGCTTCGACCACGGCTACCCCACCCCCTCCCTGGAGCGTGAGGGTGCCCTCACCCAGATCCTGCCCAAGCTGCAGGAGAAGGGTATCTGGTCCCGTGGCCGCTTCGGCTCTTGGCGCTACGAGGTCGGCAACCAGGACCACTCCTTCATGCTGGGTGTGGAGGCTGTCGACAACATTGTCAACGGTGCCGTTGAGCTGACCCTCAACTACCCTGACTTCGTCAACGGTCGCAAGAATGAGGAGCGTCGTCTGGTGGATGGTGCCCAGGCCTTTGCCAAGAACAAGCAGTAGATAATTTTTGTCCTTTTCTTTATTACAATTTGCACGAGATCACACCGTCACGGGAAAAAAAAGATATACACACGAAGGGAGCATTTGAAGCGGCATCTGGGAGACCATCTTCGTTGGCGTTTCATGTGATTCTAAACACCCATACTACTACCCTTTTTTACACAATGTCTTCCCTTTCTTTCACCTAGAGTCGGTTTCACTGGAGGTCTACCTTTTCTCGATACACTTTTTTTTTTTTTTTTCCCTAGATTTGCTTGACTGCTTACTTTCTAATTTGACACCTGTTGACGAATCTCAAGACGCGCTATTAAATTGCTGAAACTTAATATTGAATTGGCATTGGTGGACTAAATTGAACATCCCGCTACCAACATATCAGAGCTATGGCCTTTCCAATGGCGCGGATGGATGCCTGAACTGCACAAGCCGGCAATTACCACCTGTGAACTTGATCACGGCAATTCCAAATTCACTGCTACCGTGCCTATCCCTGCGTGGTTACGTGGCTGCGTGAATACAATGCTCCACACGAATTGCCTCACAAGACCATTGTCTTGCCACCCAATCTCCAAAGCCAAGTTCCAACTCCAGATACACAAAAAGCAGGGTCGAGCCAAAGAAACAGTACCTGAAAGATTGGCCCCTGGACACATCGCCAAAACGATGCTAGCCAATCGTTTCAACGGCACCAGAAGACGCCGTAGTTTGGTTCATTTTGTCGAGTTACTGAAGTGGCGTCGATTGTGGGTCCAAAGCCAAGCATCTGGAACGCGCCGGTCTCTGAAATTGAGATTAATTTCAAATTTCACGTTCCTATAGATAGAAATAGATTACAGCCTTTTTTTTCTGGCTCCCACACCCTCCGTTGCTGGGTACAGCCGGGTCCGAACGCCGTTGGCTGGGTCTTGCCTTGATCACGCCGGATTTGGCAGTTGGTGGGGAGCTGGGGAGGTTGGAGAATGGGCTACGGAACCTCAACTGTGAAATTCGATTTGGTACAAGCTTATCGTGAAACTCTAATGTAACCGTTGAACCGCATCCTAATTTATGTTTTGCACGTGGGGTGTTGGATTCGAGGGACCGGGTTTGCCGAGTTCTGCGAGGGGATGTGCTTCGAGGGTATTTCCGCATTTGGGTGATAAGAGGGTTGTAGGGATGTCCGGTTTTGGAGGGGCAAGGCCGGAGATAGAGTATTCCTCAGCCTTGTTTCGAAGATAGTTGGCTTCGTGAAAATGCCTGTGTCATCGTTCTGCATGTTCTTCACTTCCTTGCTCATTATGCCATGTAGATGTATCCAAGCGGATAGGTATAGAACTCAGTCGTGGTTTGGCGGGACTCTTTTCCGGTGAAAGACTCAATGGTTATTCAAGGTTCTGAGCCATCGCCTCCACCTTCTCGGTAAGATAGTTCACTTGGTTCGTGAACTTGTTGACCACCACTAGTAGAGCCATATAATCTCTGTCCTTGTCTGCGTTTCTTGCCGCCTGTCTTTTCTCCATAATGGCAATGGTGCATTGTATGAGTATGAATGCGGAGAAAGCGTTCGCCACAACAGGGAAGTTGAGGAACGTCCATATTGACTTTATAATGGCTTGGATTCCCGTGCCTTGCCGCGTGGAGGGCTCGCTATCTTCTTTCGGAGCCGGGGCGGGCGACTCCGGGGCGGGCGACTGGTTCTCTTCTTCACTACCGGAGGTTTTCGCATTTTCGTCGTGAAGTGGCTTTCGCCGGATGGAATAATTATTGCGGCGGTGAAGCTCGGGGTTTTGCGGGGTTTGGTCTTCCATAGCGTCTATTGCGGAGTCTTGAAGTTGGGGTAGATATGTATAGAGCTTAAGAGCCCGATAATCATAAATGAAGTTTCCAAACCTAAGCATAAAATACTCCCCAAATGGAAGACAGTCAGGGTCTCTTGGGTATTTGAGTGTTATTTCCGCCCCTGTGGCGTAGATTGCACTGCCTTGCGTTGACACGTTGTCAAGGGCGATCTGCTCGCGTGGGGCACTTTGCAGCGGGGGCCGAACACTCTTAGGCTACCATTATTCCCATGATGGTTGATTTCAATTCGAGGGCTGTAGGACCAGACCTTACTTCTTTCTTTTTGTTGCCTATTTGTCGGCGAATATGATGGGATGCCCGAAAGTTTGCCTATGCGACATTTGAAAGGGCCTGTGTGACCTCGGTACTTCCACAATTATGTAGGAATTATAATCCAAGGCTTGATGCATCATGCGCAAAGGGTCATACTAAAAAGAATAACTACGTCATTAGCAGGGGTACTTCCCTTTCAATGTACCACAGGGTGGATGCCTCTATGTAAATGCCCAAGACACGTTTTAACGTTAATTGGCAGGACAAGAATCTAAAGGTTCTGAATGTTCATAGTATGTGGAGGTTAGCTTGGATATTTCAGAGACATCAAAGAGCATCATTGATTTCTCTTTAGGAACCAGTCATCTATGCAGGTCACTGATAGTCCCCAAGGCGCCTAGTATCATGCCTCGCTGATGGACTTTGAAAACTCTAGAGGTGATTAATCTGTTAATATTCCTACCCAATATTCTCATTGGGATCTTTGGGCTATAGGATTTGCTATATCACAATGCTAAATACTTATTCTTTGGATGGTGGTGAATCGAAAAGAAAAGCTAGCGAGCACAAGTGCTTATTCATGCGTAGTATAATATTGCAGCTTCATATCGAGCTCGACTAAATTGCAAGCTTCACGAATTACGGAAGGTGATAGATAAGCTTTGCGATCGACCAGTCTTGCTTCTTAGCCCTGGAGTGGTAGTTCCTACTATTGCTTTGTCTGTGCTTGGGGCTAGGCTTCCACCGATTTCTGCGGCATGTTCATGATATTCATAGACCTTATCCTAGGCCTATTAGGTATTACCGCGGGTGTTTTTCTCCCTGTTTGTCATCTTTTTTATTTCTTCTGTTTCCCTTCGGCGGGGTCATCGCATTCCTAATGTGGTGCTTTAAAGAGAACCTCATTGTTATGAACTCAAAGTTTTCTGGAGTACATGTTGTGCCTGGTCAGACCGTACTGGGAAATGGCTGGGGAACTTGAGTTAGCTATCGCGGAAACTGTCGGCAGTTTGGACTTGTCAGTTTTAGTTGATTGCAGGGAAATTCTGTTTGAATATTAATATCTTTCAGGTATTGTTTGTTATTGACTTTGTCGATATCGTGATATCGTGATATCGATGGGCCAATACCTCAGGGCGTGGTTATTCTTGCTGAGATTGAATAACTCAATGGAATGTGTGAATTTTTTGGAAAATTGAAATACTATAGGAAGTTTTCAAGGCTATCCGGGACAGAAATCTGCCTTGGTCTCACGACGAGGTTGATCATGATATCGCACGGAAAGCCGGCAAATCTGTTCATAGTACCAGGGAATGTTGTGTCACTAGACCAACTCAGCTCCAAGCAATGACGATTGTCAAACTGGTCGGGTCATGATTGCAATATCATCTGGCACTACACGTCATTTGTTTTTCTTTTCATAGGATAGGCATGACAATCGATGGTGATCCTTTTTCGGTGGCTTTCATTTTGACGGATGGTAATTGGGCGACTAGGCTCCGTCAAATTTTGTTCCACTCTAAGCTACTAATCTATCAAGCCCAGGTTCAAAGTTGCGGGGCCCATGTGTTTTAGCGTCACCGTACAGTTGTCAATTCCCTTGCTTCTATTATTATCGAGATAAACGCCCCTTACTGAGTTAAGGCGCAAATCTTGGCTGCAGCCTAGAGAGCTTCCGGGATAAGAAATGTCCGCAGCGAGAAGCTAAGCCAAGCCAAGCCAAGAAATACACAACTTTTCCTAGAGATACGAAATAAACGACAGGTGCACTTGTAGCACTATGAAGCGATGACGACGAGTTTGAAAATATTTGCAATTGCGGAGTAGTCAACGTCTTATGGAAAAACAGGGCGCATCGGGGACGCGTCAGTTTCTTGCCGAGTTTTAGGCCACATTTCCCCCTCCCGAAAACTATAGATAGCTTGGGTTCTCGTATCGATGTTTCAGCCCGAATTCAGGCTCATTTAGACTATTTTTGTAACTGCTATGAACTTGTAGGTACGTATTTGGAAACCGCCCGGTGTCAGACAGGGTTCATCCGGGGTGCAGTGTAAGGTGCAGGAGATGAAGAAATACCGCGCTATTGTATATTGACTTCCGCGCCTGGGGCGCGAGTATCTCGAAAACAGGAATTATAGACCCCTGCCACACCGCTTGAATAATGAAAGTTAGTCGTCACGATTAGTGTGCTCAGCATGCGTAGGACCACGCGTATCCCAGACTGCTCGGGCTGGCATTTGACCGTTGGATACCTATGCAGCACCTCGATCCGCGCCTGATTCCTCAAAGATCGAATCAGGCTCGACAGTTCCGAATTTCCATATGGCGTCCAGCGCGACGCTGGGCGAGGCCGTGTCGGCCAAGGCTGCCTCGTAAGACTCTGTAGACGCTAAACTTAGGCCCCGAAGTGGGACACTAGAGATTGTCAATTCGGAACAGGAATCGGGCGACAAGCGGAATTCCTGGGAGGCGGAATGCCGTGCATCATAACCTAAAGCTTCTGCCTCTGCGTGTCGACAATTTTCTGCGCGATGACCAAAGTCAATGACCGGATCGTCGGACTCCTTTGAGGTCACGGTAGATGGGACAGACCTGGCTTCTTCATCTCCTGAGGCCCCATACTGTACAGTTTCAGCTCACGCTGGGGGGTTTTCAAGGCCGTTTTGGCACCCAGCGACTCGCGAGACCGCCATGTTCGGTACTGCGGGAAAAGAGTGGATATCTGGTTCCTGGTAGCGGGAGACCTGTTTGGTTCAGGAGGTTGGTGGAGCGATGCGGTCATTGCGGCAACCAAAAAGGCATTGCGAGCTGTCAAAGAGCGCATTCCGCCTGGAGAAGAATCATGTCCAATACAGGATGAACCTCCGGTGGAGTCAGGCATGGTGGTGAAATCAACTTCGCCATTAGAGTCGGAAGAGGCACCGCTGTCCTCTGATAAGGAACTGGCAAAGGCGTGGCCATCGTCACTCTGACCTCGGTCTTCCAAGTGCAGTTGATTGAAGTCAGCAGGTAGCGTACGTAAGAAGGCACGCTGGAGGTGGCATTGGAGCTCCTCGTCGTTTAGCGCGATGACAGTGGGAGGCCGTCGAATCATAGGAACAAGGCCGGTATAGAGCCGCAGCCGTAGCCGTAGCAGTAGCAGGTCCAGGGTTAGTATCGTATAGCAGAGTAAATGGTTGCACAGTCTTAAGGATAGGACAGGGAGGATGTCGAAGTTCATGAGTCACCCTGGCGCGTTGGACAAAGGGCAGTAACGCCCCTTGAAGCAGGAGCTAAGGAAAGAGAAGAACGGACTGTCTCTTGTGTCTAGTTTACTACTCTACTCCTCTACTCTCGACTTTTCTATACGTATTAATAGCTATGCTCAGCCCCGACACTAAACCCGGCTACTAAGGAGCCTCCTGTTGATCCTTTCTGCCCCTCTCCTTCTCTCTCTCCATCAACTTCCCCCTTCAGACCATGTCTCCACTGTCATCACGATCGCCGCCTTAGTTTGTCGGCTCTCTTCATTCCCTTCTTTCTTGTTCACCCCCCCTCCTTCATCACGGCTTTCGACCCCCTCCACATACCGTCACCATGCCCGGCATGGGTGGTGATCTCAGCCTATCCCAATCCCTGGGAGGGCTCCGAATAGCAAATCCAGATGATTCTCCTCTACCGGAGGACGCGACCGACCCTGGTGCGAGCCCATGCGGTCCCACGGGCGGTGCGGCGTCAACACCTCCTCAGATACCCGAGTCGGACGACCGTCCTACACCTTTTCCCGCTGCACCCGTCGAGCCTCCTACAGCGCACGAGAATCGACTCCCCGTCCAACCGTTCCCCGAGGTTCCTCAATACTCCGCGAGTCAATATCAGGCCTACTCTGCTCTACCGCACTCAACCCCTCCGAACCCCAACCGCCCCCTGTCCTCCGTCTACACCAACGGCTCTGCGCCGTCCGCTCTTCCCCGAGACAACTCGTATCGCATGCGAACCGATTCGGGTGCCTCCTCGACCTCGACTTCACATTCCCGCTTAATCTCCCGTGACGGGAACTCCGCTTTGCAAGCGGGCGTCCCCGCGCGCGATAACTCCCACAGCGACCGTTCCTACAGAACAGCACAGATTCCGGCCAATGGACCGGCTGTGATGCGTCAATCGTCCCGAGCACACGCACGAGGTACAGCAACGCCTCAGATGTCCCGCACACCCTACGGCATGGAGAACGGACCGGCACCCAGCAGCGATGATTGGCAGGATCGCGGCGCCGCAGTGTCCGTGAGACAAGAGGTTGATGCCAATGGAAAGACGGTCGCTCGCTATATCAAGAAGGGAGTCCGTGACTTTAACTTCGGAAACACTCTCGGAGAGGGCTCCTACAGTACCGTGGTATTTGCGACGGACCGACAAACGCTGAAGGAATACGCAATCAAGATTCTCGACAAGCGACATATCATCAAGGAGAAGAAGGTTAAATACGTCAATATCGAGAAGGACACCTTGAATCGCCTGACCGATCACCCCGGCATCGTGCGACTCTACTACACCTTCCAGGATGAGCGATCGCTCTATTTCGTGCTGGACCTTGCGAAAGGAGGCGAGCTCCTTGGGGTTCTCAAACGAATGAGCACCTTTGATGAAGAATGTACGAGGTTTTACGGCGCTCAGATTCTCGATACAATTGACTATATGCACAAGCGTGGAGTTATTCATAGGGATTTAAAGCCGGAGAACGTGCTGCTTGACCATCAGATGCACGTCAAGATCACTGATTTCGGTACCGCAAAAATTCTCAAGATGCCACGACGACCAGACGAGAGCACGAGCAGCATCCCGCAACTCGACTCAACCGACATCCCCGAGGAAGAACGGGCGAGCTCTTTCGTGGGCACCGCGGAATACGTCAGTCCGGAACTTTTGACAGATAAGAATGCCTGCAAAGCCAGTGATCTGTGGGCATTTGGCTGTATCATTTACCAACTCCTAGCTGGCCGACCACCCTTCAAAGCGGGCAATGAGTATCAGACGTTCCAGAAAATCGTTGCGCTGGACTATGAATTCCCAATCGGGTTCCCCGCTGTTGCTCGGGATCTAGTCGAGCGTCTGCTTGTCCTGGATCCTGCCCGACGCCTGCAAATTGAACACATTAAGAACCATGAGTTCTTCGATGGTATTTCTTGGGGAACGGATATGTGGAAGCAGAAGGCCCCTCGTTTGAAGGCCTATGTGCCACCTGCACGTGAACCGATCAAATTGAACGGCGGCGAAGGTGGTGAGAGCTTGCCTCCGACCATCTCAACGGCCCCGTCAAACGCACCAAATGCCAGTACTCGCGCCCTCCCTCGAGTCGTCACCGAACTGCCCCCACCTAGTCAGCTTGACATCGAATGGTCGCCTGTGCTGAGCAAATCTAATGAGCGAATTTTGAAATTGGGAAATCTGGTGGTGCTATCTTCTCCGGCATCTCACAGTCCAACATCAAAGAACGGTAGTGGCGAGATTGAAGCTCCCAAGAAGCTCTCCCGTTTCTTCTCAAGTACAGCGGTCAAGAAGCGACAGCGGTTGGTGATGGTCACGTCGTCTGCCCGTATCATCCTGGTTGCAGCTGGTGGCGACGAGAAGAAGGCAAAATTGGAAATCTCTCTCCTCGCTCCGGGCACCCATTATCGGAGTACGACCGATGCCAAAGGTCACTCGTCCTGGATTGTGGATACGGTAAGTCAATCTCGCTGCGCAAACAAAGCTCGTTTGCTAACTGGTAAACAGAGAGAGAAACACTACGTCTTTGAGGACCCTAAACCGTCTTCGAGCAACATTGGTTCCACTGCAGTTTCAGCCCAAGAATGGCTTGACGCGCTGGATCGGGCTCGGGAGATGGGGTTGACTCAACAAGGCGGGTCTTACTCCGCCGATGATGCATTCCGCGACCTTTCTTCCGGATTCTCTAGTCACGCCAACACTCTTGAACGCAACTCAGAGCTACAGAGTGAGCACGGCTCTCATCAACCGGGACGTCTGATCAAGCACCAGGCCACCGACATGGAGTCGACGAAGGGGAGAAAGAGATTCAGCAGACGTCATTCTAAGAACGGTCTCGCTGCGGTCTTCTAAGCATCCCCTCGCTTCTATGCTTCGCTGTCCTCTGACCATCGCCGATAATTGCTAATGTACAGCACCTGCGTATCTCTAGATAGCCAAGCGCCTCATGGCATTTCCAGCTATCGATGAATGGATGCCACGTCTCAGCCTGCCTATTCTTTTCTCCCCACCACCCGGACAGACCAAAACGGGTGTTCTGCATATTGGTTCTCTTACCCTTGCATTTTACAGTGACGAGCGTGTTTTGTCGTGTTGGGACATGATTCTGCATTTAGATCTGGAAGGGAGCATGCGTTTTGTTTTTTTATTTCTTGCCTTCATCTTTTGGTCTTCCAAGTTTTCTTTGTCTCTTGTCTCCTCTGTCAACCGTTTTATATCCCTGATTTGATCTGAAGCATACTCTCGACAACCTCAGGCCTTCCTCCCTAAACTCCTATTTCCTTCATCTTGCTGGCGACTCTGGATTCCCCAAGATGTTGATACTGTTGAGCTTATGAGCTGCGGTAGAATTCATTCTCACATTTCTTATATTGTCCATCTTCCTTTTCCGCGTCATTCCAAAAAGGACCTCGATCGAGCGCCTCAGTCCTTGTCTATCTTTTCCTGAATTCCCTGAATTCCCTGATTTCCCTTGTCTTTTCACTAGCTCTTTTCTCTGGCTTTCTCATCCTTTTTTGTCCTCCTCGTCCTCGTCGTAGGCCTTTTTCCATTGTGACTTTCTTCTCCATTTCTTTTCTCACCTCCCATGCACACTTAGTCATCTCCTTTCTTCGCGAGAACCTACTTCTCTTCCCGCCGAAACCAAAAAAAAATTGATATACCCGGTTTCTTTCAGTCAAGACCTGACTGTGTCTTTGGTTAGTAGTCGATTAGCGTCTATTTGAGCAGGCTTTGGATAATTGGATACAAATTCAGCATCACTTGATTGAAATCTCAAGTACTCTAAGTAGTTACCGAAAACTAGCATTTAAATGAATCAGTGGACAGGTGCGGTGCTGGCTTTCAACTTTAATGTCTGATGTCTCAGTTTTGTCTAGGTTGTCCAAAATAGTGGGTAACCTTATTGCATTATGTACAAGCATTATAATATTATTCGTGAAAAGACCTTCCGGTCTTTCGGGCTTTTATACATCAAGTCTTTCGTAGATCAATCAAATGAACAACCAATCCAGACGTGATTCGTCCATTTCATCGATCCAGTCGAATGTACTGTCAAGCTCATCATTGTAGCTGTCGTTGGCATACTCAAAAGTGCCGTGTTCCATCTGCTCGCCCACAAACCCAGAAGAAAGGTCTTGGTAGTGCTTGGACCGTTTGGTACCATGTTTCTCCCACAGGAGACGGAGGACCCAGGCAGCATTACGAACGTTGACGCTAGTCACTGCCTTGTAGAGAGCGCCCAGCTTCTCGAGTATGAGAGCCCGCTGCGAGCGAGGACACTCGGCGCCGGCAATGAAGGTGGGCCAGATGAGGCATTTGAAGTGCGGGTCGGAGGCAGGGATGGCGCATATTTGAGTGATGAGTTCGGCGCACATGAAGGGGTGGTCGGCAGGAGTGCCGAGATCGGTCCATGGGGGTGAGAAGCCTTGTCGTGGGCGTGAGAGCACACGGCTGGTGTAGAGGTAGACGGCGGCTTTGTAGGATGCGGCGAGGGCGGTGCGGTAGGAGAGGTCGGAGATGAAATAGTAGGCTTGCATTTCTTGGGCCCAGGCTGCTGGGTCAAAATTGCGGATGCCCTGGAGGAGCGCGACGAGGGATTCTAAGGTGATGCCCTGATCTTGGTGCATGGATTCGGGGAGAGCGGTTGGTTGTGGATTGGTGGTCGCGTCAGAGTCTGGGTACCAGAGGCCGTGTACGAAGAAGATGACTTCGAGGAGATATGCTGGGCAACCGACCCAGGATGTGACTTCAAGTCTTTTGAGCATTGCTGGTCTCAGGGTATCGGAATAAAATGGTTTAGAGAGAACACCTGGACGCGCAAGGGTAGATCCCATGATTTCCATTCTGGTGGGCATGTTAGTTGGAGTAATATACAAGGGCATCGCGTCACATACATTAAACACCCATCGATTGCAAAGGTCTCGAGTCCTTGAAGAATTCCTTTGCCAAGTTCGTTTTCCGGTCGACTCCGAAGAAGCTTCTTTGCGCCTTCAATATGATAGCTCCATGCACCACTGCCTGACTCAAAGAGATCTAAAAGAGCGAGGACAACGATCGCAGCCAATGTGCGGTCATCGTTCTGCATTGCAGGGTTTCCCAGGTCCTTTGACAGCTGACCAAGAGTTCGCTGCTTGAACTCAAGAAAGTGCTGGTATGGCTGAGAAGTAGGCTTTCGTGAGCTGGCGGGCATGACCATGCTTTCAATTTCCTCCGAGGACATCTGTATTGCACCAGGTGCAGGGTTGTAGGATGTCCATGGCATCACTGAAGAGTCCGCGTTCGTCGCAAGTGAGTAGTGAAGGGCCCCCATCGCAGATAAACCGTGGGCGAGAACGGGCGATGTGCTGACCAACGCAATTATATCTCGCCACGGATTCTTGGTCTGGTCATACACCACGAAGTCTTCTGCCATATTTTGGTTGTCTAACAGAAAAACCGGTCAATTCCAAAACTTAAAAGGGCTTGAGGACATTCCTACAGTGATAAAGATAAAAGCGCGAATTCTGGCTGAGATCTTTGAGTAGGGGATCTACCAGTCCCCAAGGAGCTGGGATATACAAGGACTGACCGGTGTCTCGAGGGACATGGACTGCCCTGTTATCGGATTCCTCTGGTAGGTTGAAGTTCAACAAAGATTCTGCGTCCCCGGTCCCCAAAGCCATATCCTCTGACGGTTCCAAAGCCCAAGTATCGTCTTCGGGGCTGGTATGTGTCCCAGACCCCGGCGATTCAGAGTCGGGCGACGATTCGGCTATAGAGAAGAATCCGAACCCGGTATCTGACACTGCGGATGTTTGCGATTGAGAGGAAGGTTGAGAGGTCGAGCTCTCTGCTGGTTTTTTTACATCGTCGAAGCTGCGGCCCATCATCTTGCCGCGGCTAGCCACGCCACCTTTGACCCATACCAGAGGCTTCTGGTAACCAAGACATTCTTTCCCCGCATCGTGGCACTTCCTGCAGGTGGGCTGGCCATTATCGCAGATGATGCGGCGGCGGCGACAGGTGTAGCAACCTTTGGTCATGATCGATGGAGTGGAACGTTGTGGAGTATAAAGAAGCTAACCACGAGTGCTGTGCAACTCGCCATCGCGGTTAAGAACAGGTGCAGGGTTGACGGGGCCACTCGGTCATCACTGGCTTGGGAAGTTCGTGCGGTCAAAACCAGGCAGAGTGCTGCAGAAGCATAACAGACATCGCCAGGACAAGAAAATCGGCCCCGATGTGTCATGGGAAATTCGGTGCGGGGCTTACTAAGGTTATCGGGGCGGCCTTCCCCCCTCGGCCTCCGCTTTTTTGCCATCCAACAATCCGCGTCGCCAACATGGTTTGGAATCAGTTCTGGCTGAGGACCCTGGAGGTAAGTATTGTCTCTGAGCAGAGCTTTGCAGTTGCTAACCATATCCAGGTCTGGTTGACCACTAGAGTACGTGCACAAACCTGGCGAGGCCATGATCTCAACTAACCCGTATAGCTCCTGCGGAGTCCCATCTTCCATCAGATGGTCGGTCGAGTCCATCAACGCATACAACATATTCGACATGGGATACCACCCGAACCATCACGCACAACTCTGGAGAAAAGCGGTATGCATCTCTGACGGGCTCTTGAGCTCCGAGCTCCGATGCAGTCCCGGTACAGCATGGCTGATCGATATGCAGAATCCAATCTCACCAAGTTTATCGAATATTTTAAGGAGGAGCTCAAGGATCAGGCGAAGGGCAACCCTCGAAACAAGTTGTAAGAAAGAGGCATCGGCATTGCTTTGGCGTTTTGCGGTAAAAGTTGAATGATACCCACATGAATATGATTGCTTCTTCCTTCTTCCTTCTCTTTTACTGTCTGGCCCTCTAGGTTGAGGAGAATCAAATCTGGCCATAGACTGGGGTGTATCATCCACCATAGCAAGTGTCTTTGTATACTTGTCCGCAGAGCAACGGTGCTGCGCCTTCCGCTGGTCCCGGTTGTTATTGCACCATGCGGCTGGGACTTGAAATAAGAACATGTATTAAGTAGATAGTCTAAGCTATCAAGGCGAATTACGGTAGGCCAAGGGTCTCTTTTACGAGTGAAATGGGGCCACATCAGGACTCGTAGGGCAGCAAGCAAATAAGATAAAAGCCGCATCATAGCGCGTCGATCAGTAAATCCCTCGGCCATCTACCCGTCCCGTTCACTTGTTGACCAGTCAACAGCGTTCGGATGTTTAGGAAAGCAAACCAGAGCAATCTTCCACCACCTTCCAGGAACCAACTTCAGGGCTAGGGAAACACTCCACCTTCCTAGGATCCGGCAGTGCCGCAGTAGGACAGGTCCAATCGTCCTGGACTTGCCCCTGGACTAGACTCTTTCCCCGGCAACGAAGGTCCGAGGTGTCGATTTCTCGGTGGAGTTTCGGAGGCCTGGTTCGCAATGCACTCAGTGCACGCGAGGCGAGCAATTCCACCAAGTCCTGCCAGCTCGGCGCCACCGGGCCAAGTTAGGCTAGTGGTCGGCAACGCCGGCTTGGACCACTGAGGGTGGTTGGAACAGCGGCGATCATGGCAGTGAGCGCATACATAGCATATAGTAGTCACGAGCGACGGAGGGTAAGAGTAGCATGCTGGTATGGGTATGGTCGTATTGGGCTTGGGCTGCAGGGCCAGATGATGCAGGATGTCAGAGGGTTGCTAATTATGGAGTGCGCGAGGGGTGGAGTTCTAGTGGATCAGATGGGCCCGGTGGATGCCTGGATGCCCCCGTTGGGTCCCGGGACGCGAATACCTTCGCACACACAACCCTGAATCTGTACCGAGGGATCAACTAGCACTAGGTTGATGTGAAGGGAATTATACTCATTTAACACCGGGTCTCAAGAGTTAAATGCACAGTGTAACCTCGAGATGATGGAGGCCTAACATCCTCGAAAAACCCAATAGCGAGACTAGGGCCGGACTAGTGGGCCCGATCGAGTTAGCGCGCTGCTTTGTTTCGCCGTTTCATTCTGCTCCTCCCTTTTTCCCTCTTTCCATCCCACGATCGTTATTACCCCGACCTTGCCGACCTTGAAACCTCCCGTGAGGTTTGTCTTTCGTTAACAATGCGTCTCGCCAAACTCTCGTTCATCATCCAGGCTCTGCTTCTGACCGCTGCGGCGGCTCAGAGTGCAGCGGCTAGCAACCTGCTCAGTGATCTGACCGACGCCACATCCAGTTCGGCCTCCGCTGAGAGCACCACTGCTGAGTCTACCACTTCTTCTACCTCGTCGACCTCGTCTGAGTCCACTACCTCAACCGAGCCCTCTTCTACTAGCTCAACTGAGCCCACTTCCACCTCCTCCTCCTCCACCTCCACCACCTCGTCTGTTGCTCCCTCCACCACGTCGCAAAATGAAGCCCAGGCGACCACTTCCTCTACCAAGGATCAAACTGCCGCCGCCACCACCGCCACCACCAGCTCAAAGGAATCTACCACCTCTGCTTCTGAGACATCCTCGACCACACAGACCCCGGTCGTCAAGACCATCACCTCCTATGAGACTGTCAGCGGCAGCACCATTGCCAATGTTATGACCACCACCTCCACTCCTGTCTCGAGCGCAACATCTCCCTCGCTCAACAGCGACAGCAAGGGCTCTTCCAGCAGCGGTGTCTCTTCGTCTGACAAGAAGATCATCATCGGTGTCGTGGTTGGTGTCGGTGGAGCTATCGTGCTGGGTGTTCTGGCTGTTGTGATGTGGCGCATCCAGAAGAAGCGCAGCGAGCAGTACAACGATGATGATGATGATCTGATGGGCGGTACCGCCGTCGGCAGTGGCCCTCGCGAGAAGGCCCCTAGCCCGTCAGGCGGCACCCCATTCCGGAGCACACTGGACCAGTACCACAACCCTGGTCCCGTCAACGCTGCATCCAACTTCTAAGATATCTATCTTGGTAGTGACACTGCGTAAAACCAGTGCCAATCAGCTTATGGCGTTTCGACGGCGTTCGAAGTGTAAAAATCTCTGTACGATCATCATGCAATTATCAGGCGCTATGGGCAGGACAGGCGAAGGTCACGATTGCGTTGTTTTTCTTTTCGGTTGCGAATGTGTTTCCTTCTTGCTGGGCTGAACATTTCGCCCCTCCACTCCTTTCAGCATCATAGACTCGTCTTCACTCGTTTGAGCGTTATTCAGCAACCACCACATTCCTTGTGATCGCACCTCGATTATCTGTTTTTGGCACTTTCCGTTCTATCGGTCTGCCTTGTTATCCCGTGTGATTCCCCAGCCAAAGCCCTTGGCCTTCCTTTACATGATTCTTGTCATATCCTGTTATTTAATACATCACTTCTTTGAAAATTCGATTCTTCCTGGTTGAAAATGAAAAAAGTTATATTGAATCAACTTTCTAGTAGGCACGTAGACAACATGAGCCTTGGGAGTGGTCTTCAAACTACGATTTCACGACTCTTCTATCGTGCTTCCCAAACACTTGGTCGCTTGTAGTGGCGAAGATGTTATGCGGGAAATTATCCGGAACACCAGGGGCAGTTTCTCTTTGCCGAAGTCGCCATAGTCCAATGCAGCGCCAGAATTTAGGGGGGAAAGATCAGATCCTTACAAACTAGAAGCAAGATAATCGGCTCAGATAGAAAGGACCAGACTCGTACATTGCTGGATTGACGCCCTGACGTGCCTACGCGCCCATCACGTGGCGTGGAATGCGCGTCGCGATGCGATGCACTGCGACCGCCAACCCTCCCAGCCTCTCACCTCGTTGAAAAGTCGCGACTCCCATCTAAGCTGATAAGATTCTATTCATAACGCAACTCAAGTGGATCTGATAGTCCAATATCAACCCCCAATCCCCGGACTTGGCAAAACCACAACACACTTCTACATCCGAACCCACGGAACCCGCTGAGCCAAATCTTACCACTCACACCGTCACCATGTTCGCAACACAATTACCCTCCTCCCCTTCAACCCCCTTCCGCCAAACAAGCCATTTCTCTCCAGTCCGGCCCTCGCCGCTGGGCCCGCGCAGCTCAAACATCGCCACTCCCCCATGGACAATGGGATCCCCAACGCGCGCGGGTCATTCCCAGAAACCCAGTTATGAACGCCACACACAGAGCTCGCCTGCCTTTCCGACTTTCTCAATCAATAATGAAAACCATGAAAAGCAGCCACAACAGACCGTTCCTAATATGTTCGGCGCGTCTACGCCCTTCTTTCCTCAGCAATCCAACATTATGTCGCCCGCCTCTCCGTCGCCCTCGGCGCGTCCTAAATACTCGGAGCGATATGCGTCGCAGATCGCGAACCCTATGAAGACATCCAACTCGCTTGTGCGCTCAAAAACGCGCAAAATGTTTATGAATCGCGTGAAGAATGAGCGCGACGGCGGTCGCTTCGAGGCTCGTGGTGAGCAGATGATGATGATGGAACACTTGGCAGATAAGAGGAAATGGGAGGAATCGATGGCGCGAGATGCCGGATGCGTTATGCCAGAGTTCGAGGCTGACGAGGATAATATGCTTCCTGGTAGGTCTTCGCCTAATATTACGATACGGCCTTGAACATCGGCTAATGGGGTTACAGATGAGGCGGATATGTATGCTCTGAATGAGTTTATCTCCGAAGAAGAAGCCATGCAAATGGCCATGCAAGAGACTATGGAACAGAACGATCAGCAACATCTATACCAGACTCAGCCGAATACGTCTTTCAGCGATGACGAATACGACGATATCTTTATGACAATCTCGGACCCGGCACAGTCGAATCAGGATATGGACATGTCGTGATTGTTTCATTATGTTACGGGTTTATTGCATCGGGTGGCGTTTCGTTTCGGGTCTGAAATCAGCGGATGCCTTGGAGTAAATAAGGGTATCGACGTGGTTGTGTATATGTATGTACAGTACAAAGCAAGCCGATGAACATGAAGGGATATCAACATGATCCAATACTTGAAACTTTATTGTTGCGGGCAATCGGGGACTCCGCCAGGGCCTCCAGCACCTGCCGCGCCTCCCAGGCCACCTAGACCTCCCAGGTCTTCCATGAGCGGGTTGGAAATCAGTTCCTCGGGCGGGCTTCCTGCGGCTTGCATCTGTAGAAATCATCAGCATAAGACACCGAGACAGGAACCAAAATGATCTTACCTCTTGCATCCGCTCCCAGATATACTCCCGACATTTAGGATCCTCATCCGTGTACCCAGGCTCTTCGAACTTCAGCACAATCTGCTTCACAACCTTCGCCTGCGTCTCATAGCGCTCCATATCCTCAAGAGCAACCTTCCCATTCTCCTTATTGTCCTTAATCCACGGCCCAAACTTCCCATCCAACTCCTTCATAGGCTCATAAAGCATCTCCTTATTCGATAACTGCTCCATCATCCCCATAAACATCTTCGTCAAATCTCCATCCTCCCCAGCGCCCGTCGCACCAGCCTCAACCGCCTTAAGCAACTGCGCCAACATATCATCGGACCCATCATCCCCCGTCGCCGCTTCAGTGGCCTTATTCCCAGACTCCTTCATCCGCTCCATCGTCCGCTGAATAGCATCACTAAACGACTCAGGCTCACCATCAGCCGGAGCACTCGGCGCAGGCGCAGCGGCAGGGGCAGGCGACGCCTTCGCGCTTCCCGTCCCGGACCCCGCGCCAGCCCCGCCCTCTTCGGCCATCACGTCGGCCAGGAGCTGTTTGAGGAAATCGCCGGGTGGGATCCCGCTCTCTTCGAGTTGTTTCGCGAAGACGTCCGCGCCTTGGTCTACAGCATTTTGGGAGTCGGGTTGGTCTGCAGCAGGCATGCTGGGCGCGTTGCCCATCATGTTGGCCATGTCCTTCTCTAGCTGTTTCAGGAAGGCATCTTCGTCAAAGTCGGGAGGGGCGACGCCTGCTGAGGAGTCGGGCGCAGATACGGGTGCGGGTACGGGTGCGGGTTGGGGGGCTTTTGGTTTGGAGAAGTCATCTAGGACGTCTGGTATGGGTTTGTTAGTATGGCGATTGGTGCGGGGAGGGGTGAGGGGTATGGCAGTACCGTCAAGTTCGTCAAAGTCCGAGTCCTCGTCAGCATCACTGTCGTTACTGGGTTTTTGTTGATCGGCCTGTTTCTGCGGGGGTTCTGCGGGCGCAGTAGTCGGATCGGTTGAGGGGACGGGCGTAGAATCATGCGGGCCAGGTTGGCCAGGTTGGCCAGGCTGACCAGAAGTTTCCATGTTGTGTGGGATCGGAGGTCTAAAAGCAGGCGAGCAAGCTGACAGCTCTCAGGGACGAGTGGACGACGTGGACGTGGACGTGGGACAAAGACGAGTGTTGATGGTCAGGTCTCGGCATGTGACGAGCCTGAGGTTGGCGGGGAGCCGAACACCGACCGCCGAGGATTCACTACGGTTTACATGGTGTGTAACATGCCCTGGTAGAACTAACTAGTAGATTGAGGTCGGTTCTGGTAGACACCGATTTTCTCAGATCTCGTATATTACATCCTAGAAGAACAAAAAAGTTCCTCAGGTCTGACAGTCTAGGTCAATCATCCCCCGCACGGAACTCGGCCAAAATCTGCAACGCAACCAATATTGCATCATTTCAAATGATCTGGGGGCCGAGCTAAAAAAAAGTGGCTTTGGACCGCGTGATCCCCGGAGTTCTCTTTTTACTTTAGGCCTAAAGCACCTGACGTGCATTCCCCTGAAACCCCGCGGTGAACTTAAGGAGCATAGGCGGAAAGCGCCGTCGAACAACGTGCCCCCGGTTGGCCCCGGTATCGGCTATTCGGCGAACCTTGGCTGACGCTCGTCAGAGTTTGCATCTGTCCCTCGCCTCCCTCGTGTTTCTTTTGACTACGCCGTATGGACTTTCTCCGCGGAAGCAATTCCAGGTACTGCAATGTACCCCTATGTATCCCTAATGCACTAAGGTACTTTTCCTTCATGCCAGATCACCATCGTACCACACTAGAGGAAAGGACCTTGCGAATTGGCCACTTGAATTGAAGCATCTGGGCCTCGAAGTGGACTGGTGGGCCCGTTGCCGTCAGTGGTTGGCAACGCAAACTAGGAAGGCGAAGAACGGAAAGGAAAAAAAAAAAAGAAAAAAAGAAGAGGGAAAAGTCAATAGGCGAGAGAAGGCCCCTCTCTTTTGCCCCAAATGCCCCCAAGGAGCCTTGGGGTCGGACGAAACAACATTATTATTCGTTTAGTCAATCGCTTTACACATTTCTCCCTTCCTCCCCCCAACACCCCGTTTATCTCCATTCTCTGACTCTTCCTTTCTCATAATCCAATTTTTTTTATGTCACTCTCTTGCCTCTCACTCGCTCATCCCGTTGCCGCCTAACCGCGCGTCTCCTGCGTCTGTTTGTGCTCTGTGAAAATTTCCCGTCGCGTTGTTTGACCAAGCCCGTGGTTCGGCGGGGAGCTTCAATTCTTGCTGTGCTGGTCCGTGTCCGAAGACCGGCCTGCAGGGTAAAACTGGATAGGGAGCGAGTCGATCGAGGATCGCCCTTCCAATGGTCTCTATGATCGAGACCTCTCACTCAGAGCATAATGACACGGTCATGGACCCTGTCGTGCCCAAGTCCGAACCGTTGCCAGACGGTTCGATCAGTTCAAACGTGTCAACTCCCGATGCTGAAGCGGAGCCTTTAACTCAGGACACCGCGCAGACTCAGAAGAGAAAGGGAGGCAGAAAACCTGTACGTAACAACTTCTCTCCATGCAGTAATCCGGGGCCCCGCATTCTTTTGCCTTCCCATGTGTCACTGTCTGGTCTGTTCTTCTCTTTACTTACCTCGCAATAGATCTATGCCACTTCGGAAGAGCGTAAGCAGCGCAACAGACAAGCGCAGGCTGCCTTCCGCGAGCGACGGACCGAGTATATCCGTCAGCTCGAGACTACTATCAAACGCAATGAAGATTCTTTGCAGAGTCTGCAGCAGAGTCATCGCAGTGCCGCAGATGAATGTTTGATGCTGCGATATAAAAATTCTCTGTTGGAGCGAATCCTTCTCGAGAAAGGTGGGTCCCACCTCCCAACCATCAATTGAACTCCATGACTGACTCAATAACCCAGGCATCGATGTGCAAGCAGAGCTACGCTTGAAGACAGGGGCGCCGGGCGCTTCTGCAAAGGCGAACCCAGTGCCTCCCAAGTCGGCATCGGGACCTCCTGGTCTTCGACCTGGACAAAGGCATCCCGCCGGGATCGCCTCCAAGCCGGATGCCTTCGGCATGTCGCAGCGGGAGGGTGCATATGGCGTGGCGTCTCCGCAATTCCAGGCCACGCCTACCTCGCACGTGTCTTCGCCGTCCCACGTCAAATCGCCCGGGTTCGGCTTCCAGGGTGGCATGTCACCCGTTGGAGTGGACTCGCAGGGCGGACGTCCCCAGCTGTTACCACAGCCGCGGACTTTCAACAACCAAACTTCGCCGCCAGGCATGAGCATGCCGCAAACCGACCCAACGGACCCCAAGCCTCGGGGGCCTCGGGGACGCAATGTTGCCGCTTATTACCCATCTCCATTCCAAAAGCATTATGACCAACTTGGTAAGTTTTTCCATGTTTCGAAAATGTTCGATACACCCGCTGACTCCCGCAGAACAAGAATATGATGCACAGGCCGATCTCGTGGACGAAGATCACGACGGCTCAGTCAATACGCCCTACGGTGTACCAGGATTTACGCCGCAGTCGGTAGCATCCGGGTCTCATATGACGGGGTACAACGCTCCTCCTGGTGGGGACGCGAACCCTGGAGATTTCGGGAATGCAAACCATCTCATGGGCCAGTACGAGCCGATGTTGGACACGGATCCGTTCGGACTCAGCGCCAGCATGCATTTTCCAACACCTTTTAACTACGAGCAGAACAATTCTCGGACATGAGAACAAAAAGTGATTTCGCATTGCCCGGCGTTGGGATTGATACCAAAGTACAGTACATAGTTGTGTCTACAATCTACTATGAAGCACCCATTACAGCATATGACCCCGTAAAAAGTCAATTAGCCCTTCTAAACTCCCCAAACCACACTAATCAGCACAAATCAGCACAAATCAGCACGAAAACCAATATAAATCACAGTAAATGTATGATGCTATGCTCCGCCAGTGACGCCATGATACCCTAAGCCCTAGCCTGATTCGCTTAGTAAATCGGGCCTAACCGGATTCGTCGTTCACCACAAACCTCCTTCCTCTCACCTTGTAAACCACCTTAAGCCACCCCTTCATCATCATCGTCGAGGCCGGATCCTGTGCAGGTTCAGCCTTGTGTCCGCTTTAACCCTCTTATACTGATCTGTTTGTGATCGTCGAGAACCTTCCCGTACGGAAGGTCTCCGCAACAGACAGGCGTCATGACCGAAATCCGGTCCAAGGTACGCTGAACTCGAAGGAGCTTCGAGATGTGCTTCGCGACAGTACAATTGAGCTTGGACGGTGCATCGGAACTATGGCTAACCTTCGTCTGCTTTTTTCTGCGTTCAACAGAACCTCTACGAGCTTCTTGGTGAGTTTTCCCCTCCTCTACTGCCGGATAACCCCTCCTTCCCACCTATTCGCACTGGATTTCCATCCCTTGCAAGCTCCATTTTCATCGCCCACTAACCATTTTCTCTCTCAATTCTAGGCAATGACCCTGAGCTCGACCCTAACAGACCCGCGCCTCCCCCCGCTAAGGCCGTCGACCGCCCCGCTGCTCGCTCTGGCAAGCGCGATGCTCCCAATGAGGCTCCCACTGCCGCTCCCCGCGAGGGCAACAACAACCGCCGTGGTGGCCGCGTGACCGCCGGCAACGAAGCCGGTATGTGATATCATCGTGTTGAGTCGATGAAAGTTGGAGGAATTAACAGGTCCCATAGCTTTCCGTGACCGCAACGCTGGTCGCTCCAACAACCGCTCCAAGCCCACTGACGAGGCTGAGCAGCCCGCCCGCGGTGGCCGTGGTGGCCGTGGCCGTGGTGACCGCCAGTCCCGCACTGGTCAGACGTAAGCGACCCTCATTCAGTGCCGGCAGAAGAAGGAACGAACATCGAGATCGCTTCAAGTTGCCGGGAATTTTTCCAAGAATGAAGACTAACAGCCATTCTAGCGACACTCGCAAGCAGGTCCAGCAGGGCTGGGGTGCCGAGAGCGGCGAGAAGACCTTGGACGATGAGCGCCAGGGTGAGAAGCTCGCCAAGGCCGAGGAGAACGCCCCCGAGACCCCCGCCGAGGAGATTGAGGAGCCCGACAACTCCAAGTCCTTCAGCGAATACCTCGCTGAGAAGGCCGCCCGCGAGAGCCTGGCTGCCAAGCCCGTCCGTGCCGCCAACGAGGGTGTCAAGGAGGACAAGAAGTGGGCCACCGCCAAGGAGGTTGAGCACAAGGAGGAGGAGGCTTACTTCCAGGGTTCCGGTGAGAAGACCCAGCGCCAGAAGCAGCGCAAGGAGAAGAACTTCCTTGACGTCGACCTGCGCTTCGTTGAGCAGCCCCGCTCCACCCCCGCCCCCCGTGGTGGCCGCGGTGGCCGTGGCGGTGACCGCGCTCCCCGTGGTGACCGTCCTCCCCGCGGTGCTCCTCGCGGTGGTGCTCCCCGTGGCTCTGGTGCCCCTCGTGGTGCCCCTGCTGCTGGTGCTCCCCGCGGTGCCTCTGCTGCTGGTGCTCCTCGCGGCGGCCGTGGTGCCCCCCGTGGCCCCACCGGCCCTACCGTCGACGAGAAGAACTTCCCCAGCCTGGGCGGCAACTAAATGCTTCCAACGCCCCCAGCGTCCTCGACGGGACTGCTTTCCCTGGGCCTCTTCCCTTAACTCTCTCTGTCAAGCCCGTTCTCTAGGTGCGGTATAGCACTTGGGAGGTTTTTCTGATCTGCATGAGTCCATGGAAATTCAGCTCGTGCGATATGTGATGGAATTTACGCGAGTTTCTTTTTTTTTGATGCGACAGGGTGGATGGAGAGTGGAAGACGGAATTGGTTTTTGAATTTATCAGGGAAGGCTTCAATAAAAAACTAGTCACCTGGATGTCGAACAGACAGCCGGGTTCTTTTGTGTGCTCTTGACATGTTTCTTCGGATGTGGATGTGTGCAAACGTGAATTGGATGACTGAAAGTCAACGGGCTCATGTAATTTGATTTTAAACCCACAAGTCATGAGAAATCTAGTAACGCAATGAAATCCTTCATCTGAACTCTGCTGTTATCGGGTTGTCGTAGGTTGTAGGTTGTCGTATACCCCGACCTCGGGAGGTGTCCTAGTGACACGACTTGCCTTGGGATCTTTATGTTGCGCCGGGGGCTGCTTGATTGTGTGACGCTTTGTGTAAGTAAAAAATCTTTACTCTCGTTCCAAGTTATAAGATAGGACTTCTTGCATCCGCTGAGGCTCGATGAGAGCCGCCGTTACCTTCACAGATCCCCTCTCCTTTCCTTCCTCATTTCCTCCTCTCTACATAGAGTAAGCCTCGTCTATAGACTTCTATAGTTACATCTCTTTATTCTGGATCCAGCTTTCGATACTGAGTTATGGGATGTAATTGAAGAGTTTATTTGATCATATCTCCACTTCTCAAAGCTATGTACTGAGTCTGAGAAGATCCAGAAATCCAGAATCAGGATCTGCCTTGCTACGAGGTATCAAGGGAAAGCAAAAGTGTAGACAGCAGCCAACAGCCACCACATTCAAACCTTTCAACTTCACCCTCTACCAGTCCACCAGCGAAGATAGCTCAAAGCTCTCCATCTCCGTGGTGGTTCCTAGACGGATGAGTAAACTCTTCCGCCGCAGCCTGGGCACTCTGAGCCCAAACCTGAACAGTCTCCTCGTCCACTTCATCCAAGAAGGACAGCCCCTTCATTGCACGACCACCGCAAGCCCGCTCAAGCGCCAAGAACGCAAAGTGACCACCGATAACAGGGCGGGCAAAGAAGTTCGGACCAGGGAAGTTCCCATCGCCTTCGGTGTTATGCAGATCCGTGAACGGGCGATCCGTAACAGTCTCATTGATCCAGCGCGCAACAGACTCGAGGATCTCAGAACGAACGGGCTTGGATGCAACGGCCATCGAGAAAAACTCCCAGTCCGTCTTGGTGTACAGGTGTCGGCTGTCGAGGGGCAGACCGAACTTCTGACGCACGTAGTGGTACCAAACGGACTGTTTCTGGTAGATGTGACGAGGAACAAAGCCGGGCGACTTGTCCTTGCTGGATGAGTCTGTGCCTTCGAGGTGGAAACAGAGCTGGGCGTCGGCGTAGAGGTTGTAGATTGTGGTCCAGGAGCCGTACCAGTCGTAGGCGAGTTTCGCGTGTGTGCCGTCGCGAGACATGCCGAATTCTTCCCACTTGGCGATATACTTGTCGGCAATATCCTGGTTTGCATCAGTTGGGTACTCTTCGTATTAACACAAGAAATGTGCATCTCACCTTGAAGTATGAGGCGTCATCATCGTGACCGGTCAACTCGGCCAGCTTGCTCATCGCGTTGATGCCAACAATACCCTTCAAGGCAAGGTTGGTTTGCAGGGCCAACCAGCCGGCGAAGTCGTCGGTAGACACTGTGACTTGGTTAGCATTTGCTCAGGAAGAAAATTGCTCGAAGCTCACGTTGGTTAGCGGGCTCCAGAGAGAATTCAACTAGATATCCTGTCCATTGCTTCCAGAGACGGTAGCTGCGCTTCACCCATTTCTCAGCGAGATGCTGTCCCTCTATGCCACCGCCCCATTTGCCATCTTGGTGGGCGATACCGGACAGAGCTTGCAGGTTGTTCAGAGGGAAGAGCCCGGATGACTCGGTCGAAAACTTTGAGGAACTCGATCCCTCAGTAGACCAGATGGAAGACGCTTCAGACGATTCTTCATACTGAAGCGAATTGGCAATAGCCAGACCCATGATCAGGATGTTACCACACTCCTCTACCGGCATATACTCATCTTTGCCGTCGGAGTGCCCAGTGGCATTGGGGAAGTGGGTGCCCAAATCGTGCATCGCGTACGTATTAGGATATTGCCCGCTCAGCATATGTTCAATGAGTGGCTCCAGCAAATACGCCAGCCAGCGTGGGTTGGTGTACAAGAAGAAAGGGAAAGCCGGGAAGATCACATCGATAGTTTGGAAGTTACCATTGGAGGAGATCTCCTTGAGGAATAGGATGGGGTTGTCCGGAGTACCGGAGAACGTAGTAGCGCCCATCACCTGGCGCGCAGAAAGAGCAACAATGTCGACGTAATCGTCGGCTCCGGAAAGGTAGGCATCCTCGGCCACTTGCTGGGAGTAGTTGGAAGCCAGAGCGCTGGCCGCAGCGTAGTCATCGTAGTGGAAGGTGAGAAGCTCCTCGGTGGTTGGGAACCAGGATTCCCAAAGAGGGCGCATCATAGTGAGCCCGCGAGCAGCGGCATACTGCACAACAGGTGTTTGTACAAGGCCGAGGGTGAATGTGACGCCAAGGGAACCCGATGCGGTTGGTCGACTAAGGTTGAAAAACTTCGAGAAGGCAAAGATTGGCGTGCGATCACGAATGGCGCGCCACTGTCCATCGTTCTTGTTGCGCAACCCTCCCGAGCTGGCAAAGTTTTGTCTCACCTTGTCTGCCTCGCCGGACTCGTACTGAGCACTGGCAGGTCCGGTGAAGTGGAGGGTACCCCATTCACCACGATCGCGGATCTCCGTCAACAGAAGCTCTGTCGTTCGGCGAACCTGCCACCGTTGAAGGCTTGGCTTCTTGTTCTTGTTTCCGACGTTCATCGTATCCCACTCCCACTTGAGCTGGGCTCCAGTGTCTCCGCTCAGCCAACGTCCGTCTACATCCATGTAAATGTTGACATCGGTGTCGCCTTTTACATCAATGGTTATATAAGAGGCCGGAATCGACTGCCGCAGAGTCGATGTCGGGGTGATAGGAGAGAGAAATG